GTGAATGTGAATGTGCTCATTTATTTCCAATGCCGCCTCGATACGATCGAAGGGCATTAGTACGTATGCAGTATTCGAAGTTGAGAAAGAGTCGTGAAAGCCCTTAATTCCCAACCTTCATGATCGATGCACTAATACTCGCTTCGAGTGTTCAACTGTAACTAGTCACAGGCCCTCTACCAGTTCTACTACCGGACCTGTAAATCGCTTCTTTCCTCCTAGGACATAATAATAAAGCCCTCCTATCAACATCCATCCCATTGTCACCACGACACAATAATTCATATTTCCTGGTGTAACCGGCTGCACCGTTGGGAAGGTGCTGAAAACCATGGCTATGATGAGCCAAACGATGGCAGCGATATTGATGACGGGCCCCCATCGCGGCCCTAGATTGAATGTTCCCGAGCCAAGTCCACGGACAATTGCTGCTGATCTTCGTCGACCATATATCAACATGAACACAATGGGGGAAAGATACGAGGCATACATTCCCAAAATGGCCATAGATAATACCGCGTTGAAGGCGGTTGAGCTGCCGAGATAGATCAACCCGAGGAGCATTTGGAGAAAGCCAACCACGAGAACCATGCGCACCGGAACTTTCAGTGTGGGGCTCACTCCTGCGAAGAATTCCGACGCTGGCAACCCTCTGTCCCGTGCGAATGCCCATGCTGTACGGCTAGTAGATGTCACACATGCCGCATTAGCAGCCATCGCGACCATGGTGATGCATAGGGCTAGCACTGAAGCACCCGCCGCGGAGGCAGTGGCGTTTAAAAAGAGCTGCATAAAGGGAAATCCAGTCTTGGACTGAAGTAGGGATTCTAGATCCCCCAGGGAGAACAGTAGAACAATCGCATACACTAGGCCAATCACTCCGTTGATAATGACGCTGCCTATCATGGCCAATGGTACGTTCCGGGACGGCTTTGGCATTTCTTCGCTTAAATGGCAAGCGGCATCATATCTAGAATGAATAGTCAGCGTTTAGCCCACTGCAAGTATATAAGAAAATCGTACCCGAGGAAAGGATATACGGTGCTCAACAGTCCCACTAACCATGAAACCCCATCGTTGTCCCATCCACTGGTGTTGGAGAATTCGGTGAAGACGTAGCTTGCAGAGTGCTTCTCGGACATTGCTCCCAAAACAGCGACTATTACAACAAATCCAACGACGTGTAATACACCTGTCCGCAATTCAGACCGTGATTTGTTTATCAAACGTTGGGGAGATTGCTCTCTTACCGGCTGTTGTATTGGTGTGAGGCAAGATCTTGGAACCCCAGACATTGAGGGCGGTTGAGTATGCCAATATGAGCCAATAGAAAAGCATCCCTTGCCATCTAGTTGGGGTATAAGAGTCTAAATGGTTCAAGGTGATGAGTGCCTGTAGCTGCAAGCCCGCGGCGAAGGCTGCGGAGGCGGAAAACACCAACTGTCCACCGATTGAAATCCAACCAGTAAACCAAGATGCGGTGGCCTTGTACGATGCCGGTGTGAGACAATGGACCCAGTGGTATTGCCCTATGGAATATGGTTACGTTAGCATTGGACATCACCTGGGAAGATATATGAAGGAGGTAGCTGATCGTACCGCCAGCAGTAGGGTAGATAGAGGCAATCTCGCCCAACGAAAGAACAATGAATATTGTACCAATCAGGGTGATGAGACTAAATTGGCCAGACAATCAGCGTTCTGGTATGGGAGTATCGTTGAGAACGACTCACTAGTTATAAAACAAGCATGGCGCTCCGCCATTGGTAAGAGCTGCCGTGACAACCGAGGATAATGCCTCCCAGGTGGCCATTAGCGAGATTTGGAGACAAACGATTGACCATATGGAGAATTCACGACGGAGCTCTTGGACATGACCAAGAGCTGCAAGTTGGTCTTCATCGCTGATGGCTTTCTCTGAAGTGGGCACTTTAGTCTCCTGGTTTGGGATGGGATCCATACTTCACACTGCTCGCAGGGTTGTCGATGATAGAGATATTTTGGGTATGAACTCAGGGGGAGTATACAGTAGGAGAGGACAAGGCATTCTTCCGAGGTTTATCTATACCTCTTATAAGGTTATCTGGGGGGGCGCTTGACGGGATATGGTCATAATGGCAATACATACTCATACACGGCCATGATCCGCACATCCTACCGGCCACCCACATATGTACATAGAAATCAAAAGCAAACTCGTATTGCTTATCTTCACACGCGGAGATCCCACGTCTTGGTATTTTTCCCCGCATTTTTATGGGATTTCTGTTGCCTATCATTGTCTCTTATTATCTATCATCACGGAACCATTTCCGGATCTCCACTCTGTTGCAAAGGAACTCCATTCCGAGCTTTCCGAGATTCCGAGCATCTGCTAATATAAGTCGTGGACAACTCCAGGCAGAAAATCCAATAAACCCATAACTTCCATGTCATGTCTCACCCTCACCCACTTAGTATTCTCTCCATCGAAGAGACCAATCTGGCCCGCGATGTGGTCAAAGCCGCTCACCCGAACGTCGTGATCGACTTTCGGGAGATCTTCCTACAAGAACCACCCAAAGCTCAGCTCCAGGAATTCCTAGCGCTTGAACATGCCGGTCGCTTAAGCCCAACCACCCCACGTCCTCCACGTCTAGCTCTGTGCCAATACGATGTGATCGGTACAGACCGCATTCCTCGATTTCACGAATCTGTGATCGACATAGTTTCACAGTCGCGAGTGAAGCACACAGTGGTTGGGAAGGAGTATCATGCCAGTTTGACGCTGTAAGAAAAAGAAGGGGGGGAAATTAGAAGCTTAAACATCCGGAGTCTTCTAACGATTTACTAGGAGCGAATTCGATGTTCTCGTCGATCAATGTATGAAATCACCATTATTCCAGAAAGCGCTATCGGAATTCGATCTTCCCGAAGGCTTCGAGGTCGTCATTGAGCCATGGCCGTATGGTGGCTTGGATCACACCGATGAAAATCGTCGCTTTTTCCAAGGCCTCTGTTTTGCCCAAGACAAACGTTCCGGGAATGAAGACTCCAATTTCTATTCTTTCCCATTGCCCATCATCCCTGTGATGGACGCCCACACACGAGAGATCATCCGGGTAGATCGACCCGCCACAGGCGGCAAAGGTGACGGTCTACTTGAACAGACCTTCAAACGGGATATAATTGGTCATTGCAAGCCCTCTGAATACGTGCCCGAGCTGATGCCAGAGGGGACTCGCAAGGATCTCAAACCGCTGAATGTGGTCCAGCCTGAGGGTCCATCCTTCCGAGTCACCAACGAGTCTCTGGTCGAATGGCAGAAGTGGCGGTTCCGTGTCGCTTTTAATCCACGCGAGGGCGCAACGATTCACGATGTCTCGTATGATGGCCGTAGTGTGATGCACCGGCTGGCAATCAGCGAAATGGTAAATGATATGTTAACCCAAACACATAGCTATAAACTAACCGTGCTTCGCTTGTTTAGACCGTCCCTTACGCTGACCCCCGACCCCCTTTCCACCGGAAACAGGCCTTTGACTTCGGCGACGGTGGCGGCGGAAACATGGCTAACAACCTGTCGCTCGGCTGTGACTGTCTCGGGGTCATTAAATATTTCGATGCCATTATTACCCAGGCAGATGGTACCGCCCAGACTCTTCCGAATGCGATTTGCCTCCATGAACAGGACAATGGAATTGGATGGAAGCATTCCAACTGGCGCACCGGGCGCGCTGTCGTTACACGGAATCGGGAGCTTGTTGTCCAGTTTATTATCACACTGGCCAACTATGAATATATCTTCGCCTATAAATTTGATCAGTCCGGCGGAATTACAGTTGAGGCACGCGCAACGGGTATCTTGAACGTGGTCAATATCGATGCTGGTAAGGTCAGTGAGTACGGAAATGTGGTGAGCGGCGGTGTTCTCGCTCAGAACCACCAGCACATTTTCAATGTACGGATCGATCCAGCTATCGATGGCCCAAACAACTCAGTGGTCGTGGAGGAATCTCACCCAGTTCCAATGAATGCAGTCACCAACCCCAACGGGAACTACTACGAAGTCACCAAGCAGACCGTAGAGCGTGCATCTTGGATCGATGCCGCTCCGCAGCTCAATCGGACCATCAAGATGATCAATCCCCACATAAGGAATCCTATCAGTGGAAACCCCATGGGATATAAGTTTATTCCACTAGCCACTCAGACTCTATTGGCTGATCCTGCATCGGTGCAGGCACGTCGGGCTCAATTTGCCCAACACCACGTTTGGGTCACGAAGTATCGAGACGGGGAACTCTATGCCGGAGGTCGTTATACTTTACAGAGTCAAACTGAAGTTGAAGGTGTCTCGGATGCTGTTCTCCGCGGTGATTCTGTTGTTGACACCGACGTGGTGGTTTGGAACTCCTTTGGCATTACCCACAATCCTCGCGTAGAAGATTGGCCTGTGATGTATGTTGATCCCATTGTTCCTCTCTCCCCTGTTTCTTCTTTCTTTTTCTTTTCATCATACTGACTCAGTATAATAGGCCCGTTGAGATTTTCCAGCTCATGATCCGACCCGCGGACTTTTTCGTTGCCAACCCATCGCTCGATGTGCCTTCCAACAAGAATGTATCGTCACGATTAGCTGACTCAGAATGCTGTCGAAAGTCGCACATTTAATAGGAAGGAGGATAGACAAGAAGAAGGGTTGTATCTACGAAGGAGATATATAGTTACCTTAGTATTTGCCGTATATGCAAAACTGCAGGATTCTACTAAACCAAATTTAATTTATATTGTCATGAAAAACATGAATACATGATTGAAAATCAGTTAAACATAGAAAAGTATTTGGTATACTAATTCTTGTGTACACCCGTGGGCATGTACAAAAAGTTTCACGAATATCCCCGCATCCGAAGCACGGGCCACATCTCGGTTTACCTTTCCGCGTTCCGAGGTATCTCTTCCTTTCCATCTTCCCTTGCCATGACATGACATTTTCCATCAATTAGTTCGTCTGCACAATGGTTTCCGAATCTCCGAGGTCTTCGCGGGATGATGATTCGTCCCGGAGAAAAAGGGCTAAATACACCCAAGTTGCTTGGTGCGTCTGCTTATCCGTTTCGGGGGGGTCTACATATGTACTGTCTCAGCTTGATGCTGACCACCTCAGCAATGAATGCAAACGGCGCAAGCTAAAATGTAGTGGTGGCCTGACCTGCGTCAGATGTTCTCGTGATCATATCCCTTGTGTCTACGCCCATCGCCCTTCTACCACGTCGATCCAGGGACCTGACGTCAATGATGAAGGGTATGTCTCTCAAATTCCCAGTCACATTCAGTCACTATTATCTATTGATCAAGAGCTATGTGCTGATTCTATCCAGAGCCAATATCAGATTACAGGCTGTGGATAGGCAACTGGAGACTCTGCGGCGGGAAATGCGGACCCTTTCCGCCCGCGTTCATGAGCTTGAATCCCCCGGCCCTGCTTCAGCATCGAATCCGTCAGCCCCACCCACCACGGGGAGCCTGCACCGTATTCTAGATGCTCCTAGATCCCCAACGTACGTCGGACCCACGAGTGCGGAGTTTGGCCTCACTCGATCTCAAAGGTCTTTATCCCACCAAGCTGACGACTGTGCCGCAATTGATGATCGTGGTGAGGACCTTGACCTATCAACAACTGCCCCCAGTCCTGCGCCATCGGGGAGAGGCGAAAATGCTCCTCTTGGGCATCCTTTGAGCAGCCTGGGTGCGGATGAAACATTGCGATTGGTACAAGTCTATGAGGACACAGTAGGTGTGATGTACCCCTGTGTTGATTTGGATGGAGTGCGAGCATACGTGCTCGAGTTCTACCGCTCTCACGACTCAACCGCTGCGGCCTCGTCTGTGTTGTCCGCACAGACAGCCTCGGATCAGGATTGGTTCTCTGCGCGTGATGTCCAAGTTCTAAAGATTCTCTTGGCGACCGCTCTATTGGTCGAATCACACGGTCGGAGTGAGCGCGCCGCCCAGCTGGCCGACAGTGTGGAAGATCGCTTCGCCAGTCGATTGAAAATTGCCGAGGTTGATATGAAAGAAATTCTCATTCTGACCCTGTTGGTGTGTATCTCGAATCCTTATTCTGTTCCCATGGTGCCCCCGAAAGGAAAATGTATTGACTGTGGTAGTCCATTTTTCACTCTTACCGCGACGACGAAGTCATCGCCGGGCGATTGATTGGCATGGCGGTTCGAGGGAGTACGGAGCTAGGTCTTCATCGTCAAGAAACGTGGCAAAAGACAGGAGGCGTTTTCCCGGGGGAATTGGAATGGACGTGGGCAAGCCGACTGTTCTGGTGCATATACGTGTTAGATCGCAAGTGTGCCTTTGGCACGGGGTTGCCCTTCGCCATTCAAGATTCTGACATTGACACCAACTTGCCTGAGCCGGGCCACTCTACTCCGTACCTGACTTGCATGATCTCTCACGCGCGCCTGAGCACAAAGATCTGGGGCCTAGTCGTTGGATGGCCCAACCGGTCACAAGCGGCCACTTCAGATGGTTGCGCTTACTTGGACGCTCAGGTCCAGCAATGGATCCATTCCATTCCGCGTGAATTACGTTTTGATCCGACTTGGCGCTCTCCCGCTGGATCAGAGCACACCGATCGAGCCATGATGCTTCAGGTTCTCCTTGCTCTACAAGCGAACCAGCTTCGAATTCTTGTGTATCGACAAAATCTGCTTAGTGACGAGCGGATAGCAGACAACGTGACTGGTGCCTCGACCGCCGTGGAAACGGCGAAGAGCACGGTTCATATGCTGAGCTATTTCAGTCGGGTCTCGAGTATATATTTCCAGCGCCCGGAGCCATTCAACTATTTTCTATTATCCGCCCTTGCCGCCCTCTTCTTGGCAGTTTTACATGCGCCATCGCGTTTCAGCCATGCTTGTCGGCCGGAATTTTATACGGCCGTCGACATGGTTCGTCGCTCAGCAACACGTGCACGTACTTCGCGGAGATTGCAAAAGGTCCTTCACAGTTTGAAACGCATTCGATTGAACCTCAGATGGGATAGTGAAGCTGGCCGACAATCATCTATTCATCAAGGTCATCCCTCAAAAGTGGGTTCTAAGAATGAGAACGAGACATCTGAGCTTCATTGGCATGCTGCATCCCAAAATAAGGTGTATCCGTCCAGCAGCATTTGGGATACAACGCCAGTATCAGCCACAACGGAGTCTGCTGCTGCACGTTGTACTCCCAGCCTCCATCAAACATCCGGGGCGACTACTCCTCAGCTCTCATCTAGCGCTTTTTGGCCAATGTCACCTGGTACAGTAGCTGGATCCGAATCCAAAGTCTGCGAGGACTTGAGCAGCTTTTTTGAAATTGCAGGTGGGTTCTACTTTGACCCTCAACCTGGTTCGGATATCGCCGCCGGAGCAGATGTGGGGTTGGCCCCTCCGGGTGACACACGGTCGCCCAATGCGCTGGACGCCTTTCACGCGGAGGATGAGGCCTTGACGAGAGTCATGGCTGGTTTGCTGTGAACATTTGTGGACGTTATGCATAATGATTCAATAAACCATGCTTCAACTTAGAGGATGAGCGACTTGAGTTCGGTTAGAAAGATATCACTATACTTGACATTGCGAGACATTCTCCGGGTATTTACACTTCCTTTTAGCCGTGACGAAAAACAACTTGAACCTTGACTTGGGCTTCCCCGGAACATTGCATGTTTCGGTTGCATGGTGGCGTCTATAATTTTCGGCAATTCCCACCAGTCGGTGCTCTAATTCCCACGACTAGGTCATCTCCCTGAAGGATTTTCCTCCCTCCACTATAGGCCTGGTTTATTTCCTCTGTCTCTTCCGTGTTGTATCCACACTATTCTCCCTGCAGAAAAAGATCTCTGTCCGTGCCCTGTTGGGGAAAACGTCCGGATTTCCACCAATGATTCATGTATCACCTTGCCAACTAATGAATACAAATACATCACTATGGGCAGCCCACTGATGAAGATGTTCAACGTGCAAATCATCTCCCTCGATGCATTTTGGTAATATCGTCAAACCGGTGCTGTTCGCAGCCCTCGTGCACGGGTATGCAAACCCTGGCAGTTGTTCAGGTGCCTGCATTGTACACGACCCGACGTTGATACAAAGATCATCGGACAATCGTTATTTCCGATTTTCTACTGGCAACAAGATTTCTTATGCCAGCGCCTCATCTATCAACGGCCCGTGGACTAACATTGGGTCCATGTTACCAGGTGGATCTTCCATTGATCTCGCCGGAAATGATGACCTATGGGTAAGCATTATCCTTTCGCCGAAGCTTGTCCGTAAGTGATCAACATTCTCGGTACTGACTTCTATGTTAGGCCCCCAACGTACAGCTTGTGAATGGTCTTTACCATGTTTATTACACCGTATCGACCTTTGGCTCACAGAATTCGGCCATTGGACTAGCCACATCTCCAACCATGGAGTCTGGCTCCTGGACTGATCGTGGAGCGACTGGTATTGCCTCGTCGTCCTCTAAGGCATATAATGCCATTGATGGAAATTTGTTCAAGGATGGCGGTACTTACTATATGAATTTCGGCTCCTTTTGGCACGATATCTACCAGGCTCCAATGAACTCGGCTGCCACCAAAGTCGCGTCTTCGTCATACAATCTAGCATATGACCCCGCTGGGACACACGCTGTGGAAGGGGCCTATATGTATAAGTATGGAAGCTACTACTATCTCTTCTATTCTGCCGGTGTCTGTTGTGGTTACGACACATCTCGCCCTGCCAGCGGAGAAGAATACAAGATCAAGGTCTGCCGATCGACCTCACCTACTGGTGGTTTTGTATGTTACCCAATGTTTTCCTGCTTTCGACACTTGCCCTAACTGTTTTCTTATAGGTTGATGCTGCGGGTATTGCTTGTACAAGCGGGGGAGGCACAGTTGTCCTAGAAAGTCACGGTACAGTCTACGGTCCTGGTGGACAGTAAGTTCTCGAATTGGACTGTACGCCCGGATATTGGCCTAACCTTTCTCTAGGGGTGTATTTACCGATCCTGCCCTCGGCCCGGTGCTTTATTACCACTATGTTGATACCACTGTGGGCTATGCTGATGGCCAGAAACGCTTCGGATGGAATAAGATCGATTTCTCAAGCGGCTGGCCAGTGGTTTAAATGGAATTTGGTTGGCGCTTGGTTTTTTAGGCCAGGTTTTTCGGAGAGAAGGTTGCCCTATTTTCTCTCTCTCTCTTTCCCTTTTTCGTACTATCTCCTCCAGTTCTATGTTAGGTTGCAACTCGATCGATTGACTGAGCCTCTTAATTCATTTTGATAAAGCGTCTTTGTTTGGTTGTGGTGTATTTGTGAGCAAATGTGATGTAAGTAATACAGCATTTTACTGCTAAACCATGTGTTTATGGCGTAGTGAGGCTATATCCTTTATTCGTTGATTTAGATAACTCGTCCTAAACTTGGATTTTAGGGTTCAACAGAGGTTTAGAGCACTGATTAACATACACATATGTGCATGTAGTATGAAGATAATTCCACGCATCTCGGCGACTTCCGCACTCGGCCGACTGGTGCCGGCGTTGATCTACAAAATGCGTCTGTTTCTCTCAAGATTATTCTCAGCATTTCGCAAATCTTATTCCCTATGGCAAAGTCATCCAAGCTACTCCGCACCAAAGGTCCGGTGAAGTACAACGCAGGATGGAGACGCATCGTGCGGAATTTCAGTCCATCGTATGGTCTTCCTCTCCAAAGACTACCTAGGTACTGGTTTATGCTGATAAAAACATATAGATGGTTTGCAGCGACTATGGGAACTGGCATTGTTTCGGTTTTGATGACGTCGGTCCCTTTCGATACTGCAGTGCTCTATTACTTGTCGATTGTCTTCTTCATGCTCAATATCGCGTTATTTACTCTAGCTTTCATTACCTCTATTCTTCGATACACCTTATATCCTGAAATATGGCATGTGATGATCCAAGACCCAACCAATTCGCTCTTTTTGGCGACAATCCCTATGGGCTTTGCCACCCTCATTGAGATGTGGGTGTTCATTTGCGTGCCAATATGGGGCGAATGGGCCAAGACACTTGCGTGGGTTTTATGGATGATTGACGTGGCAGCTGCGGCTTCTGTGACTCTGTCCTTGTCCTTCATTTTGTCGGTCTACACTCCTGCACAAACCAATGTTATAAGACTGACATCCGATCAGAATATCCCAGCGCTATGTCACCTCGCTAGATCGGATCACTGCAGTCCAATTATTGCCAATTGCAGCAACTATTGTGGCAGCGGGTGCTGGCGCACAGATTGCTCCAATCTTACCTGACAAACAACATGCGCTGGGAACACTCCTCGTCTCATTCATTCTCTGGGGTATGGGCACTCCGTTGGCCATTGCGGTATTGGTAATCTATTATCAGCGACTAGCAGTGCATAAGCTTCCACCGAGGGAACTGATTGTGAGCTGTTTTCTACCTCTTGGGCCTCTTGGCTTTGGTGGGTTTGGGTAGGTGTATCATATCCCTGGGAGCCCCAAGACTCTGGCTAATACGCCTCCAGTATCCTTTATATTGGGAAAGTGGCACGGGTGTTGTTGCAGGATTCACAGTTCCTGGACCCTATCTCAGGCCAGATGGCATATGTCTTGGGTGTTTTCATATCCCTCCTCATGTGGAGCTTCGGCTTGATTTGGCTCGTGTTTGCCCTAGCTACCGTTCTATACACCTCTCCGTTTCCGTTTAATATGGGTTGGTGGGGATTTACATTCCCACTTGGGGTGTATGCCGCAAACACTATGGAATTGGGTCTCGAAATGGATATCATGTTCTTCAAAATCTTCGGTACCGTATGTTCATCATTCTTTCCCTCTTTCTGCTCTATGAGTAAATGACACTTACTAACTTTTACATCTAAAGACCTTAAGTGGCGCTGTGATGTTGTTGTGGATGTTGGTCGCATCACGGACTGCACATGGAGCATGGCGCGGAAGCCTGTTTCATGCTCCATGTTTACAAAACCTAACATCGAAGGAAGAGGGAGCTGAGCGAAATGGAGATCGGGCGTGAGAAGGAAATTCTCTCCTTACCATCATTACCAAGCCCCGAAAACGCCTCAAAAAAAGCCTCGAAATACCTCACCAATAGCATGCGTGTGCCCAGGTGTGATTCATCGCGCCGGATAACCCCGCTGACAGGGCCTTCTTCTATCACGGCCAGGGCCACGAAGTACCGTACAGTTTAGGCAATTTTTGCCGAACTCGATCTTTCGATGTAATTGGTCTGGACCTAAGGTGATTCCATTCCAAGGTTGATTACCTACAACTGTTTACGATCTATTCATTTCACGCCAAGCACTACCTATCAGGCGAGTCGTCACATGTTCAGCCCGTCAGCTTCGTGTTGTTTTCATCCCATTTTCTCTCTCTCTCTCTCTCTCTCTCTCTCTTCTCTTCTCTTGAATTATTTTCTTTTGTGAAACCGAAGGCCGTTTTGTTGACGCTTTGCTACTCGAATACCGCTTCCACGGTAGCGCTTGAGTATCGAGAATGGTAAGACTTTGGCTCTGTCTCTACATATCTATGGCCAGGCACGACTCTAAACAAAGTCTAGGATACGGAGGAGTATGAGTTTCCCTTCCTGCAAAAGGTGTTCTCTCCTCTTGAATCACACAAGGTTGAGTATGCGTACTAAGCTCCGATACATGAAAACTTTTTCTAAGACCACGTTCATTAGTTTTGTCTTCGTTCATGGACTGAACCCAAGCGGTCGTAATGATCATCCTTTCCAGACATGGACGCATAGCAATGGCAAGTTTTGGCCGAGGACTTCCTGGCCGAGGACATTCCATATGCGCGTGTCTTTGTTTATGGATACAATTCAAACATCACCCATCCACAGACCATGTCCACGGCAAGCATCAAGGACCATGCGAATACGCTGTTGAATTTATTGGATATGGAACGCAGCCCCCAGATGGTAAAACATAGAACACGGAGATATTCATTTTGAGTAGCCAGTTAATGTTTCATAGGGGTCTATTCCACCAAAAGTGATATTTATCGGACATAGCTTGGGTGGGTTAGTGATAAAGCAGGTCAGATATAAATATCCCACCGTTTTCCTACGGCGTCTTTCTAACAGTTTCTATTTGATGTGATGATATAGGCACTTCTCAATGCTAAAGAAGATCCCAAATATACATCCATTCGTTCGGCGACTTCAGGTCTCGTCTTCTTCGGAACACCTCATCGTGGCGCGAAGGCTGTGGAACTCGGGAAAATCGCAGCCCGCGTTGCCCGCTTTGTTTCCAAAGGCCATGCCAGCAATGACCTTCTAGACTGTCTGGAATACAATTCCCTTTTCACCCGACAAATGACCGATCGGTTCCGACATCAACTAGAAGATTATCGTGTTGTTAGCTTTATCGAAGGGAAGAAGGTGCAAATAGGGGGAGTGGGACCAACATCTATCAGCCATGTAAGCAGACAGTTCCCCCAACTCTTCTTCTTCCTGGAAGAGCAGCTGATATTGAAAAGCTTGTGGTTGATGAAGAGTCTGCGGTCCTTGGATTGTCCGGGTTACGCGAAACCCAACTCAAGCTCGACGCAGATCACTCGCAGATGTGCAAGGTGGGCTCTCGGGGTCCTATGTACCATTTGATAAAAGGAAACATCAAACAATTGGTCGATCAGGCGCTTTTGTCGGAACAAGGCTTCATTCCATCGATGCCTCCAAATGCCGCGTCATCTCCACCGCCAGTGCCACCGCGCTTTCATTCGAATAGTGGCATGCCGTACCAGGGGCAGGATCGTCCATCTCCCTCGGCACAAAGGGTGACAGGAGCAATGTTCAATGCTCTGGATAATGACCCCCGATCTATTCGTTCTGCAGAACTCAAGAACCGGGCTAAATGGGACGAAGCCCGAACCGTCGAATATGAGATTTTTCAGGAGCATTTGCGCAGCCTTGGTCCAGATCATTTCAGTACACTATCAGTGGCATACAACCTAGCTGAAGTGGAACTGGAGTCCAGCTACTTAGAGAAAGCAAATGAATGGTGTCATTGGGTGTCTGAAAATGCCCAACGGGTCTTTGGGACAAAACATCCTCTGACAATGAAGACAGAAAGTTTGGTCGCAGAGGTCTTGTGTCAGCAAGGCAAGTATCAAGAGGCTGAGTCGGTCTGCGCTAACGTCTTGGCCCGTCAGCAAATGACTATCGGCGAAGACCACTTGGATACCTGTGACACTCGGCGCCGACTAGGAATGACCTACAATGCGCTAGGTCGCCGAGAAAATGCCGTCATGACTGCAGAAAAGCTGACAGACACCCTAAAGCGTCTGCTTGGGGAAACCCACATTCGTGTATTCGGCTCTGTGTTGGACGCTTTGGAATATATCGTTAGCAACCAGTCTGGGGACGCAACTACCCTAATTGTGATGCGTTTTCAACCCGATGTACAACGAGCGGCGGAGATGTTGTTACAGGTCTACCAAGAGCTTCGGACTGCCCTGGGTCATGGACATCCGTCTCCATTCGCGCTCTCTGTCTCCATGGCCGAGCACAGAGCTTTATGCAGCAGAGTATAGAGGCTTCAGAGACCCTGCGCCGGGCTCTGGCCAGTGCGGAAGAAGCGTTTGGGCCCGATCACTCGCTGACAATGGACATCGTGGGCAACATTGGCGTCATGTACGCTCTGCAAAATGGCTATGCTCAAGGTTTATTCACCAACAGTCGTGCTGCAGAAGCTTTCCCCTGGTTGACACGATATTTGAACTGGGTTGAACATCGCAAAGGCAAAGACAATCCCGAAACGCATGCCACATTGGAGCTGCTGGCCAATTTACACTTCAACGCTAAAGAGTACGAACCCGCCCAGAAGTACTATGAGCGCCTTGTGGCGAATAGGCGCACGGCCGACTCAGCAGCGAATGACCGCATCAATACTCAGCTTCAGCTGTGTCGGGCGAACACTATGTACACCCGTCGGGGCCTAGGGGCGGGGCTGGGAGGGTTTTTGTCCAACTCGCAGAGATATTGACGTTGGTTTATGATAGTTATTATACCTTGGTATACAATCCTTGCTTTCGTCTTGACAAATTCAATGGGATATTGGTCATTATTCAATCATATTCATTGTGGTACATCATAGGTATGTTCATGATCCGCGAGGGGTATTGCCTTTCGAAGTTTACACGCATGGCAAAGGTCTCTATATTCTTCCCAGGTAGAACAGCCGATCATCTTGTGTTTACTGAGAGAACTTGTCGGGAACGCCCTTTCTGTATATGGAATTAGCGCTGACTTCGCTCCGTTAAAGAGTCCCGCGAGAAACCATACCCAACCTTGTCCATCTGTTCACGGCCGGCATCTGTCACCTTCTTAGCAGGGTCACTGCCACCCTGGCCACCACCGAACTTCTGCTCCGCGGCGTTTATACCTGTTGTTGTTAAGTTGAAGTCTAATGCGCCAGAGTTTAGACATTGAAGCTCACCCTTGTCAAGGTATTCTTGGCCCTTGTTACCTCCGAGCTTGTTGGCGAGACCGGAGAGTTTGTCCATTTTGAAAGAGTTGATGATAGTGATATTAAAATGTATAGAGTAAAGAGGTGGTTGCTGAGAAGAAGGTTGAAGCAACTCCGGGTGAACCACCCTTTTATAGGGGCCCATCGAGTCTTTCTGATAGAGAGTCTATTACAGTGTACTCCGCATTCTGTATGATGCTTAGCCCTTCTTAGAATGATAATTGGCTTTGGCATGGAATGCTATCGTCATTGCTGCACTCGGATCATCCTAAATGTGAGTTTGCCTCCGCGGAATCATTCCAAATGCATCTACATTGGCATACTGCTTCGATAAGCTCACATCTGAGGTCATATCGATGATCTCGATCTCTCCAGGTGGACCAAGTCCGTAGTCTTAACGGCGAGACTGGATATCGTGACGTCAGCGGGTATATGGGTATTCTTGTCCGAAGCATAAATGGACACCCTCATAACGAGGCATTAAGGTATCAAGGCATAAAGGCATCAATATAACTAACGAGGAACCTTCCAAGACGGCGCTTCTCCGAACTCCCAATGATACACCCGACCGTCGATATTCACTTGTTCAACCTTCTGCAGTGTGATTTGTCACACTTCTTGACGTTTATTCAATGAAGGAATCTGACGCACAAATTCTGTATAAATTCTATTTCAATCTATCAGCCTAACGTGATTGACAGGCAAAGTAAGAATCTCAGATTGATAGTATCCTCTCTATGAATTCGAATAGGCAGTTGATAGTAGAATGGGTAGTGTCTGTTCGATAATGACTGAACTCCTCTATATTTTCCATAAAACACGGGGATTTCACCTAAAATCCTTTCGAGGCAACAGTGCAAACTAAACGAGAGACTCAAAACAACCAAGTCAAGGTGTCACCGGATCCCCCACTATAATATATACATACTGTATATAACCGCTCTGCAACCGTACATTCAAGTTTCTTTAGTTCCCGCAAGCCCCAAAATATTAGCCCTTGTAGCGTCCTTCACAAGAGGCTATAGATATAACCTTGGATACGGACCAGAGACTTCGTTGCCTAGATTACCTAGTAAACATCTCAAGCGAAAGTCTATATCAGCATATAAATAGAGCTAATACCAAAGGTGAACATGCTTATCGTGTTGACTATAGATGCAGCGGTCTATACAGCATGCATATTGAGACAAACTAATACTATGAGAAGTATTATGAATAAAATTCCCAGATCGTATACTGTAGAAAGTAATAAATTGAACTGTCTGCCTTTTCATGTACTCCCAGTATGACAGATCAGAAAGGAATCAGCAAGAAACAGTGAGAATCAACAACAAGAAGCAAAAATGACTGAAAGCAGGCTGAATTGAAACGTCGAGACGACGATGCAGTAACACGAGTACGACCAAACTGCATATAGCCTAGGACACTAGTCTTCCACTAATCTTCCTTTGTCAGGAGTCAAATTTCAGATTCTGCATGGCTGAGATCTGCATAATGCACCCCGCCTTAGGGTTAGCATTGAACCCTGCAAATGGCCAGTGTTACTGGGAATTAACTGGGATTTTCAACATACCGTGGACTGCTTCTAATTCAAAATAAATGGAATCAGAAGTGACTGGGGTCAGCTCCAGGTACAGGTCAGATGTGCGTGACATATAGAGCTTCGAAAGAGTGTCTTGAAAGGTGAAAATGGGACGTGTCTCATCGACCCTAGTGACCAAATAGGGTTGTTTTGTTCCTTCAGGATCCAGCCTGCATTTGCTGCCCTCCTCACATAGCAGGGTCTTGTAGGAGTCCAGAGGCGTGATAACAGCTTCATCCGGACTAAAGCCCTCAGTATCGAATTTCCAGACCTGCGCCTCAAGATTTGGTGGCTTGCCGAATCTCACAGATGTTGCATCCTCGGCATCATGCAGTAACGAAAGAGAGTCGCCCCTGACAACTTGCTTAATCTTATCACGAAATACTACACCGTAGGCCGGTTGGCAAAGGGCGGTCATGAATCCGACCAAAAGATACGATCGCATCATAATGTCAGATGCCAGTGTAGGATAGAAGAATTTCGGTATGTGAATGTTTGAGGCAAGTGATTAATAGGTAGAAGAACCGGGGGAAATGGACGTATTTAATGTCCAAGTTAATGTCCAAGTAGTAAGCCACCGTTCCAAATAATATCTTGGATTTTCAATAACCATATAGATCAAATGCGGAAATTCTGCAGTGCAGCATCATCAACAATCGCTAGTTTAAAAATATGGCAAGGGATAGCATGGTTACTCTATTGATTATCGAATTCTCAGGTGCGCCATACTCTCCAGTGGCCTATATCCACAGTTGTGGATTCCCATGTATCCTTCAGCTCTTCAGCTGGAAACGAGCCAGTTCCGACGATCCTTCCTATAGCGTACACCGCTACTTAGAGCTGAAGCACGACAGTAGGTTTCTAGCTCCCTACTCCGTACATTCGAGGACATGTGGGGCTGGGAAGACGATTCTTAGGTCGTAGCTCTCGGAACGATCCTAATCTACGTGATCCACTCGTGGAGGTCGATCATCACAAAGTCAAAAGCTAATAGAGATGCGATACAGATAGAGAATCAATGAAGAAAACACTATATGGATTGACTGTCTCGCACGAGGAGAGGAGGAAGAGAAGGAAAGGAGAGAGAGCTATCAAACATGTGGGTTCTTATCACATAGTGATGCCTCAGGCATCCAATAAAAGCTAAACCCCCTATACGTTCCAGTGCTTTCTTTATTTGAAGCTAATTCTCCTCAAGCTGTTCAAGGCTACCGAGTATGTCATGGGTCTCTAATCCGCTTGTTGCACATATTTGATGAGGGTTTTCAGGTGGTTCGATCGTGGCTTATAGTGTTGATACCTGCCTGTCCGGGTTCTGCTAGCAATATTTGTCCTCTGTGGCGGTATGGGGGTCCAGGACATTGCATGATTCTATAAAACCCAAACTGATTGCTGACCAGAAGCCTGTTTGGCGTTGGCCTCAGCAGACAAGCGTATCTATCTCTTCATTTCGCTTCAACGTGTTTCGCTTCTGTCGCAGAACTTCCAATACTTCTTCCCGACTATTGTGCAGGGCCTCGAATACGGGAAAGTCGAAACCCTTCTGATCACCGCGCCTGTATGGATTGCTACATTCCTTGTCTCGCTGCTGGTGACATGGACATCTGGTAAAACCAACGATCGCAACCTGCATATGTATCATTTTGGTCAGCGTGGCAGGATGTGTGATTGCCACTGCGACGACTAATATTATTGCCAAATTCTTCGCTATGTTCCTGTAATTCGGCCATGATTCCGTTGTCCTTCGGAAACCTGACAATAGAGCAGGATGCCCATGGGAACTGTCTCTGCATATCAGATTACCATCGCCTGCGTCGCCCATTCGTTTCCCCGGCTGGTTAAACGGTCTTTAGCAATCGCTATTGAAATACGATTGGAAGTACCGCTTCGATCTATGATAATGTGGCCATCGTCTTCAGGACCTCGATACATTCCAGGAAGAAGCGCGACCGCTCCGATAGCATTCCTAGTGGCGTTGGGTGGCCCTAGTCATTCGCCTTGTGCATATTTACCTGAACAAGCATCTGGATGAGACTGAGTTCTCGGGCGTATTCCTTCTAATGCAAACGATCTAGAATCTAGAAACCCGGCTATTGAGTTCCGGTATGTTCTATGATCCTATAGAGACCATTAGACCATTACCTAGGTACTAGGAGAATGTTGGGATTTTAGCTACACTCGAAATAAACATGGAAGATATAGAACGTATATAAGTCCATAGTAAATGCATACTATACATATATGTAAGTCCATATTAATTCTCTCGTACCCCGACGGGGTCCATTCGACATTCGCCATCGGAGTCCAATCAAAGACAATTTGGTCATTTTTCGTTTATCCGAAATCAACACACTTCATCTTCATCTCTCGCATTCCGAAAAATGGTACGATCTGTTACATCCTGTGTTTGAATTACGCTGATCTTGCAAGGATTCATCTTTCACTTCGGTCCCCATTCTGGATTTCTCTCAGGCGCTATCATCTAAACCCGCCTTCCTGGCAAGCCTTCGTGAGGCCCTGAATGTTGGCTTTTTCTACCTTCGAAATGCTCCGATTTCGGTCCAAACCCAAGAGCAATTTATAGAAAAGGCCCTAGCTCTTTTCGAGCTACCTCTAGAGAAGAAGCTTGAGATCGAAATGGTCAATAGTCCGCATTTTTTGGGCTACTCAAGGCTTGGTGCAGAAATTACGGCTTTGAAACCTGATTATCGTGAACAATTCGATGTAAGCTTGGGTTATATTATCTATTGGGATATCTACTAACTGGTCAGTTTGCAACCGAACTCCCTGCACCTGGTCCAAACGAGCCTTTGTATAGGAATGTGGTTGGTCCTAACCAGGTAAGATCTTATATATTTTGTCCACGGGTCTTTGTTTCAGTGAATGCTTATAAAGCCCTGTTAGTGGCCAGATGAAACGGCAATCCCCGGGTTTCGTGAAGCATTGGACACATATCTGTCGGAAGTGAGCAGCCTCGCAGAGTTATTTCCAGGGTTGATTGCAGAAGCATTAGATCTCCCATCAACTTCATTCAATCAGGTTTTTGATACCCCGCAGCAACATAAACTGAAGTTGATCAAATACCCGCCCCCTCCTGGAACTAGCAATGAGGAGTCTGGATTTCAAGGCGTTGGTCCTCATAAAGATTCCGGATTCCTCACATTCCTTTTGCAGGGTACACCTCACCATGGCCTCGAGGTCCAAAATAAGACCGGGATATGGATTCCTGCACCGCCACTTCCGGGAACATTGGTTATTAATATTGGCCGCTCTCTGGAGGCACTAACTGGGGGGGATCTGCACGGCAACCACACACCGCGTAAGCTTACGGGTGGAGAACTTCCAAGATAGTGGAGGCTCTTTAGGACCGAGGTTTTCGTTCCCGGTTTTCCAGGGAGTTAGTCTCGATCTTTCCGCCGACAAGGTCTCTTTGAAGATCCCAGATCATAGCCGTGCATTGGTGAAAAATGACAAGGTCAAATCAGATGCAGAGGCAACGTTTAACGAAATATTCCATGGGAGCATTGGCGAGGGAACCTTCATTGCCCGGGTGACCAGCCACCAAGATGTTGGGCAGCGATGGTATCCGGACATCTTAGCGAAAGCATTGAAGGGTCAGAAGGATTTTCTTAGCTAACTGCTGGTATCTATATAAATATCTTTGATATCTCTTGGCGTAAGATTGATGCATATCCCTACTTAATTCAGACTGACGTTGTATAGGAGAGTTGCATGGCAGTGGGGGGGTAAGCACATATGTACATACATGTATGTATGTAGCTGTGATTCGTGTTCTGAGTCGCATAAGACACTCTGCATCTACTAATATCGTATTTTACCCTTCGTCTTGAGCCGTTTCCTTTGTTTTAATAACTATTTCTCATCGCATCTACAATGCGCTGGATCAAGCCGCTGCTCTGGCTTTCTGCAGTAACAGTGGCCCAGTCCACCGAGGGCATCTCCAATCTTGTTAAACGAAGACTGCCAGATCATGTTAATAACTTCCATTTTATGCTGGATACTAATCTCGGAGGCTATGATTCATATGTTGTGACCAACGCTCTAAATAGGACGATTTCGGTCAAGGGGTCCTCCTAAGCGCTTTATCTTCGGGGTGAACACGGTCATTCCCTTTCTTTTCATAAAAGTCAGCAGCTGAATTATGTTTCCAGTTTACATCGGTACCTCACCGATGTCGCCCATGTCGATATTTACTGGTTTATTGGTAGTCGGTTGGATGTCGCGCCGTCTGAGTTGCCTCCCCTAACCACCCCAATTCAAGGCTCCAGTACAGTCCCTTGGCGGTATCATTTCAACACAGGTATGATGCACATCTAGATTATATGTAGTATTTGTTCTTGCTAACTGAACTTAGTAACCTTCTCCTACACCACTGCCTTCTGGGCATGGGAGGACTGGGAGTCACAGCTAGACTGGATGGCCCTACGCGGTGTGAATCTACCCCTTGCTTGGGTTGGCCAAGAGAAGATCATTCTCGAAGTGTTCCGTGAAATTGGCCTTAATGATGCCGAGATTACCACTTTCTTCAGTGGTCCAGCCTTTCAGGCCTGGAATCGGTTTGGCAATATTCAGGGCTCCTGGCACGGTGATCTTCCCGAAACATGGATCGATCAACAATTTGATCTGCAGAAAAAGATCATTCATCGCATGGTAGAGCTAGGGATGACCCCTGTGTTGCCGTCCTTCACTGGATTTGTTCCGGCTAATCTATCTCGTGTTCTACCAAATGCCAATGTGGTTCGCGGATCACAATGGGGCGGTTTTCCCCTTCAATACACAAACGACACATTCCTTGAGCCATTCGATGTCAATTTTGCCAAACTCCAAGCTAGTTTCATCAGCAAGCAACAAGACGCATACGGTAATGTCAGTCACATCTACACCCTCGATCAGTACAACGAGAACGACCCTTACTCGGGTGACATGGACTATTTGCGTAATGTCACTCGTAGCACCTGGCACAGCTTAAAACAGGCAGATCCTCATGCGATATGGATGATGCAAGGCTGGCTTTTCTATGCCAATTCCGAGTTTTGGACTGATGAGCGAGTGGAAGCCTATCTGTCTGGTGTAGACTCCAACGAGGATATGTTGATCTTGGATCTTTTCTCGGAGTCTATTCCACAATGGCGTCGAACGAACAGCTATTATGGAAAACCTTGGATCTGGTGCCAGTTGCACAACTTTGGAGGCAGCATGGGCCTATATGGGCAAGTCCAAAACCTGACTCAGAATGCTACTGAAGCGCGAATTGAGTCTCCATCCATCTCAGCATGGAGGGTCAAGAAGGAAATGAAATTATGTACGACTTACTTCTAGATCAGGCGTGGTCTCAGGCCCCATTGGACACACAGCAGTACTTTCAGAATTGGGTGACGAGTCGATATTCTGGCCAGAAGCATATCCCGAATGGGCTCTACGTGGCCTGGGATTTGATGCGACAGACAGTGTATAACAACACAAACCTCACAACACTAGCCGTGGCAAAGTCCATTGTTGAGATTGAGCCTAAGCTTTGGGGTTTGGTTGATATCGTCGGTACACACGGTACAACTGTCAACTACGAGCCACCTGTACTGGTGCAGGCGTGGCAGTCGATGTACCAGGTAACAGAAGAAGAACCCAGATTGTGGTCCAATCCGGCTTACCAACATGACATGATTGATGTGACTCGTCAAGTCATGGATAACGCTTTTATTCTGTTATACTTGGATCTAATTGAGTCTTACAACAACTCTCGTTCTACACAGGACACATTTGCGCAGCAAGGGGAGAGCCTCCTCCAAATTTTGAGAGATATGGACTCCATCCTTCTCACGAATCGAAATTTCCGACTTTCGACCTGGATTGATTCGGCACGGGCCTGGGCCAACGGTAACAAAACCGAGATGGCATTCTTGGAATATAACGCGCGCAATCAGATTACTCTATGGGGACCAAATGGAGAGATCAGCGGTTACGCTTCGAAGCAATGGGGTGGGCTCGTTTCCTCATACTATGTGCCCCGTTGGCGTATGTTCATTGAGTATCTGAAGTCAACGCCGACCGGGTCATACAATGCCACTGAAATACACGCAATAATACGTGAGTTTGAGCTGCGGTGGCAAGATGAGACATGGTCTGCTCCCGAGCCTACTGCGGATATGGTGGATTTAGCCAAAGTATTGACCAGAGTCACTCGCCAATGGCCATCTGTTTTTGGCCTGGAGTAGATCGTTTTCGTGGCTTATGGTGAGACATCGCTGTCCTAACGAGCAGCTTTGGAGTTCCAGATATACAAGGAATTTGGTCGTGTCTTGCTTCTGTATATCCATGGATAGGTGCTATATCTCAACAAATCGATTCACCAATGCCCGAGTCCTCATCTCGCAGGTTGCCGCAGCCCGACCTGGTGCGTAAATTGCTCAGCAGTCAATCTCCCGTCATAAATCTGGCTGGTATGGAGCATATTGTAGGCAGTTAAGGCAATGCTGTATGTTGTTCCTGAGAGATACTGTTATGGTATTGGTTGCAACTCTGCCTAGGCTGGGATTGGACCTCCGGAGACGAGCGAAATGGGTATTGGGGTGTTGAGCAAGAGTGAAGAAGGGAGTTAGTTTCTCGGGGGTGAGTTTAATTCCTAGAGAATGGATGTTTTGTCATTTGTGAATGAGGGAGATAGAAGAAGTTGAGATGAAGTTGAGATGAAGAGGGCCAATGCCCAAATGTCTTGGCACATCTCCAACTTCTCCGCCTCCTTCCTCTCTTCTTCTCTTCTCTTCAAAACACTTCTTATCCAACATGCCACGTGCCGTCCGAGGTAAGCTCTCTCTCTCTATCTTTTCTTATTTCCCAGTTCTTTTTGCTGACATTTTGTGTTCTTGGCAGGTCTGCTGATCGAATGCGATCCCTCAATTAAATCCATGATCCTAAAGTACGACGAAGAGCGACATGACTACATAGTGGAGGATTTGGATGACGAAAACCACCTGGTCATCAAGGAGAGCCAGCTGCAGAACCTCAAGGTTCGCCTGGATCAGGTACTTACTGCCCCCTAGCTATTTGAGGGCCATTACTCACGGATTTGACAGGACCTTGACGAAAAGATCATGCAGCTGGACGAATCGGAATCTGAATAGAGTCATAACCAGCCACTATGCATTGAACCTGAGACCTACACGCGAAACGCGAAGCCAACCGGTCCCCGTATCCAAGTCCAGAACGCACTCGCAGAACACGGCCAAGAATGTGCCTATCTCCCACCGCTTGTTACACAGGTTCGCGTCATGATTTCATCAGTATTCAGCTGTTGAACCCAGTTCGACCACCTCTCTCGACAATCTACCCTTCCTACTGATGAACACTTGGCCACTTTGCAAAGAGAAACACTCTCAATGAAAGTGTGGGGTTCGCTCTCGGACGGCGGAAGGGAGGTTGGAGACTGTGCAGCCTATCGAGGGTTCGTTCATACTTCGCAATTGTGTATGCCAGCTCCGGATTGTGCTGGCTAGTAATACTCCCAATGAATGAGAGACATGTGAAGTGATCGAATGTTGACGCAGCACATCATCCAAAAGTACCGGAGAAACCCTTACTCCGGCAGGGATAACCATGGACCACACCCATAGACATATATCATGTAGCATGTCACTCTTCAGGGCGAACACACTTGATGACACTTGCATTCTGGTAGACACCCGCGGGCAAATACATACAATGTTGTCAGTCAATTACGCTTTATTGCATAAGGCACCGGTCACGACCATCAAGATGTCAACGATGGGTTACACGTGAAACCTGGAAGCAGCGAATGTTTTCATATTCTCTTTTCTGTGTAAGGGAAACTGGTTTCGAGTGCATTATGGCTATATAAGTCCTTCATGGACTCCTCGAGTGTCTAATATCCCTTTCATCAGACATATATCCTGCAAACAAAACCACCTCAAGCTACCCAACTTCCAACTTACATGTCTCTCCTCCGTACTAGCTTCCCCGGCTCTGGCGACTTCGCCCCTCTCTTCCGTCTTCTTGATGACTACGATGATCACCGCTCTGGCCGTACCCAGGCCGCGGTTCGCTCGTTCTCTCCTCGCTTTGACATCCGTGAGAGTGAAGAGGCATATCATTTCGATGGTGAACTGCCTGGCATCGATCAAAAGGACATCGATATTGAGTTCTCCGACCCCCAGACTCTGGTTGTCAAGGGCCGCAGTGAACGCGAGTACCACACCGAGCCACCAGCCGAGGCCAAGGGTGGCACCAAGGATACCGAAACCAAGCCCACTCACCGGTTCTGGGCCAGCGAACGCTCCGTCGGCGAGTTCCAGCGCGTCTTCTCCTTCCCGACTCCTGTCGACCAGCACAATGTCAAGGCCAGTCTGAAGCACGGCATCCTGTCCATTAATGTACCCAAGGCCACTGCCGCTACGTCCAAGAAGATCACCATTGAGTGAACAGTCATTCCAGCTATGAAGTATTCTTTTTGGCAATGGTATTGCATGGAAGTTGGACTTATTAGTTCTTTGGTATCTCTGTTACTCTCCACGTACTAGTCTAATTAATTCAAGCGCCATATTGTACTCCTAGTTTTCTTTGGACACATATGTATATCTCATGATCCGGGGCCTCGGCACATGCAAATCCCAAGTTGACACACAAATACAATATTGAGGCGTATAGATCTTAGAGAACATCATCGGCCCCGGAATTTACATTTCAAAACGAGATTTAAGGCATTTAAGGAATTCAATTCAAAGCATTCGAGGCATTCAGAGTTGACATTCGGACTTCCCAGTTGTGCCGAGGTCCCCCGCTGTGCAATAACAACTCTTTTATACTCACACACTCTCTCTCTCTCTTTCTTTTCTCAGACCCCAGAAACAAATCATCTCTCTCTCAAAACATGGATAACTACTCTTTCGACTATTTTACCGTGCAATTTCCTGCCGATCATCAATATGTGGCCCATGTGGAAATCAATCGACCGGAAAGGTTGAACGCCTTCATCGAAGTGTGAGCGCTAACTCTCGGACTTTGATCGTATATCTTCTAATCAATATTAGTATGTGGGAAAACATGGCCCAGATCTTCAACAAGCTTTCCTCGGATCCTCAAGTTCGTGCGATCGTCCTCAGCGGTGCTGGAGCGAAGGCATTCACCGCCGGGCTGGATGTCAAAGCGGCCTCGGAAGGTCTTCTGTCGTCAGACTCAGACGCCAACACCGACCCAGCTCGAAAGGCGGCCGTGTTTCGTCGCCATATCAGCGCCTTCCAGGACTGTATCACCGCGGTAGAGCGCTGTGAAAAGCCCGTTGTGGTTGCCCTCCACGGGTTCTCATTAGGACTCGGTATTGACCTGTCAACGGCGACGGACGTGCGCCTCTGTTCTCGGGATACCCGGTTTGGGGTCAAGGAAGTCGATATAGGGCTCGCAGCAGACATCGGTACCCTCAGCCGACTCCCCAAGGTGGTCGGAAATTACGGATGGGTAAAAGAGGTGGCTCTGACGGCACGCGAGTTCGGTGCTGAGGAGGCGCTACGTGTTGGATTTGTTAATGCGGTGTATGATAACCGTGAAGCCACTATTGCGGCTGCATTTAAGCTCGCCTCCCTGATGGCCAGCAAGAGCCCCGTGGCCGTGCAAGGCACCAAGGAGATCTTGAACTTCTCACGCGACCACTCTGTGCAAGATGGTCTGCGGTATACGAGCGTATGGAACAGCGCTGCTTTGCAGACGCAGGATATCTCGGCAGCTCTGCTATCTGGACTGCAAAGGCGTACTCCGACATTCGAGAAGTTGTGATGGGCAAATCCACTATTTTCCACCTTGTATATACAATCAATGTATGTAGTCTGCTAATTTCCCAAATATCCAATGTCATCATTCTTTTCACAGAAACTTTGCATCTGCCAAGGAATGTCAGCCATCGTCACATCCATTTGACCGTGCTATTTACGGAGTATTCCCATGCATATGGACTGTTTTAGGATAAATTCCCCATTTTTACCCCCCAAAAGCCTTGTTTCGAGTCCGTGTCCGATTCGGATGTTTTATTTTGATGGCTTTCCATGAATCAGAAAGCATCGATCAACGGATCTCCGCATTTCCTTTACATCTCCTCTTCTCCTCTTCTCCGTGAAACTCGAAAGTGAAACTCGAAAGGGTACGCAATAGCTGTCTATACCCCCGCTAACGATGTCACTTTTTCCACGTATCCAAGCCGTTGCTTAACATGGCTTGAAAATGTATAATTTCCAAGAACCTGCCCATTCCCAGAACATTCACTGAGCCTTTCCAGAACTTGATCTATTATTTTTCTCGCCATGAAATCTGCTATTCTTCTGTCGCTCATCCCTAGTGCGCTGGGTGCGACCCTCTACCTTGCCGGTGACTCGACTATGGCAAAGGGATCTAGCACAACCGGTATGTGTATCCTTTTTAGGCCCCAGGATAGCATGCTAATACTCCCAGGTTGGGGTGAATATGTTGCGCCCTATACCTCACTCACCGTGTCCAACAAAGCGATCGGCGGCCGTAGCGCACGGTCATACACCCGTGAGGGTCGGTTTGATGCCATTGCAGAAGTGGTTCAGTCTGGAGATTGGGTGGTCATCGAGTTCGGCCACAACGATGGAGGCTCTTTGAGTACCGATAATGGGCGTACCGATTGTCCTGGCACAGGAAGCGAGACCTGTAGCACAACCTACAATGGGGTCGCCGAGACAGTGTTGACGTTCCCGGCATATATAGAGAATGCCACCAAGATGTTCAAGGCCAAGGGCGCGAATGTGATCATCTCGAGTCAAACCCCCAACAATCCCTGGGAAACTGGGACCTTCAGCTATTCCCCATCGCGGTTTGTGGGCTATGCGCAGCTGGCAGCTGAAGCCGCCGGCGTGCCCTATGTTGATCATGGGGCTTACGTGGCGGACCGGTTCGAGACGCTGGGCCAAACCGCTGTCAATGCGTACTTCCCCTCGGATCACACTCACACCAGTGCTGCCGGTGCATCGGTGGTGGCTCAGGCATTCTTTAAGGCTGTGGTTTGTGGAGATGTTGTGCTGAAGAGTTCGCTGACCACCACCTCTTTCCCTGGTTCGTGTCTCTAAATAGCAGAGTAGCAAGGTACGGGACCTGCGCAATTCTGAGCTTTATCTGTGTGACTATAATTCTGCTGCCTGTAGAGCGAGATAACAGGAGATTGAGAGGTTTCGGCTGAACTATGTCCAAGAGGAGTTGTAGACTAGGTTTCAACCCAGTCTGGCTCATCGCCAGGTAAATTCGTAAGGTTTCGTAATATGTTCATACTAAAAGATCAACACTGAAATGCAAAAGCTGTCGTGGAATAGGCTTTGTTGTGGGAATACAACCCCAGTCCGATTTCATTCCTCCAGAATAGACCGAACGATGCCCCAATTCTCGACTCGCTGATAATATTGATTCACGTTCACGAACCGAGCATCAAATGCACCCTGGGTCTGTACAATCTCCCGCAGAACTGGCCATAGAGAGCAATCGTCGATGGTGAACACGGAGCCTCCTAGGTAATGTTGGCCCTGCAGAATACTCTCCCAATCCTCCATCCCATATTCAAACACACTACCTGAATCGGTGGCACAGTGCTGACGCCAGTGTGCCAAAAACCGGTCAATCGCTGTCAAGAAATTGCCCCCCACGTAATGAATCCACACCTGGCCGTAAGGTCTCAGCAGATCGGTTAGCCATGTGCGTTAGGATAACGGAATCGCCTGCGATTGTTGCTCCATCGGGCGTTTCGTATACTGGTAGTGTCTTTGGACTGTCACTAGCTCCCAGTTTCTCATGGTCGGTGACCAATCGATACCGGATGCCGTTTTCACCCAGACAGAGACGCACACGCAAGTTGGCCACAAGATCGCAGCCAAGCACTAGCTGCCCTGTTGAAGTAGTCACAAAATTGACCACGTCGAAGCCCCCACCGTACACGGCATCCCAATCGAATTCGGTGGCACGATTTTCCTGGCCAAAAGCACCAATGAGGCGTGCTGTTTCAGCAGGATCCCCATGAACCACAGCACGGGCCTGGTCCAATGTCTTACTGACAGCCCCTTGTCCCCAAATTGTGTTTGCCACAGGGTCGATGAAGGTGCCAATGTGACGGAACGTAAGGGAAATGCGCTGGCCGCCGTAAGCTTGCTCCTCAGCAGATTTGGTCGCGTTAGGTCGTTTGTCGGCCCGGATGCCATGAAGCCATCGCATGTTCGTCTTTGGGCCCAGCACAAAAAGTGACTTGTGAGGAAGAGGCACGCGCTGCGTCGTCCGACATGGTTCAATCCCTTCCTCGGGATCAGATGCCGAGGCCTTGGTACGGAGGACCATCATGCGCTCGGCACCTAAACTAACATTGCAAATGAAAGATCCTCGCACAATATCCAGCGTCTTATCTGAATGCTCTGATATGCGATCCTGTCCATCACGATAAAGCTGAATAAGCACATGATTCAAGGGTGGCCTAGTATCTGCTCAACAGCCATTCGCACTTCATCAACCGCGGGGGTAAATGGCTTGAAGGGTGGAGACTCGTCTGCCGGATGACGATATATGGGGATTGCTCCATCGGGTCGAGGTTGGCCCTGAACTGCAACCAATCGGGGAACCTGGCCCGACAGATGGTACATCTTCTGCCAATCTACCTCGGCCTGTATGCGCTCAAAGGAGTCTGCAGCCAAGTTGACATTGTTCACAAGGCGCGAATCGCCCTCCCCGATGTTGACTTGGGATGCATTTGGTATTTCCGCGGATTGTGAAGGTTCTTTTGGGGCGTCTCGGCGCTTCGGACGGCGGACGCGCGCGCGCACCTTCTTTTGGTCTTCCACTGGACCCCGTGCCTGCGCAGCAGTAGCGCGCTGTGCACGAGAGAGACTAGCGAGTTCCAAAACGCTCGGATCCTTTAGGTCACGCGAGTCCTCCGTGGGAGAGTTGTCCGCGGTATTCCAGAATTCCAGACCGTCCATGACGCTCTCGAGGCCAGCTGTAGCTGCTGACCTCTTAGGCTGCGGTGCACCTTGGCGGGCAATTGCCTCAGTCTCATCCCAATCTAGCTCCTGGATTAGCTCCTGAGCGGTGATACCAGCCGCCCCCAATATATCCGCCATACGCCGCATTGCTTCTTGATGCCGCTGAAAATCGCGGAAACCTAGGCAATCCTCCACAAGTGTCACGGAAAACCCGTTGCGGACAGCATCCAAAGCGGTCGCAAACACAGAGACATTGGACAACGAGCCACAGAGGTACAACTCGGTCACAAAACGTGTCCTGAAGGATAACACCAGCCCGGCGGACTCCAGGGCGGAGTATCCTGTTTTGTCCACCACGGTGTCATGCTGGGCATTGATGGCGGCCAGAATTGGTGCGGGGAATTGATATCCGGGGTATGCGGGTCAGGGCATGGCGAAGACCCGGAGAGAAAGGCTTCTGGGTCGACAGGTTCTGGTGAATCATGGTCCGACCCGGCTTCAATTATATCCGAGGTGGGCATCTCCTTTCTGCGCGGTGGCTCTCTGTCCAGGACAATACGATCACCAAAGTTCCAGTCAGAGATGACCTGAGGGGATTCATATTGTGAACGCACCCAAACTACATCACCAGCCCGACGGAATGCAGACGCCAGCTGTGGAAGGGTTTCGAGGATGTCCGGTGTATTGGGGATATATAAAGCTCCGGACGGACGGACAAAGTCATTTTGAAAGTCAAGTAGTAGCAAAGCCTTCCGAGTTTGGATAGTGGGCAAATCCCCAAATGCGAAGACACTCATCCTATAGACATGGTACGATGACTAGGAAGAGGAAGTAATCCAAACAATGCAGGTTGATAACAAGCCTTGGAAGGGAACATGGTGGGGGAGAAACATTCGAAGGCCTGAGGCAGAAATGGTACTTTTGTCAAAAAGGTCAAGGCAGGTACGAAGGTCATCACGTGAATCAAGTCTGGTCTGGACTCCTCAGGGACTTTTGATATTCTGACGGAGATTGTCCTCCGGGGAAAGATATCCCTTTATGATAGAACAATTGAGCCTATCTACGGAGTCGCTGAATACTCCGTACTGACCTGACTATGTGCCTTGCCTGGGAAACGCAATTCATGACATAATAAATTACTCCCCTCCAATCAATACACCGGCCGGTGTCGGTGTGGGTCTCCGGGGAGGAAGGTCTTCTCTCCGGGAATTGCTACGGTGACTCGAATCGCCCAGCATATTTGCCCATTATTTAAATTCCCAAGCTTCCCCAGTAACTTCCTTTCTTTCTCCATTCACTCTCCACTCTCCTCTCTTCCATATATTCACAATGGCTTCCCGTGGTCTTCCCCGTGCCCTCCGCCTCGCCCGTGTGGCCGCTCCTCGCTCGGTTGTCACCGCAGCCCTCCCTCGCCCTGCCGTAGCTGCCGCTGCCGCCCTCCCCCGTGTCTCCTCGGTCGTTACCCCCGTCCGTGGTATCAAGACCATTGACTTCGCTGGTGTCAAGGAGGATGTCTACGAGCGTGCCGATTGGCCCCGTGAGAAGCTCCAGGAGTATTTCAAGAACGACACCCTTGCCCTCATCGGTTACGGCTCCCAGGGTCACGGCCAGGGTCTGAACCTGCGCGACCAGGGTCTCAACGTCATTGTCGGTGTCCGCAAGGATGGTGCCTCATGGAAGGAGGCCATTCAGGACGGCTGGGTCCCCGGCAAGAACCTGTTCGATGTCACCACCGCCATTGAGAAGGGTACCGTTATCATGAACCTCCTCTCCGATGCCGCTCAGTCCGAGACCTGGCCCACTATCAAGCCCCTCCTCACCAAGGGCAAGACCCTCTACTTCTCCCACGGTTTCTCCCCCGTCTTCAAGGACCTCACCAAGGTCGATGTTCCCAAGGACATTGATGTCATCCTCGTTGCCCCCAAGGGTTCCGGCCGTACCGTCCGCACTCTCTTCCGTGAGGGCCGTGGTATCAACTCTTCCATCGCCGTCTTCCAGGACGTCACTGGCCAGGCCAAGGAGCGCGCCATCGCTATGGGTGTCGCTGTCGGCTCCGGCTACCTTTACGAGACCACCTTTGAGAAGGAGGTCTGCTCTGACCTCTACGGCGAGCGTGGCTGCCTGATGGGCGGTATCCACGGTATGTTCCTCGCCCAGTACGAGGTTCTCCGTGAGCGTGGCCACAGCCCCTCCGAGGCCTTCAACGAGACCGTTGAGGAGGCCACCCAGTCTCTGTACCCCCTGATCGGTGGTAACGGTATGGACTGGATGTACGCTGCCTGCTCCACCACTGCCCGTCGCGGTGCTATTGATTGGTCCAGCCGCTTCAAGGACACCCTGAAGCCCGTCTTCAACGACCTCTACGACAGCGTCCACAACGGCACTGAGACCAAGCGCTCCCTCGACTACAACTCGCAGCCCGACTACCGTGAGAAGTACGAGAAGGAGATGCAGGAGATCCGCGATCTCGAGATCTGGCGCGCCGGAAAGGCCGTCCGCTCTCTCCGCCCCGAGAACCAGAAATAAATAATACCTTGATACCCGTGGGGGTTCAAAAAGTGATGATGTACTATGAACTGTTCTTTTTTGGGTTTCAGGTCGAAAATATTATTTTGAGGCTTTACCGGCCATTCCCCAGTTACTTTTTTTTCCCAGTCTTTTCGTAGCTTTCGTAGCTTCAAGGTTGTTTCTTGCAGCTTGTGTACCTGCAGTGGTAGCGTAGCCCCAATACGCGCCGAGGTCCGGAGAGTAATCCGGGGTAAAATAAGAGTCATACTTCGCTGTGTTCTCTTCTTCTCTTCCCCAACCCACAATGACTTCACCCGATGTTGCAGCTCAGTCGCTCACTCCAGCTGCAGTTCAAGCGGCATATGATCTCATCCAACCCCACGTGCACCGTACGCCGCTGTTGACATGCAAAACACTCGACACCATCGCCTCAGCACCCCAATCCACCGAAGCCTTGGTCGGAACGTCGTTTGAAGGCCAAACTCCCGCTCGCCCACGATTTCGTTTCTTCTTTAAGTGTGAGAACTTTCAGCGAATTGGTGCTTTCAAAGCACGAGGTGCATTCCATGCATTGCTGCGACTGTTGGAGGAGCGCGGGAAGAAGTCAAACGGCGCGGGGTGATTACACATAGCTCTGGTATTATCTGATCTTCTGTTGCGCAAGTCCAAATTATATATGCTAAATCCTCTCCATTTCAGGAAACCATGCACAAGCCCTCGCCCTCGCTGCCTCGACTTTAGGCATTCCCGCCTATATTGTGATGCCCCGCATCAGCACGCCATCGAAAATTGCGGGTACACAGTCCCATGGGGCGGAGGTCATTTTCAGCGGCTCGACGAGTGTAGAACGTGAAGCTGTCGTGGCAGAAATACAGGCAAAGACAAATGCCATCCTCGTGCCACCATATGACGACTTCAATATCATTTGTGGGCAGGGTACAACGGGTTTGGAGCTGGAGGCACAGCATGCCGAACAAGCTAGGTCCCGACCCCTGGATGCGGTTATCACTCCTATTGGTGGAGGTGGACTCAACTCCGGCGTGGCGACGTGGTTCTCGGATAAGCAGACACGCGTGTTTGGTGCAGAGCCCAGCTTCGAAGGTGCAGATGATTGTCGACGCGGCCTGCAGGCCGGGAAGCGAGTGGAAGCCGTCGGCACCCTCACTATCGCAGACGGGCTACGCACTCCCGTAGGATTACTCAATTGGGAGATTATATCCAATAAGAAGAAGGTGGAAGGGGTGTTCGCTGTCACCGAAGAGCAGATCAAGTCAGCCATGCGGTTGGTTATAGAGCGCATGAAGGTTGTGGTTGAGCCGAGCGCGGTCGTTGGACTGGCCGTGTGTCTCTTTGATGAAAACTTCAGGCGACGAGTCGAACAAGAGGGTGGTAAGGATGGATGGGATGTTGGCGTTGTGTTCAGCGGTGGCAACACAACCGTCGAGGCAATTGCCAAGCTGTTTACATGAACATACGAGATTGAATAGAAAATTGGGACAGATGAATATACAACCGTGAATAGAATTGTTCAATCAATGATGAGGATCAGTCATCTCAACCCCAGAGTCCCGCGTGTAAAACGAAAAGCTCCCACCATTGTTCGCCTCTAGTGCTTCCACTATGCGACGAGGCCATTCATCACGTCCCCACGGATTGACCCATGCCGATATCTTCCCTTGCTGAACCACGCTCTGTCGTGAGGGAGCATCTTTCACGGCTGTGTGAGCGGCCATGCTCAGTGGAAAGGGGCGCACAGAAGACCGGTGGACAATCAGACGCAATGTTGGAAAAGTGCCCCAGGGTGCAGGGAGAGCAGGTCTCAGGGATGGAACACGAGCTTGGGGCTGGTCGTACTGACCAGGGCCAGAAGCTCGACCCCCCTGAGACCGTTGCGGTATACACAACTGCACACTGAAACTGACTCTGGAGAGCCTTCAGCTCCCTCACCAGCTCAGCGTAAAGGTCAGAGAAATGGAACCTCTTTTTCTGCTCGCGCTCGGAATCAATTTCTACCTGAGGGCGCCCAATTTCTTCGGTCCGAGCGACTTCGTCACGCAGCCGGTCTTGCCAGAAGAACGCGGTGGCACTGTCGATGGCGACCATTTGTAAGGGACGTGATGCGGAACGATGCCGCGAGAGATCGAAAAGGTACGAGTCTAGCGTGTGGACTGTGGCCAACAGAGCGGATGAAGACTGCGGACGAAACACATGGACATGCTGTAGTGAAGAGACGAGCAATGATTCAAGTTGGTGATCTGGCATTCCTCCTGGTTCGGCTTGCACCCCAAGGCGCGATTCAGATAGTCCTCGCTGCTGCTGAACGATATCTCGAGCCACGGTTCTTAGTCTCTCGGCATCGAATCGGTCGTCGGTATCTATGAACACCACAGCTGCCTCTTGGCCACTGACAGAGATGTCCCCGCATTTTCGTGGTAAGATAGCGAGCGCTGTGAGATAGTACAATAGCTGTGACTTCCCCGAAGCTGATAGGCTGCTTGAGATCTCCACGATAGGAACTTGTCGTTTCTTACTACCGTCTGACTCTGAGAACAACACATCGGCAGATGGGTCAATGTTCTGCGCTGTGTGTATTTCATCCGGCCTATAAACCTGACCAGCCGGGAATTCATTGCGCAGCAGCATTTCCTCGTCTTCAATGGTCTGCTTTTCTACAGACTCACTTAGCGGTTGAGGCTGTCCATCGTTCACGGCACCCACAGCAGGTGCTTTCGGCGTAAAGACTTCAAGCAAAGTGTCTAGAAGGGGCACGCCTAATGAATGTGTGTCATGGCTTGAGTGACCAGGATAAAGATGGGCCAATCCAGCGAGTATCTAAGAACTAGTCAACTCAATGCATTCAACGAGATAGGAAAGCTGCAATACCTCATCTAGTCCCTCTTGGTGTACATCGGCTAGCGATCTCTCCCCGAGATTGGCTGCCATTGGTAAGCAATGGACTGCCTCATGGATCTGACATCACTAAAGTTTGACCAAGACGTATAAAGTCCAGTGAGTAGACACGAGCAAAGTGGTAGAAGTAAAGAAGTGAAGTGCAGAAGTGATGGGCGGAAACTCGAATAGCGCGGCTGACGGAGCTTCCGAACTTCCAACCCTTCCAAGGTTGGATGCCCATTTCCCTTCAAATTCCCTTCGAATCTTTTCCCTTCGACACGAAAACCTCCGAAATCTCACTCTATAGTTCAATTTATCTCATATTCACAGCTGCCAATTACAATGGCTCCTCTCGTCCCCATATTCTCCGCCGAATCTCTCCCCGATCATGTCAATACCGTTCGCCGCAACTTCCAAGAGAAACGCCGTAAAGGCGAACCAGTCAACCTCAAGGAGTGCCCATTACTTGAAATGACACAATTTTCTTGCAATCCACCACAAAATGGAGTTCCTGAGCCAGGGGTTGTGGTGTGCGAGCCTGTGGTGCGGTTGTTCCGACGGTGAGTCTTGCGCATCGAGTTCGAGTCAAATAGCAAGCTGATTTTGTAGCTGTGCCGGTGGTTTAACGGTTGAAACAACATCATGGGAACCAATTAGGCTGGCGGAGGAAGCAAAACAAGAGCAAGCAGCTAATACAAAACAATGAGAGGGACTACTTTGCATTACGAATGCGCATTGGGCGGAGTTGGCTATATGGGAATACAATTACTTGCCGGTATCAAGAATAAAAGTTGCATTTGAATCATGTTTGTGACTGCCATGGGGTATCTCCTCAGGTCATCTTCCTGAAATAAAACACAAGCGCCAGCCCACAATCGAGGGAGAAAAAGAAAGATAGAAAACAGAACGCCGGTAAGCCCTATGCCTTTGTAATTTACATATCAGTCATGACATCCGCTGGGTCGAGACTTGGTGGAGGCTTTGGAGTCTTCTCCTCTCCTCGCCGTGCATTCGAGCTTGTCCGGCGCCAGAGATCTCGCTCACAGTTGACAATGGGGCCCAGCTCCATATTCCACGAGAGCTTGAGCCGGGACTTGGTGTCCGCATCCGCCGGATGTCCCGAGTCAATATCCATGGCTGAGCTGGGCAATGTGCCGTGAGAGTCCTTTGGCCTTTTGGAAAGTCCCTTGATCGTCTTTTCGAACATGCTTTCCATGCTGTCCGTTCTCCGACCCCAGAGTTTCTTATCGCGACCAGTCGAGCCCGTCTGGTTGTCACGGAATGCGGCGCTCGCTAATTTGCGCAAAGCTTCCTCGCCATGCCGTCCATCCTCTGCGGCGCGTTCCCTAATCTTGCGCGGGTCGTTGTCTCGTCCAATGAACACTGCAGTGGCAGAATAGGTGTGTTTGCTAGGGAAGCTCGGGAAATGTTTTGGGATGTAGGGACGACTTGCGCGGTCGTCTTCACTGCTCAAAGCCGTGAGAAATGGGAGAGATTTGGATATTTCATTCTCTGGTGGGGAGATGGTAATAATGTCGGCGTGGGTCTGTCTGAGGGCGCTGGTTTGAGATGAGGGAGAAGGTCATCGGGATTGAGGCGGAAACGCTTCAGAGCGTGATCAAAATCTTGTGGGATTGGTTGGACGCGTCGCGCAGATAGCATAGACTGACGGATAAATGTGGAGAGTCGTAGCATGTCTAGAGATTTCAAGCGCAACCCGTCAATTCAAGCTTCAAAACGGATGGAATACTGGGACACGTACACTCCTCAGTAGCACTGCAGAGACTTGACAGTGCAGCTGGATCGGCCAGCTCAAACCCTGAGTCCTTCAAAGTCTGACCGATTGCACGATTCATCAATTGGTCGAGTTGGGTGTCATCTTGCACGACTGGCTCGGATGTAGATGGGAGAACCACCGGCTCCTGTAAGCGATGATGGTGATGATAGTGACGCTTTACCCGCTTCGGATTATTCTGGTTGAGTAGTGATGGAGAAGGTCGTTTAACTTGGGCGCCCGATGTCGCCATGGCCATTGTATTGATCTGATTCAAGAAGTGGTCGTCCCGACCAGGCAATGTTATCGAATTGGGGTCACGTGCTGAAAGCGGTGAGTAGATTGATGAGCAGCTGTCATAGACCTTCAGGGACTCAGATGAGGAAGCAATATGAATGGCTAGTTTGGGGATTTTGAGTAGATGATCGCTTAGGGAAGGTCGAGCAAATAATGCCACCGAGAACCAGGCTTTTGCTCATCTCACATCTCCTCCATCTCGAGGGCTCTAGGTGCCGTGACCCTTGCTTTTGACCTTTCACCGAGGTTGTAACAGAGAGCGAAATACTCATTTCATTAAGGCAAGTGATCCAGTATATAAAAAGCTACATGAAAATAAATCTGTAATCGTATTTCACAGCCCTGGAATAGTACGGGAATGGTGAACATGCCATACCTACTCCGTACGTAGTTCGCTCTCATAGTAAGACCGACCAATCCGGCGGCTCGCTTAGTCCGCTCCGAAGCTTCAACTTCACCTCACAATTCAGCCTTCCTCCCTACCCCCCTCTCCTCTCCCCACCAACGTCCGAGGCAGGTTTCAAGCTGTCCGCAACCCGTATTGCTTTTGCTCAAGCATCGATTGACGCAAGTTATTTGTCACAATGCCCGCCGCTATTCCCCCATTACCGGCGTACGTGCCCCTTCCGTTGAAGGCCGGGTTAACCCGAGCGGGTTTATCAGGTCAATTGAAATGTTCACAATGGTTTACTGACATTCTACGCTTGTTTACAGATGCTCCGCCGTGGTCTTGTCTTGGACCTGAGCACCGCTTTCGGTAAGTTGTGATTCGGATCGAGTGGCATGATCAAACGACAATTGGATATCGCGATCTCTCGGGAGCACGTGAAATACAGGCAACAAGAAAATGGCTGCGATGAGATCAACAAATGAAATAGTTGCTGATCAGGGTATCTCATCCACTAGGCTTCGGTACTACCTTCGGCTACCTCTGGTGGTACGGTAAGTAGATTATTCCCGGCTGCGCCAACCCCACGCGATTGATGACCTCGAAATCTAACGTGTGTGTCCCACAGGCTACCACCTTCCCCGCGTGCGTGAGCGCGATACCTACTACGCCCGCCTCGAGGCCGAGCGTGCTGCCCAGCGGGGTTAAACCGATCACCTCTCGACCATCTCCTTCCCGCCCGTTCGGCGCCAGTTCTTTTCTTGTCAAAGCGTTATACAGAAAATCGCCCAGTGATGGGGGCGTATGTCTCGACGTCACCATCGGGCTTGGTCGGATCGACGGGTGTGTACGAGTGGGTGGTTAGATTTGAGATCGATTGTACATATACGCCTGTGGACAGCCAACCGTTTTGATTTTGGACTCGACACCTTCTCGAGCTCGGTGTGATAGATTACCCGATTGGTCATCGCCATCGCAGGCCATTCTACGTAGTATTGCCCTGAACGCGCAGATCGATGTACTTGACCCCTACGCCTAGACAGCCAAAATGAGCGAATTTGGATCTATTGTGTTCAAACGCTAATTACGCCGGATATATGTACGTGGAAACACCAGCGCACCCCCCATGGGTTTGCTGAACCATGTCTGCGCCATGTAAAACCATAGATCGTCATCCCCTATCTGCTCGTCGCCTTGGGGTATGGGCGGACTTCGGATAAGGGAACCGATGGAAAAACTGCAAGTGTGAAGAAATCCTAGCTAGCGTTCACCGTAGCACCCGCTCAAACGATATGCCTCGGACGGACCCGCCGGCCATGGAGTTGCGTACGTTCTTCTTGAAGGTGTCACGAGTGGCGCGAAGATCTTCCGCAGCGTCCTTGTTGAGAGGGTCGGAGGCGTTTGGCTCGAGGAAAAGGAACTGCGGTGGAATACCAGTCAGCGAAATTCATGACCAATCAGAAGAAATAAATCAACAGACCTGCATGCCCACAATGACAGCATTCAAATTCAACACAGGCTTCCAGTCCTCTCGTAGAATGTTTAAGCAGACGTTGCCCTCCAAGTCGATATTGGGATGATAGATCTTCTGTGTGCATTTGACCTTGGGAGGATCATGAGGGAAGTTCTGGTTGACGGCAAAGCTAAAGTTGAAGACACCACCCTTATACATGCCTCGTCAGGTTCGATGGTCAAGGTGAAGTTGAGGATGTCGTCGGGGTTTGGAAAGACATTTTCATCGTGCTGCCGAGGGTGAGTTCTTGAAGGTCTGAAGACATAAGAGGTTAGAGATCCATATGACAACGATCCAGTAAGTACTGCGAGTTATACTGTCCACTACGGGAAAGTCACTCACCTCGTTGCACGCGTAATTGCGCCGCGGTGACCTTCTTCTTCTTCTTGCCTGCAGCACCCTCGGCATTCTCAGCCTCCTGCTGCTTTTGTTTCTGTACAGACTATTAATCATACATTTCTTCAAGAGCCAGATAAATCCCTACCATTGACCAGATTTTCAACATTTTGGGAGTCACCACCCCACCTGGTGGAAAGGGGGTTTGGGGAGAGCGAAGTAGGAGGTAAGGTAACCACGCTAGGGATATCAGATTTAAAAAAAATTGAGAGACAGAAAGGAAAGAGTTTTAGAGGGCGAGATCAACGGGTGACAAGGATGACAACAGAGTGAAGGATAGCCCTCTTGCGGGGGGTCTCAGATCAGCAATCGCCTTTATCGCCTCTCCGCCTTCCAGTTGACGTATTCGACCTGGGGAACTTCTGTACTATACATATATGTACACAGCCGATGGAAAACATGTATATATCTTTCTACTCAGTAAATCTCAAAGAAAAAAAAAATTAATTGAATATGAAGTACATAATCATAGCGCTCCGAATGCGATCCCGTTGCATGGCTGATCTGACAAAAAGTGATCACAGTAACCGTCAAAGGTAAAACCGTGCGAATACATACTGGCTGGCATTGCAAAATCAAAAAGAGAACAAAGTCGGGCATCTTTAGGTAGAATACATATCACGGTATGGGAAATAAAAAGAAGAGAATAGGAAATTGGGTCAGGGGGTCATGAAAAAGGGTACGCATTTTGTGCTGGAGTACTACCGGCGTGCAAAGCAGCACTTGATACCAGTACGACCAAGGAACCAACAGCATCCAATGAAACGGATCAATGCCACAGCGGCATTGGACCACAAGAGCGCCTGGAAGAAATGGGCTGTACGGCTGGTGGCGGTATTCTATGACCATGTTAGTCGGTGGTCTAGCCAGAAAGGTTGAAAAGGAGTGGAAACTTACTGTGAAGCCGAACTTATCGACGGACTCGCTGGTGATGCAGACTGCCATGGCGGCATTACTGAAGATCCAAAAGGTGACAAGCCGGGTACGGAAACTCTTGTAAGAGTCCTCGAGGGTCTTTTCGTCGTGTTCCACGGGGGCAACGAATGGAGTGAGCGCACGCTTCACAGTTGCCTCGAACTGGCTGTCGATATCCGCTTGGGGCTTGTCGATCTCTTCTATTACTGCTTCCTTGCTACCCTCGTCCTTTGTAGTCGTGGCTGACGGCAATGCATCGGCCTTGTCAGAACCCTTGGTACCCCAGGAGACATCGTGCCAGTTGCTGAAGGCATAGACGTTCAGGATGTTGATATAGGACGACTGGACAACCATATAGGCAGGGAAGGAGGTGAACATGTGCCATGGGTCGGCGTACATGAATGAGGCAACGAAGTAAAGACCGAATGTGGCAGCCAAGGCAATGATAATGATACCAGCGCCCGTCGACGAAAAGAAAGAGTCGAGGAAGGCTTTCAGGCCTTGGCCCGTAACAAAGTCCATGGGCGCGCCGCCGCTGAACGCGCGAACTACCAAGTAGATCGAATCGACCACAATATAAACCTGAATGAGACCGAAGACCACAAACGAGGCGAGGTATGAGAACTTGGAACCCTTGGGTCTGTTACCAAGAGCGAGAATGAACTGCAACAATAGGAAAGCGAGATACCCGTACTTCACGATTGTGTTGATAATGGGCGTGGCCGTCCTGCCAAAGGGGAAAGCGGTGTCTCCGTTGCTGGGGCTTGGAGTACCGACAAGGTCAATGATGACAGTGGTGGTCAGCCAGTATGAAGCCAACGAGAACCAGGTGAGGAAAGTGTTGAAGATGTTATACAACATCTGGATGTGAAGGAAGAACATGCGAATGATGTTGTGACCGCTCTTGTACATACGGCCAAAGTGCATCAGCGAGTAGATTCCTGCTGCAAAGGAACCGTTGAGCCAACGGCGACGCTGGGAGATAAACTCGGCGGCACCTTCGGGCACGTCAGTTTCACCCTTGGAGGCTTTAACGTAAGACAAGTGCCACTTCGAGCCTGCCTTAGCGACCAACTCGAAACAGAGAATTCAATCCTCGGCTAAGAACATGTTCTTTTTGAAAATGTTCATACCCTCAATACCCTTCTTTCCAAGCTGCTTAGACAGCGTGTGATCACCGTGGAAATATTGCTCAAGGGGACGACCCATGATTGCACGGAATCGATACGCCGAGAATGCACCGGGCAAGACACTAACGTAGCCGAACGAACTCTCAAGGGGCTTATCCAAGATATTACTGATCTTGTACTCAAAGTTCTGGGCTGCCACGAGAGGGTTGATCAAGTTCCGCCATCCCTTACCCAACATGGCGTGGATTTCACCACAGGCACCGCCGAGATCCTTATCGTTATAGAATGCCTCCCAGAGGTATAACAAGGACTTAGGGCCAGGTTTCGTACCGGCATCCAGCAGGATACAGACCTCGGGGTTCAAAATACGGCCGAAAGCGTTAAAGAGCCAACGATGCGAATTGATCTTCTTACTGTTCTTTTGTTTCAGACAGAACATCATCTGCACAGGTGGTAGTGTGCTCGGGCCATCGTCCGTGGGCCGAATGAGCTGCTGACTTGGTGTGACCGAAAGCTGGGTCGTATACTCGAACTGGAAATTCAGTTAGCGCTGTCTCATTGGGAGGCCTATCCTGCCATCCACTTACGATATGCGCCAAAGTCTCCTTCCCGTCAACGTCACGCTTCATGACACCATCCTGGTAGATACCGATGGTCGCAAGGACATCGAGAGTATCCTTGTCGCAAGGGTCAATACCGTCAAAAACGAGCGCCACGACAATCTTCTGCCACGCGGGTCCACCCTTATTCCAGAACTCGGATTTCTTCAGGTTGACAATATCGCGAATGTTCTGCATCACACCGTGCAAGGTACGGGCCGTGAGATTCTTATCCTCGTTGTAATAGGTAATCGCGATGAGCAGCTCCGTATGACGGTTGTACATTGCGGGGCGTAGGTTGTAACCGTTGTGGAGGGTAAATTCGTTGGGGTCACAAGTGGCTGCGGTGTCTATGAAGAGTGAAGGCTCATTAGTTTTTCTCGTAGAGCCGTATGTCGTCTAGTCCACACGTACATCGCATGTGGGTAAACTCCTCGCTTCCGCCTTCCACGTCGTTGCGATATTTGGCTTGGATGGCATTCTGGATGGCACTCGGCACTGGGTAGTCGACGCTCAGGACGGAACCCTGCACTAGCTTGACCTTCCTAGTAGCATATCTGCGCAAGCCGCCGCCGCCACCACCACCAGAGGCGCCTCCGGGGGCCTGTCGCTGGCGCCAAGCCTCCGTAGAGGAGGTCTCGCTGCGGGCATAGGGCGATGCAACTCGGCCCGGGACACCAAAGGCCGCCGCAGTACTTTCCTCTTGGCCGGAATAAACGGTTCCAGTACTGTATGGGTCGTGGTAAGAAGGGGCGGTGTCCGTTGCATAGGTCTCCGTCAAGCTGTACCCAGAAGACGGACGTTGGGGAGAAACACCGCGCGAGTGGGGGTCGTCAAAAGGAGTCGCAAATGGACCCTGCTGTTGGGACAATAATCCACGGGCTGCATCCTCATCCTCGCGATACTAAGGGAAAAAAAATACCGGGTCAGCTCTAGCGACTAGTTCACCGCCTCTCCACACACATACCTGCGAAGCTGGCACATCCTGCAGATGATGACTATCATCATAGCTCGGTGAGTGCGAGCCAGAGCCGTGGTAGGCCATGGTGTCGCAAAGGTTGAAAAATCAGAAAGGGATGTGTTTCAAAGCTAACAAGAGAGGGGTATTTGTTCAAGCAGGGCGCACTTATGAACAATTATCGAAGCCACCAGGGCTAGGAGGGATGAATAATTTTCTTTTTCAGAGAATCTTGCAAAAGTTTTGAATCCAGGGTCAGAGAGAAACGAAAGAGAAGGGGGGCAAAAGGGTAAAAAAAAAGGGAGACAGTGAGACTAGAAAGGTCAAAAATAGACTGTCTCCTAGCCCCGTCCTGGTTTAGTTTCCCCTTTCTCTGGTTTTTTTTTTTAATTATTTGGGGGTTTTTTCCATTTGACTAGTTTACCGGTTTTAAATAATTTAATTATTGTATTTATATTTTAACTACTCGAGTATATGGAGTACAGAGTATACAGAGTACATATGTACCATCCATGGATATCAACAGGAGTAAAAAGCCATACATACTCCATCCCTAGAAGAGAACAATAGTCCGATGCCCCCGAGGCCCTACGGAAGACCCTGACTGGTTGAGATATCAAAGGCTGAGATGCTTGGAATTCTAATTTTTCTATTTCTTTTTTTGCCTTTTTTTCTTTCTCTTTCTCTTTTTCTTTGAACTTTGTCCCCCTTTCACTGATTCGATGTATTTTACATTTTGGGTAAGTACGAAGTTGTACTTCGACCCTTTATATATGTCCACGGGTACTCCGTACATTTGAAGTCTAAAACACCCGAACCTAATAAGAGGCTCCACACATGAAACATGTGAATACGAAGTCGACCTCTCATATAATTGAATTCGGTTTATGTTGTAGACATAGCCAGGTAACTGGACTCATTCCCACATTCTTAAGAGCCCAATACCGTTTAAAAGGCTTAACATTTAGGTGGTATGCCCGACTCCACTAGATGTGTTTGAATATACAATGTATGTTGTATAGAAAGTCCTCGTAGTCTCTCCCACTCAACTTCCTTATTTGCAGTTTCTCATTCTATGATTCGGTCCGTTCGGCCCATTCTCTCTCCTATCGACTCTGCCAGGATAAAGTATATGTTGTACTCCCAGGTCACCTGACCCTGATAAATTTAGACATTATTATGGATCCCAAGCATCTAGCGTATCTAGCGTATGTTTTGCCCCAGTGCCAAGTCGATCAGCTCTTAAACTTCCAATATTGTGAGTTGTGCTGACATTCAGCTCCGTACGGAGTAGTTAGCCCATATGTTGTATACGGTAGTAACTGCGGTGTAAAATATTGCTGCATAGGTCAAAAATACATCTGTTTTGATTTCTTTTATTTCTCCCCATTCCCTAATTTAATAAGATTTCAGTGACCCCAGCAATCATCTAAAAGGAGGGTCCATCCATGGATGTTCGAGATAAATTAGCCGCTAACCCTATTTGTAGAACATACCAGGCAAATAAAAAATCAACAAGACAAACCAGACAAACTAGACAAACCAGACAAAGAAAAGTCCAAATTTCACGCAATCTTGGAAAATCAATGATCCGAGAGTCCAGACCACGCGCGCAGTCCACACGGGAAAAGATGTCCACTTATTTCCCTCACGTTCAAGTAAGGTGAACATGGGATGAAACAATCTGATCTTTAATATTAAAGAGGCTGTATGATCTCGATTTTAGTTTTTCATTTTTTTACTCCTGCTTTTTACCTTATATGCTTCTCTACAACATAGGGTACTAACTATATATAAAATTTACTACGGAGTATATATATATCAGGTACACACAATTGTGTACCTGACTACCCCGTATCTTACCCGTGGAACCTCACGGGCCCGTGACCACCCTTGGAAGGCCCCCAATTATCCCCCCCCCCGTCTCTCTTTTGACTTGTCACTCCTCTCCTCATCCATCTATCTATTCTTTCCTTGATCTTTCGATCAAGGTTTGTGAGTTGATTTTTGTCTGATACGCGCGTCGGGCCAACGTGAACAAATCCAGCCCCCCCTATCCTGACCGTCTTTGACATATACAATCTCTGTCAAGCGTCTGGGCCATCCCAAGGACCATGATCATCGCTTGACTCTCACCTTTCGATCTTTTTATAACACACGACACTCGTTTCCTGCGCCTGACGGTTCGGCTTTGATGATCTACTGTTTACGCTCACGACTTGACGCCGATTGAGCACCTTACACTCCTTTTTTTCTTATTTTATCTTGCACATTCCTTGCCGTTGACCGGCTTTATCGATATTACCTCGTCTCTTTTTATGTCATCACCCATCATGCTTCTCGAACCCATGGACTCCGCCTTCTCCCCGGCCCGTTCCCTCTTCAAGCGCTGCAAGCAGTGTGAAACTACATCCCCCGCTTGTCCCGCTTGTCCCGACGGATCAATATGTACCATGACCGCCCCGAGCTGTGAAGAATGTGCGACCACAAAGTGCGTTTCAACAGGCTCCAAACCCTCGGACTCCGGGGGCACCGACACTGGCGCTATTGCCGGTGGTGTTATCGGTGGTGTGGCTGCCATCGCCCTCATTGTGTTCTTGGTATGGTGGTTCGTCATCCGAAAGAAGCGCCTGGAGCGCCAGGAGGAGAAGAACGGCTCATTCGCGGCAACGCGCAGTGAACGCCAGTCCATTGCCTCTACAGTCCTAACCCGTGCCTCCAATGTCATCCAAATCGCTTACATTCCTGGTGTCACCAACCGCTCTCCGCCGGAGACGCCAGCCTCCCTCGTGCCTCCTGTCCCACCGCTTCCTGGTGCGACACCCGATCAACACTTCTTTATGCCGGGTGACCTGCGTGACTCGTCCTGGACAACCACGACCGGCCACCAGAGCATCTCGCCCACTTTGCGCAGCAGTGTGGCTACCACCATTTACCGTAACGACGCCATCGTCAGTGCCATGCCTGCGCAGCAGATCCAGCGGTCTCGTGCCGCCGTGGTGAGCATCCACAACGGAGGAGCCGGGGCAAATGCCCCTGGAGATGACTCGCCTGTTGCTGTCACGGTTACTCCTGCGGATGCGCCTGCGGTCCCGGCCATTACCCCAGCACAACTCGCTCGGGCGGAGGCTGTCAAGGGCAACAGTTCATGTGTGGCTCGCAGTGTAACTGCGAAGCCAGTGATGGTGCGTGGTCCTTCGGTAAAACACAAGCAACCCAACAACACTCCCGCCGTCGACCGGGTCGAAGAGCTGCCTGAGAATAAAAACGACACAAGCCGGGCGGTGTCCACAACGAAGGACCAGTTCAGTCATAACACTTCCACATTTGACGCGTCCTCGTCGGGCGAAGACGACACACATTCATCATCCACCAACTTGGAAACCGGTTCCTCACAGGGTCAGACCGACGCACGTCGAGCTTCCGGCTTGAGCGACGGACGTAATTCCACTCAGACGCCACCCGCCCGGGTAGAAAGTCCGTTCTCGGATGCGAATGAAGTGAAATGAGCGGGTTTGGGACCGACTGGGCGCAACGGTTTTCCTTTTTTTTTCTTTTTGGTGATTTCCAACTCTGTTTTCTATGTATGTATGGAGCCTGCCATGGCTTTTTGTACTTTTTTTTTTTTGATATGTGGACTCCTTTCCTCGGGTGCGTTGTACAGCGAGTGTTGGCACACTGAGATGGGACTGTCGATTGAATCTATACTCTCATTGATTGTCATTTTGGACTTCACTGAAATGTGTACAGTAGTAAAATTGAACAGTACGTCCTCTGGCATCTGATTCCAGTGTCTTTAAAGGACTATCGCTTAGAGTAATATGTACCTAGTCTATCAACCTCACCGTATCTTCCTTTGATACCGAGTCCGCTATGTAAACATCACGAGTCTAACTTCATATGTACATACATGTATGTATGTAGAATACTTGTTACACTTCTCCTAAAGCCCTTGTTTCTGTCTTGTACATATGTAGATGAAGGATATTGCTTATGCTTTGGAGATATTCCCACCACACCTCTCATATATATTTTAGACTCCTACTATAGATATTCACCACCATTTAACTGCTTCTACTTTCTTACTATATATCTTTCATATGTACTATGTAACTTGTTTGCTACTTGGAATGAATTGATCCAATTCCTTGCAACAGACCAGTCGAGAGATACTCTCAACTCGGAGGTAGAGCTCAAAGGCCGAAACTGTATACTGAGAAGTATTGATGGAGCCTATGTATAAGGCGAAAAGCAAAGCCAATCTTAAAATTCGGATGCATTCTCCCGACTCCAGATGTCTTCAATGTTCTCCGAGGGCTTGCGTTGTTTTGGTCTATACGGATTATAAGAGGCAGGCCGGTCTGCACCCCTTGGCATGGGCACAAATACTTGGCAAAGTAGTCGCCGGAAGAGAAGAAGAGAGATATCCACATCATCTAGCTATTCCACAACAGGGAAAAAGAAAGGGTATCTATAACCAGGATGTCTAGTCAACGATTCTCAGCATCCGGTAATTCATCCCACGCTTTCATCCAACCCCATTCCACGTCCGATTTTACGAATCAATGCCCGCTTGAGAAGTGCCTCACGTGCAAGACTCCGTGTATGCCGCGACCAGGAATCGACACCAATAACACCGCGGACCAGCGCAGCCTGCAATGCATAAAGAGCTTGCTGTATGCCTTGCTCCTCGGCGACCAAATCATATAGCTGTTTCCCTACCACGGTGGGGGCGACCAGGACGTCATCGATTGGGGGCAGGCCGGACGGAGTGTCCCCAGAAGGAGTGGAAGTCGAAGGAGCGCTAGAAGCGGAGATGGATGTAGAACGGGCCTGTGCGTCTGCGATGGTGCCGTCGGCGCGATGGATGGATTGCTGTAGGACAGTAGTGTTGGACTGAAGGGTTGTGTGGAGGGTATTGAGTGCCGAGAGTTCCCCCTGTAGCGTGGCCATAGCGGCATGCAGGGATCGTGATTGTGAGACGAGTGATTGTGCTGCCGTGTCAGATTGTGCTGCATTGGCGCGGAGGGCTTCCGCCAGGGTCCGGGACACAGCATGAAGGAGTGCGTCTTTCTCTGGATTTGGCGGGATAGGAGGCGCTGGTCCTGTGGGTGCGATCGAGGGTAGCTCGACTTCAAATGGGGAGGTCAGAAGGTCTTGTGTCTCGGCCTTTGCGGGAGCTGCTGGGGGTGGGCGGGGATAATTAGATGGGTATGGAGAATGCTGAGGATATGGGGGCCCAGACAGTTGCTGGTGTGGTTGATGGGGGAGTTGCGGGTGCAGAGGCAAGTGACCTCCCGCAGGATTAACCTGAGGAGGGGTCTGGCTTGCTATGCCAGACCCAGTTCCATGATGAACTGCCGCTCCGCCGTTTCTATAGTACGGTGCTTGACCCTGCGCCGACTGAGGCGGCATTGGCTGCCCCGCTGGCTGCTGGGTGGGTGGCTGTGACAAGGGACGAGGGCTGCTTATCGGTCCTCCAGTTTGGCCTGGAGGCGCGTAATGCTGGTATGAGTGGATTCCCGGACTGGCTGATTGTGTGGATATATATGCTTGACGAGAGTCTTGCTCTTTTGGTGGTAGTGGAGGTAGCGGTGGGGGAGATCGATATTGATCAGCCGGGTGCCGTTGTTGCTGCAGAGGCTCGCCAGCCGCGCCTGGCTTCGGCGGAGGTGGGGGTGGAATCTGGCTCTGGGTTGTAGGCGGAGACAGAGGTTGAGCTTGTCTTGAAGACCCGACACCGGGTGGAAGGGGAGGTAATGGCGGGGGTGTCTGGGCAGCTTCCGGCGGAGGATGTGGCACTTGTTGTCTGTATCGGACCGGTGGCTCCTTGGCAAATATATCCTGAAGAATAGAAAGAAGATCGGCGATGGTGGATCTCTGTGAACACAATGGTCAGTGGTTTGTCAACCCATGTCTTGCGAGCACTAACATCCCATGCTTCAGCCCAGTGTGCCAGATAATGGTGGTACACCTGTCCCTCCAGCGTCACATGTTGCCCAACTCGGACAGCCATATCCTGTGTCGGGGTCACATAGGCAATTGGAGGCTCGCGTGGGTATGTATTTGGAATCCAAAGCGCAATGGGGAATCGGTATGTGGTTCCTCGGAAGGTGACAGGCAATGTGCCCACCAGGTGAAGGAGGAGGGCCGAGAAGCCTGTCTCGTAGGCTGTTGGGTATCAGAAACAAGAACCACATCAAACTTCACTTCAGACACTCACTATAGACATCTGTTCGAGGGGAGAGCGAGGGGTACTGGGCGAGCGCATTGGCAACATCGTGGTAGGTCCGGTTTGGGTCGCGGTAGGTCTGTCGTGGATCATAGTGGTCCTGGAGGGGTTTTAGTAGACCGATAATATGGAGATTCTTGAAAGACATACTTTGGACAAGACACTATACAGCCAATTCAGTGTCCTCTGAGGGACGGCCATAGTGAGAGAGGAGTGGATGGAAAAGGGTTGGAGTCGCGACGGTTTCCTCTTCCCCGCAATGTTTCTTGGCGGAGTATGGGGCCTTTTCTTTTCAGAAGAACATTGAAGATATTTGAAGATATTTGTAGATATCTAGATATAATTTCTTAGATCTCCAGGGCTATCCACCTGGGTATGGGTAGTTATAGTATACATAAGGTATATATATGTCTGCGCGGGGACCTGGGTCACCACCTTTACAACTTACTCCCTACACCTCACCACCTCACCACCTCACCATTTCGCCATTTCGCCATTTCGCCATTTCGTCATCTTGCCTTGTTTTTTTGCCCTAAAAAGAAAACAGGTTCAAGTCTGAATTCAGAATCCGAAAATATCACCCCTTTTCCGATTGAAGGCAGTTGAAAACAACCGAAGTCTCGAGGCGAGACAGATTCACTAAATGATCCAATCAGCTCAATGGGCTGTGAATCAGAGACACCAGTCTTATATAACACATGAGGACTCTACCGAACTCTTCCTGGGAAGATACGTGGGATGAATCCCTTCGGGGCTTCTTTGGAGACCCGAAACAAAGAAATCCTTCTCGACTCCAATGGCCATGAGCCAGTGATATTCACCAGATCAAAGGCTATTCTGAGCATTCTGAAGATCTCATGCAGCCATTATCACCCGTTGCCTAGGCCATTTATGGGCTTCTTTGTCTCATTTCATATTGTTCTTCCCATTCCCTTAGTATTGTTCTTTTCAACAAACTTACGCAATAATGATCTGGACTTGGACTATCTGGGTTCTCTGGATGTTATTATTATTATCTATTGCCTTCGACATTGTCTGTCTCGGCTTCTATGACACTGGCCATTCACCCTGATTTGATTCTGCTGATTCTCTTGATCTATATTCTTCAAAGGGCTTTAAAGAAACAGACTTCATCTTCTGCCATGCATACTTTTCACCGAATTTCAATTTCAGGACTATCTATGTGATCTGTCTTTCACTTCCTTCGACTGAACTCCAAATCCCAAATCACAGAGCCATGGCGACATCATCTCCAATTCAACCATTCGATCCATTCACCCAGAACGTCACCTTCCGTCTACAGGATGGCACAGAGTTCCCAGTCTCAGTAAAAGCCCTGGATGTCTTTGTCATGTACAATGTCCGGGTATGCATCAATTACGGTTGCCAGTTTGGAGCGTCATTCGTATTGCTGGTGATTCTTGTGCTTTTGACCCAATCCGACAAGCGCCGTTCGGCGGTTTTTATCCTGAACGGCCTGGCCTTGTTCCTCAACAGCTCACGTCTGCTTTTCCAAGTCATCCATTTCTCCACTGCATTCGAACAGGTATACCCATACGTCTCCGGCGACTATTCATCCGTGCCGTGGAGCGCATACGCCATTTCCATCGTGGCTGTCGTTCTCACTACGCTAGTCGTCGTCTGTATCGAAGCATCGCTTGTGATTCAGGTCCACGTGGTTTGCTCCACACTACGTCGTCGATATCGACATCCTCTCCTGGTGATATCTATTCTGGTCGCCCTGGTGCCGATCGGATTTCGCTGTGCATGGATGGTTGCGAACTGCAAGGCCATCATTAATCTCACATACACGAATGATGTATGGTGGATAGAAAGCGCAACCAACATCTGCGTCACTATCAGCATCTGCTTCTTCTGTGTCATCTTTGTCACCAAGCTCGGATTCGCCATCAAACAGCGCCGCCGACTCGGAGTGCGCGAATTCGGTCCGATGAAAGTCATCTTTGTCATGGGCTGCCAGACCATGGTTGTCCCCGCCATCTTCTCCATCACCCAGTACTACGTCGTTGTGCCAGAGTTCTCCTCCAACGTGGTGACCCTGGTCGTCATCTCACTCCCACTCTCATCAATCTGGGCCGGCGCCGTCCTCGAGAACGCACGACGTACCGGAAGCCAAGATCGTCAACGCCGACGCAACTTATGGCGGGCCCTTGTCGGCGGTGCTGAAAGTCTACTGTCTCCCACAAAGGACAGTCCAACGAGCCTGTCTGCCATGACTGCTGCGCAGACTCTGTGCTACTCGGACCACACCATGAGCAAGGGCTCACCCACGCGGGACACCGATGCTTTCTATGGAATATCAGTTGAACACGATATTTCGATCAATCGTATTCAAAGGAACAATTCAATCGTGTGACGACGCACAGCACTCGGCAATCCAAAGCTATCCTTCCCTATCATTTCGATGTGCACATGCAGGATCCTGGCCAGAAACCGACTTTACATGTACATGCTTTTTCTTCTTTCCTCTTCGATTGCAGGTTTTATACAGGAACAACCTTCCTTTTTTTCTCAATCTGCAAGTTGTTACCGCATTCTTAGTTTCAAGCCACATTCACTTTTTACTTTTTACTGTTTTCAGGAGCTGTAGTTGCATTACATCCATGGAGGCTTGTATGCAGTGGATGAACCTGGAAAATCGGAAAGGTTCTCATGCTCTCAACGCTCTTCTCATTAATATATGTCTATATTGGGCGACCGATTCTGCTATAAAGTACAATGGAATCCAGCAAGAGTAAAGAAGCTGAGTATACCCAGGGGTGAGATTAGAATACATATGTATGAAGCTTGTGCAAGGAATACAGCCAATTCACCGAATGCATTGGAACAAATCGCAATGAGCTGAGTCAAGTGAATTAACGATACAAATAAAAAAAAGAAATAGACACAAAATATTTACAGGCGAAACGCTCTATGTTCGAAACCACATGTACGCCAGAGCAAAAGGAGCAAAAAAAAAAAGGCTGGAAAGTTAATAATATCCCTGTGCTAATTCAATTGCACATAGTTGGCTATCGTGAATGTTAGCGAATGCAATTCCATAAAGAGACTGAACCACTTACCAGGAAACTGGCCCTCCCGACCTGCAATTCGCCCGGACCACCATTCATTGGTGTTGTCGGTGCGTTGGACAATTTCAATCACATCACCAGCCGAGAATCCCAGATCACCATGTGCCTGAGCCTCGTAGTCATAAAGAGCGGTGACAGTTTCAACCGGTTTGCTGAGATGGGCCGGCTTCGCCCGTGGAGGAGGCGGGGCAGGCTTGCTCTTGGCGGCGGAAGAGAAACTGCCTGTCGGACTGGGACTGACGGCGGCAGACGAATAAGGTGGTGGAGGGTTGTCATCGGTGACGGTCGAGCTGGAACGGCCTCGGCCGATGGCACTCTTGCTATCAGCTCCCTTGCCCGGACCCAGTTTGGATCCAGAGCGGCGGACACCTTGGGTTTTAAAGTGCACGATGGTAAGAGCTTCGGCTTGCTCCTGGATATTGCCGCGCTTCTGCTCAAAGGCCTCTTCAACATCGAGTTTCAGGTTGAAATAGCTGATGTTCATGCCCTGCATTCGTTCGTGGAGAGTGTAGAAGACGTTGAGTTGCATATAGTAGAAGGACTGAAAGAGTGGGCGGATGAACTCGGCTTCGAGTGTGAACAGCTTGGGCAGTTCGTCCTTCAGCAAATCGTTGTAATAGTTAAACTCCTGGGTCGCCTGCTCAACATCATTCTCGGCTTTGTATAGTGCTTTCTCGTCTTTGAGCGATTTGTCCTTCTTCTCTTCCAGCTTCTTCAGCGAGGCGTTGTGGCGGTCAAAGTCCAGCTTCTTGTGATCACGCTTAACCGCAACCTTCCGAATGACCTTGATCACCTCGAGCAGCTGGTCGGCTGGGCTGATAATGCGGCTCTCGATCATCTCCAGTTCGGGGCCCAGGGCCTCTTGCAGTTCCTTGACGATGACTTCGTATTCCTCACAGGCCTGGATGCCCTCGGCATTTCCTTCATATTGGTAGGAGGTGGGATCGGAGGCGCGACCGGAGATGGGTTTGTAGATTTCGGCGATTGCTTTGGAGAATTCGATTTGGTGGCTCAACATGCCTGCGCACGCGCTCAGTATTGGGTACAAGGTTGAGAGATTTCAGATTTCGAGACTCACCATTAATGGCAGCAAAGTATTTCTTGGACTCATCGTGTAGCTTCTTAGTCTCTTTCTCGAGCTCATCAAAGCGGCGTTCGGCATCGCTATAGACAGCATCCTTGGAATGTTCACCGATGTTGAACTTGACCTTGAACTGCTGTGGCGCACGCACAATGCTCTTCTGGAAACCTTTAAAACTCATGATGGTAGAATAAGGAGAGAGGCAAAGGAAGAGAAAGTGCCAAGGTGGGGTGGGAAGAAGAAGAAGGGCGAACCCAAATTCAATGACATAAGACTCTGCCAGCGTTGGACGGAGCTGAAGTCCATTGTGGCTGTACACTTTTCATTTTTATACTATTCTACCTATTTTGTGGACTATTATGTGTACTAGTCTGGACTATTTTGGACTATTTTGTACGCTACTCTCTGCCTTATGATCATGTGGCGCATTAGTCTCGTAATTCCAAGATTAGGCACCTGGATTATTACTCTATACATACCTACATAGGTACTACTTACTACATACTACAATAACATCCCTTAATATGCTCAGAGTATAGTTATTATTATAGCTCTAAAGACCTCGAATGGTTATATATTGTATGTGCATCTCTACCGATCTTCACTTCTATTTTCCCGGCAGCCTTACCCGAGAAAATCGCGAGAACCATCAATTTAAAACCCCAGTCCGATCGTCATCGGGTTATCATTCCTTTACGTGCGGGGAGTGACTTGGCAAGAAGAAACGGGTGAATACCATAAGTCGGAAGAAAAAGGACATTCAATATAATCAAGTTAAAATCAACCCAATTGCTATAAAAACAGAGAAATGAAGATATATAATATGGTGGGAAGCTCTTGGGGGATATCCATATGGATATCTCAAAGGGGAAAAGCTCATACCTCCCAAGGTTCTGCCTCAGGCACATCGGATAAACCCAATTGGGATAACCCCGAGATCTTTAGTCATGAGAGATGCAGATGATAACAAAAAGTCGGGGTTAAGCGTTTCCTTCTTCATCCCACTTACAAAGGATATCGGCCATCATCTTCATAATGACAAGTGCTGTTCCTACTGCTTGGAGACAGGCCTCTGCCTTCTCCAGGCACCTTTCAACTTATTCCCGAGCTCCTCGAGTCCTCGCCACCGGCCTACGCGGTGCTCGATCTTATGTCTCCGAGACCAAAGTTGGCCAAGCCCAGGTCAACATCGAGACTGCCATTAAAGAGGAACAAAAGTCATTCATGAATCAGTCTCATATGGCGCCCCAGAATACCAAACTGCCTGGTTCGGGGACCTCCGGCGATGCCGCGATGAGTCCCTCGGCCGGCATTCTGAAGCAAGCCACCGTTATGGACCAGGGCACCCGACCCATCTACCTCGATATGCAAGCCACCACGCCCTTGGATCCTCGCGTTCTGGATACCATGCTTCCTTACCTCACCGGTATCTACGGTAACCCGCACTCGCGCACACACGCCTACGGTTGGGAGTCGGAGAAGGGAGTCGAGGAGGCTCGCGGGCATATCGCCAAACTGATTGGGGCCGACCCCAAGGAGATCATTTTCACAAGTGGTGCGACGGAGAGCAACAACATGAGTTTGAAGGGTGTGGCGCGGTTCTTTGGTCGGTCGGGAAAGAAGAATCACATCATCACTACCCAAACCGAACACAAGTGTGTGCTCGACAGCTGTCGACACTTGCAGGATGAAGGGTTCGAGGTGACCTACCTGCCAGTTCAGAGCAATGGTTTGATCCGCATGTCGGATCTTGAGGCGGCCATGCGCCCTGAGACTTGCATTGTCAGTGTTATGGCTGTAAACAATGAGATCGGTGTGATCCAGCCGCTGGAGGAGATTGGCCGTCTCTGTCGGTCTAAGAAGGTGTTCTTCCACACCGACGGAGCGCAGGCCGTTGGAAAGATCCCGTTGGATGTCAACAAGCTGAACATCGATTTGATGTCGATTTCCAGCCACAAGATCTACGGTCCCAAGGGTGTTGGTGCCTGCTTTGTGCGCCGTCGCCCGCGTGTCCGTCTCGATCCTCTCATCACTGGTGGTGGACAGGAAAGAGGTCTACGTAGTGGCACCTTGGCTCCTCATCTAGCAGTGGGCTTTGGTGAGGCTTGCCGAATCGCTGCCCAAGATATGGAGGTAAGCTTTCTTTTCTCATTTTCATTATTGCCACGATTATTATACACTGCAATAAACATCTGTTGGAAATCCTTGGGAAATATGTGTCCTTTGGGCCAGCTACTCAGCTCCGATAATGTCACCTGCAGGTATAATGAGGTGGCAGACAGATGAACTTGAATCTTCCCCCGTCTTCGAAAAATGACATGCTAACTGACTGATCGAACAGTATGATACCAAACACATTAATCGCCTGTCGAAGCGTCTGAGTGAGGGTCTCCTTGCCATGGAGCACACCACACTGAACGGTGACCCCGACCACCACTACCCTGGTTGCGTGAACATCTCATTCGCCTACGTCGAGGGTGAGTCCCTGTTGATGGCGCTGAACGACATTGCGCTGTCATCGGGCAGTGCCTGTACCTCCGCCTCTCTGGAACCCAGCTACGTGCTGCGTGCTCTCGGCAGCAGCGACGAGAGTGCCCACAGCAGTATCCGTTTCGGTATCGGCCGATTCACCTCTGACGAGGAGATCGACTATGTTCTCAAGGCTGTCCAGGCTCGTGTATCTTTCTTGCGTGAACTGAGTCCGCTTTGGGAGTTGGTGCAGGAGGGAATTGACCTGAACACGATCGAATGGAGCCAGCACTGATCATATTAATTTTGATTTGAGAAAAAGCCCACTAGGGCCGGCGTTGAAGTGTAACAACATCGGATTTGTACAGACTGAGAATAATCACGCAATTGAATACTACCTCCTCTTTAAAGCCGGTTGCTTTGTATGTCACCTCTATTTCCTTCAAAGCTTCTCCCCAATGGTATAAATAACAACCTTGGAAGTCAGCAAGATTTATAGCCTCATGTGATCAACGTTAAATATGAATTAGCTTCAAATTCTTTCGGCCCAAAAACCCTCTCGTCTAAGGCGCCTCTACTCTTTTGGCAAAGAAGTTAAATCATTTATCTACCGAGAGTCAATTCCGGGTTGCACTTGATTATCCTTTAAGATGGCTTGGTGCTTGGTGGTGAGAACAAGGCACAATTTGGACAGCACAGAGCTATAACCATGATGCATCTATCCCTCGTCCTTTGCGCATTTGGGTGTAATGTGGCCGCTCTAGCCGGTCCCCAATCCCCTGAGCTTCATGTTGTGACTTCTTCCGGCTCGGTGAACGGGATATACAATAATTCTGCACACACAGTACGGGCGTTTCTGGGAATTCGATATGCCGAGCCCCCAGTTGGCGAACTGCGATGGGCACCACCACGCCCCAAATCACCACCCCGAATCCCCATCGATTCCTCCTCCAGCAGTCCTTGTCCACATGTGTATAGGTACTCCAATGAGTCTATTTGGAGTGTCCTTCCGTACATGATATGGAACTCTGGCGACATGTCTGAAGACTGTCTGTATATGAATATCTGGGCGCCTTCTATTGAGCATCGAGGCGACAGGGAAGTTCACAAAGCAGCAGTCATGATGTTCATTCACGGAGGAAGCTATGATACAGGCGGTGGCTTACTATGATGGCACGAATTGGGTACAGGCCCACGACGATCTGATTGTTGTTACCTTAAGTAAGGAGATGCTGAGTTTTGTCCATTCAAATCAGTAAACTTGGGGGTTAGTTATCGACTCAATGCCTTTGGATTTCCTAATGCCCCAGACCTTGACCCTTCCAAACAAAACCCTGGACTCCTGGACCAGGTAGATCTGAGCATGTATGGTTGATGGTACGAACGAACTAACCACGTATTTAGCGACTGGCGATCGAGTGGGTTTATGAGAACATAGTCAGATTTGGTGGTGATCCAGATAGGATTCTTCTGTTTGGTCACTCTGCTGGGGCTGCATCAGCTGATATCCATTCATATGCAGTGAGCATCTGGTTTCTATATTGGTACTTTTCATGTATTGCCAAACGACTAACCTCTGATTGATAGCACCCAGATAATCCTATTGTCAGCGCAATTGCTCTTCACTCCGGCACCGCTCCATTACTGACTTCGGCCCCTGACCATCGAAATTGGAATGAATTGTCTACTGCGGTTGGATGCGGCGTAGGAGCCCAATCTTTCCAATGCATGAAGAAAGTTCCAGCTATGCAGATTGTCGAAACAAGGGCCCGGGGAAACTATACCTTCCATCCCATTGTGGATAATGTCCTCGTCTTTTCCGACTATGCCGCTCGAGCTGAAATGGGGAAATTAGCACGATTGGTATGTATTTGACCATGGCCTTTTTTTCTACGTGTCTCTTCTTGGGGTTGGCCATGCTTAAAACCCTAGCCAACATTGGCAGGGATTACTGGACGTGAATATTCGGCTTTCTTACCGTTAAGTCAAACATCCGTTGATGAGATAGCAATCCACGTGCTCGGTCAACAGATTTTCAACTGTCCCTTCCGGGAATCTGTGAGGTAAGAGTCCATAGTCTTTTCTATTTCAACTAATATAACTACATTATTCATCGACTATTCATCTAGGATTCTAGGTAGATCACCAGGTGCCCACCTGGTGGTATGTATATCACGGGAATTTCACCAATCTTAGCCCAATTCCATGGCTTGGAGCATATCACGGGTGTAAGAATGAACCAGCTATTTCCTTGCTCATTCGATTTTGACATCCTGACAGCTGAGATACCTATGGTTTTTGGGAACTATAATATATCGGCGATCCCTTCATCCGCCAGGGAAGTTGAAGTCAGCCAATACATGCAAGGTAATCCCTTCATGAATGCCAGGTATTGCCTGGATTGATGATTTTCTAGGAGCTTGGGTTGCATTTGCCAAGGACCCTAGGGGGCTGAGCGAATATGGGTGGCCAGAGTTCAGCTTTGATGGTACATCTCTTTTCCTATTTTGGTTTTTTTCTGAAGCTGATCATAGGTGATAGAGCCAACCTTGATCAATCTCGCTGTGAATAACACGGTGCAGGCAATATTTACTTCTTCTAGTTCGTAGGATACCTTTTGTGTCTCGATCTGAGGTATGAGCTTGGCATAGTAATATTGTGCTACAATGGTATAGGTGTTTCTAGACTCAGTTGAAATGTGTCCCATGATTATCTACCGAAGATTGCATGTATATGTAGGAAGTGTGACACAGATATTGGCATCGAATGTATACCTTGGGGGTTATACTAGTACTATGTACATTTACTATGTACATTTACTATGTACTTAGGTAGAGAGGGATACCTCGGGCCTCGGGAATAATATTATTAAGCAGGGTGCCTTCCAAGGTTATATATTAGGCATATTAAGCATAACTATTGAGTATTGAGTATTTTGAAGTTATTAGAAAGAGAGAAAGAAAGATAAAATAGAATAAAATGTAGATATACGTAATAGAGTGAGGTCCAATCTAAATCCAGACTATCCATCACCCCCAGATCAAGGCTGACGATCCTGAGTGAAGCGAATTTGAAGCTCAAAAATAAGCGAAAGCACGAAAATGTACGAAAATGCCCGGAAAAGCACGAAAATGCCTCAACTCGCCATGTCTTTCCCGGGTTCACCCCCTTTGTCTCGCACTCAATTTCGTCTTCGCTTAATTATCACTCCACTGGGTCCTCGCGGATGCACCCAGTCCTTCTTGGCAGACTATCAATTTGATTGTATAGCCATATAAAATGTACCCTGTCTCTCTCATACTGTTCTACTTGGATCCTACCTGATCTACTTAGTCCACTCCTCTAAAACTTCCCCGGGGTCCTCTAAAAAACATCATTTTCCTCTTCCTATATCGGAGCTGATCAACCATATTATCCTCTTTCTCATTTACCCGTTGACTCCGTTGTCCTTTGTACTTACCTTCCAGGGATCCCCGGTGAAATTTCGTTCTAACGGGAAAAACTCTGACTTATTAGCCCATTATACCGGAGGTACCTGAGGTAGTCTTATAATATAATCACTGACTTCCCCATATTATTCTCATTTCCGTTATCATCTGAATTTAGAAAAAATCATACCTTGGGTCCGGGTTCCTGATCTCTTTGATCTTTGGTATAATCCCGTATAATCCTTCCTTTTTCGTTTCCAACTTGTCAACTTCTCAACTTCTCAACTTGTATTCATTTCAAGCCCCTGGAGCATTTCCATTTCGTACCTTTGAATCCCGGAATCCTCTGTGGCAACTCGCAGGACGATGTTGCCAGTCCCCAATCCTGCTGAGTTTGGAATCACTTCCGACTATGGTTTCCTCTCCCCAGAACTACCCTTGGAGGTTCTCCCCGATCCTTATTACGCCGAATGGGAGATGATTATTGGTAATCTCCAGCCACTGCTATTGAGCAAACGTTTGCGGTCTATCGTAGACCAACTCCCTATACTCTCTGTCACACACCTCCAGACAGATGCTGAGTGGCGTCGTGCATATGTCATACTGGTGTTCATACTACATGGCTATGTCTGGGGTGGCGATTCGCCCGCAGAGGTACCGGCCCATCCTATTGGTTCATAATTCAGAAAAAAGTAGATGTACTGATTCTTTTCCAAAGAGGGTTCCACCTCAACTTACAGTGCCCTTATTCGCAGTCTGTGAACGACTCGAATTACCCCCCGTTGCAACCTATGCTGGAGTCTGCCTTTGGAATTATAAGCCGATCTTCGCCGATGAGCCAGCCACTAACCTGGATAACCTAGCTTGTCTACAGACCTTCACTGGATCTCTAGATGAACAATGGTTCTATCTGGTTTCAGTCGCCATAGAAGCACGTGGGGCCCCTTCTATCCCCGTGATGCTTCGGGCCATCAAGGCGGCCCGCACAGGAAACAGCCAGATTGTAACCGAGTGCCTGCAGCGACTAGCGGAGACCATCGACGAGACCAACACACTGCTCCAGAGGATGCATGAAAATTGCGATCCATATGTCTTCTACAACCGCATACGCCCTTACCTAGCTGGAAGTAAAAACATGCACGATGCTGGACTGCCAAATGGGCTGCTGTACGACGACGGTCACAATCCCGAGTACCGGCAGTATGGAGGGGGCAGCAACGCCCAAAGCTCACTCATCCAATTCTTCGACATCGTCCTCGGAGTGGAACACCGACCAACCGGGACAAGTCGCAACGACAGTGATAAAGGCACCGAAGACGGCGTCAAATCAAGAAACAGCTTCATCCACGAGATGCGCTCCTACATGCCTGGTCCACACCGGCGATTCCTTGAGCATATTGACTCGGTAGCAAACATCCGCTCCTTCGTCGAGGCGCGACGCGGAGACTCAGCGCTGTGCATTGCCTACGACGCATGTCTGGCCATGCTGCGTGTTCTACGCGACAGACATATTACCATAGTGTCCCGCTATATTATCCTGCAATCCCGAAGTGCACGTCAGCCTTCCCAATCTGCCAACCCAGGCCCCCCAGCAGCGAGGAACCTTGCAACCGCGGCTCCGACCGACAAGAAGAAACTGCGTGGTACCGGAGGTACGGCCCTCATTCCGTTCCTGAAGCAAGCTCGAGATGAAACCGGGGAGCCTGCCATCGATGCGTGGGCACGACGGTTGCTGAGCACTGGTCCTGCTGACAAGAAGTTTGCTTCGCTGAGCAAGGTTGGGGAGCAACCAGATGGTCATCTTGAGGTTGTCGGTCTCTGTGGAACATGGACAGCCGAGGAAAATGAGGGTGGGATTTGTCACTGGTAGTTTTATAGTTTTTGTTTTGGGCGGCTTAGTCTTTTCTTCGAGCGTGGCATTGCATGTGGGATTTATGTACGCCGCGTACCCGTACGCGGCGACTTGGTGTTTGGGAACTTGCATGAACCTACCTAGGTATGGCTATTGGGATGAAATACACTCCTGGGTATCTGGATGATCAAAGGTTGTCTCATACAATATTGTAGAAACTTCCCAACTCATCAAGGCATCAAGGCATCAAGGCATCAAGGCTTGTCCCTCTGAGAGAACAAAACGTCATTCATTTGATCACATGACATGACATCATGCCATGACGTAGTGTATCATAACAATTGTTTGCAGACAAACAAGACTTTGGTAGAACTTCAGTCTTGGAAAGATTAGATTGGAGAAAGCCCTGGTTAACATGGCTTGTGTATATAAGTGGCCTTCCTGCCACTATCTTCCACTCCTTCATCCACCACTTCTTCAACCACTTCATTCTTGAACCACCTCATCTCTTCACTACCTTCTACTACTATCTACCATCTACTATCTATCATTCAATCATGTCTGACAACACTGGCAACGCTTCGACTGGTCAGTCGTACATTGACCAAGCCACCGGTCTTGCTCAGCGCGCCATGGGTACTGTGACTGGCGATTCTTCCACTCAGGTAAGCATCCATTCTAGTCCCCCAATACTCTACCACATCACTAACCCATCTCAGGCCAAGGGTGAAGCCAAGCACGAGGAAGGTGAAGCCAAAAAGGAAGCCTCCCACACCACCTCCAAGTTGGGCCCATTCACCGCCGACCCGAACACCGGAGCCGTTGCTAGAGACGACCCCAAGCGCGACACGGGATCCTGGGACCAGACTGTCGGCTCAGCCAAGGAGTCGGTCGGCAACCTGATCGGAAATGAGAACCTGCGCCGCACCGGAGCCGAGCAGAACGCCGCTGGCAAGGAACAAGAGGCCAAGGGTCAGCTCAAGGACTGGGGTGAGGGTATTCAGAACCGTGCTCAGGGTACTCTTGGATCCATTGGTGCTGCTGTGACTGGTGACCGGACCGAGGAGGAGAAGTACCGTGATATTCATGATGAGGGCAAGGTCCGCCAACGCGGTGCTGAGGCCGATATGGCTAAGAAGGGTGGTGTTTAAGCTTGACTTGGAGATCTCTTGAGTTTGGGTTTCCTTTCTCAGTCGCTCTTCTTTTTACTATCATGATTTTTACGATGGCCTTGCTATGATATCCAAATTGATGCCGCGTTTTCATTTCATCTTGTAACTGTGCCTGATATACGGAGTAGATGTAGTTGAGTGGAGTGCTATTGCCCTTCACCCTTTTTCTCTTAGTCCTGAGAGACAGTGCCTTGGCTATGGATAACATGGATTCACATGGATCTACAGCAGATCAACTTTCTCTGCAATGCTACATCGACATCTACATTTCCCCGCAAAGGAATTGATTTCCCGAGGATCTGACAGATTGGCATCTGATCCCGGGGAGCCCAAGGTTGATCAACGGGAGACGATCTAGAATCTTGGAAGTATAGCAATTAATTCCAGTAATTTGGCGACTAATTGTATATTGCATGTCACTCGAGACTAATGCAGAGAGATCCGATCGGGCCAAGCAGGTTAAGCATTTGATATACTCCAGCCTGTGCCCTATCTGACTGGACTGTATACCCTCTTTTCTCTCTCCTCTTTTCTTCTCTACGCTCTTGACAGAATGAAACTCACAGCTTTACTCTTTGCTGCAACAGCCTGGGGTGCTCAACACCATCACCGAGATACTACAGACAACGGCATCGACCTAGGTGCAATCTCGAGCGCACTGTATTTGATTCTTCCTTTGAATCTTCTCCTTAACCATACTAACAATTTCACAGTGGGAATTTGATGGGCAACCAAACAGCCAGCGCGAACTTTGCCAACATCTCGCCGCCGCCCAAGTCTCTCATTCCGGAGATCCTATCGGTGGTGCCCGTGTCTGTCATCTGGGAACTTATCAACCCAGCAGAGCGGAGTTCTCTCGCCAGCCAATTCAAGGCTGGCACTACCCCGGCCTGGTACACTGCCCTTCCATCGGATGTGCAAGACTACATGTCGGTGGTCAAGTCGCAGATCTCGGCGGGGGCAGTGACGGCCACAACATCGGAACCGAACACGGCAGCAAATACAGGGACTGCAGCGATAGCCACTGCGACCTCCACTTCTGGAGGGTCAGCAAGTTCGACCTCATCTAAAGGTGCGGCTGGACAGGCTCCACAGCCCACAGGATTGACCGTGTCGGCGTTGGGGGCGCTGGGAGTGCTTGGACTAGCACTGGCTCTGTGATGGTCCACGGGTACTTTGTAGATATGACTGATGTGAGACGTCTGAAATCATATTTTTCATATGAAATCGAATATATGACTTCCCTTATCTTTACAGTGTGTGGATCTCAAGACCGTTACATTAAGCACATGCTGCTGCTCTTATAGATTAAATTTAATATAAGGATGCAGATGGTATCATACAAGCATATACGGAGTATGCATGATCGAGACAAGATAGATAGCTTATTGTCGATCCCTACTGAACCGATCATTTCCTCCGAAGTGGACTTTGGTCAGAGCAGGGAATTGTGAGACAAGCGAATTCCCATTTACCTGGAAAAAGCGCAAAAAGAGAAGTTCAATGCGACGATCTTCCAAACGGACATTCTGGGGGAGGCGGGGGACACTGGAGACTTGCGGGGAAATCTCTCGGAAATCTCTCTATTGGCGTTATTTTCTCCTTCACATGGAATTGCTTATCCCTCGGCCTTATTGAACGTCTAGATGTGGCCTCGGACAATATCCTAAGATTAGGGAAAGTTACATACAGAAAATAGACCGTTCCAAGGTTGCTTATAAGACTCTGGATGGGGTTGCCTTCTTGTTCCTCACTTCACCAATATAACAATTAACAGAATAACAAAACAAAACAATGCGTTTCTCTCGTATTCTGTTCCCTTTGGCATTGGCCCCCTTGGCTCTAGCTGCCCCCGAGCCTCGTCCCAATCCTGTCGCTGCGCCGGCCCCAGCCGCCAGTGCTGGTCTACTGGAGGATCTACCCGAACTCCTGAACGGCGTTCAGGGCCTCTTGAGCACCGACAATATCAACAAGCTGGATACGATCCTCGACGGTGCGGCCAAGTTGCTCTCCGCCGATAATATCGATATCTTGCAGGATATCTTGACCAACGCCCACAGCTTGTTGACCAAGAGCTTTGTCGATAACACGACTACCCTTATTGGGGATGCCACACCGGTATGTACTGCTCTTTTTCACTTTTGCTTTTTGCACATATTAATACATTATAGCTGGTCGAGGATGTTTCCAAGCTTCTGGGTGGTATATTAGGATCACTATGAGGGATAAAAGGAAATCATGAAATAACTTTAGTCTTGTTGTTATTGCACAATTTAAAGCATTGAATATCTTCAAAATACATAGAACAGTCGTATCTCTCATAACGGGTATATACAGAAAAATATTAGAAAAACATCATTCTTAAACATTCTTAAACCTCCTTCCCATCCATCTTCTCCTTAAGTCGATCCTGGTAGAATTTCAAGGGGTATGCCCGCCATTTATCAGGCATCGCCGGATAAAGAGCGACCGAGAAGCCCATCCAGGTGCGATAAAGGGCCCGCGTGGTAACCGTCGAGCGCAGACCGTAGGCGTCACGCAGACTCGGGGGCAGCATCTCAATCGTAGTCACACGCAGGAAAGGCTTCAGAGATTGCACCCAGCGGGGCATATCATTACTTTCACGAAGATCCTTGGCAAACAGAGCCGCGTCCGACGAGACAGTCAACCGATGGACCTGATCATCCCAGTAAGACCAGAATGCCTGTCGGGTTTCCGGCCAGGTACCGGGGGGAACACCCAGGCAGTTCATGAGCAAGGCGTACTCGCTGTATGCACGCTGGGCACTGGCATAGTCCACGCGGCCATAGACACGCTGGTAGAAATCGGTCGCAGTCACGTACAGCGTCGCCGCCATCCACAACTGCAGCGGTGGATGCTCAGCGAACCGATTCGAGCGACCGCCGCCCAGCAGGGGCGGTTTACCGTCCTGCAAGAGTTCGATGAGGACCTTACGCTCGTCGCGGGTACCGAAGACCAAGCAGGAGACGTAGCTGATATTGGCCTGAAGAGCGTCGATGAGCTCGGTGGCTAGCTCCTTGTGGCCGCCGTGGTTGGCGCCCACGTCGCGGATTCCGGGCATGGCAGCTTGTAGGAGCAGCGCCGCACCGGATCCTGCGAAGAGGATACCCTCCTGGAGCATTTTGGGGAGGACCTCTAGTTGTTCCAGGGCATGGAGACGACCTGAGACGTTGATATTCTTTGCGGTCGCATCGGAGCCATTTGGAATGTCTTGGGACTTTTTGTCCGGAGAGACCGAGACAGGGGGTGAAGGGAAAGCCAAAGACATGGTTTGGGGAATTGTCAATAGTCAAGACAGTAAAAGACAATCAAGTCGAGTATATGATCCCATTAATATCAAAATATTTCCAATCTTCCCCAGGAATCCCCCGCAAAACCCCGAAAACTCCCCCAAAATCTAAGAGCGATGATCATCTCGGCCCATGTGAATAGTATCGCCTCTCTTAGGAATAAGCCGCGGCTGGCAGCAGATCGCCATCTCCTGAAGCGCTGATCCCTCCCCTCTTCTGCGTCATTCGCCAAAGAAAGCAATGCTGCTCCGACCAGGAACCCGCTTTATTCCTTTTTGAGCTCATTTTTTTGTTTTTTAGGTCACCCATGGGGTCCCGCTTCGGAGGGAAGAAGAAGTCCGGGGGTGCTTTTGCGCTAACTAAAATACATATACACCGAACCCTCCCCTTTCCAAAGGTCTTGAGGCCTTGAATTGTGCAATCATGGGCAAAAATACAGATACCCCTGCATATCTGACTTCAGATGATGCCAAATATACTCTGGGTATTCATCGTGGCCCATTGATATCCAAGGACGATGATGGCGCCCAGCTTGCACAAGTCGAATCCGCCGGGGGTCTATCATTGGAGACGAGGAAGTTGAAGCGCAGTGAGAAGTTCCAGCGCCATTGGAAGCGATTCTGGTGTCTGCATCTTCTGGTGACTATCATCTTCCTAGCCATTTTCCTACCTGTCTTGTGAGTTGCATATATATCCCAATTATGGCCTTATATTTGGATTGCAACACTCGAAAAATACTAATTGCAATTGTTAGCTTCCTGGTTGCCATTCCAGCCATCTCACAAATGGTCGTCAACAAGTCCGACCTAGTCTTGGTCAATGCCTCGGTCCTGAATCCGCGACCGGACAAGATCCAATTGACGCTGTTGTCGGCATTGGACCTCAAAATTGCCCTGCCGGTGCGCATCGAACCAATCACATTAGATCTGTTCGTGCGCGACACCGGCGCAAAGAATGCATGGGGCCAGGCTAAAATCGACGGCAAAGTCATCAAGGGCAACACCACGCTAGGCGTGAGCAAGGTCGAGACGCCATTGACCAACTTGACCACCTGGGAGGAATACGTGTACAATGTCGTGTTCGAGAAGGAGACTCCGCTGTCGGTCAGAGGTGTAACCAATTCGTACTTGGGTGTGCTTAAGTCCAAGGTCACTATGGACAAGGATATCATGTCACCAGGTAAGCCGAGGAAAACAATTCACCTAGAATATCATTTTAGAAGTGAAGCTGACTTGCATTCCAGTGCTGAACCAATTCAAGGGTTTCAGCATCTCCGATAGTGGACTCGTTCCAGCCCGTGAAGACGGCACCAACCTAATCGGGAATGCCTCCCTCCCAACCCGTCCGTGTTGACTCTTGACATTGGTACCATCGTCCTGGACGTGAAGAGTGGCGACCTCGTCATTGGAAACGCCACCCTCAAAGACATCACTATCAAACCGGGCGACAACGTCTTCCCTCTCACCGGAATCCTTGACATACACACCATGGTCTCGAACCTCCGAGAGGTACTCGCCTCGCAGGCCAAGGCCATCGCAACCGGAAACTTAGCCCTGGACACGGTAACCCGAAGCGTCACCTGGAATGGCGAGCTGGTGCCATACTACACCGATGTGATGAAGCAGCTTACGCTGACGGCCAACGTGCCAATTGCCGATCTGGTTAAGAACACTGTTCACAACCTGCTCAGCGGCAATGAGACCCTCAGAGACATTCTCAAGTCGGGGGTGATACGAGCAACCTGCTAGGTGGTCTCACGAGCAGCGCCGGTGACAGCGACACAGCCAGCTCAGCACTATCTGAAACCTCCGAGCTCGCATCCAAGATGAAGACGAACGTTGCAGTACGCAATATGTTCCGAGACGCACACCCAGTTAAACGGGATTTAATTATCAACTCGTTGGCTGGGATGTACCAGAAGCTGTGAAAGACCCGATTCACTTTGAACCTTTTCCAGTTTTTCTTTCTGCACTTACGTTTCCTTTTCCTGTGATGAAGGTCTCCGGCTTCTGGGTTCTGTGTTTATGATTGCGAGATGCTCGCTGATGCCTAGACGATACTTGATTCCCCTTTGGGTTGTGGCAGTGGTTCTTTTATTTGGATGGCGTTTGTGGGAGTGCTGTCTTTCTATCTTTAGAGATAGCCATAGGCCTTAATGTTCTCGATTTTCCTGTTGACTCCATTCTTGAGGCAGTGCATGGGCTAGTGTACTTTGTCTATACATGGCTGCCTGTCCGGGCTTGGGTACAGATGATAATGCATGAATTATAAACACGATGATATCAATAGATCTGATCCTTGCGTACATGTATTTTGTAGGCTTGCATATTGTTTCTGCAATGGGCTGTCAGCTTGCACTTCGTAAGAGCAGATCGTACTAAAAGTGGATTGATCTTTGTAGATGTGACTTGTCCTAGCAGCTGTCTTTTGATATGTCTAGCTCATAGGATATTTTAGATATTAATAACTCAGTCGACTCCGTATATGCCAACCCTGGACAACCGGGTCTCCAGGGCTGAATCTTATAGAATGGAGCACATACGCATATAAGGCAGTGATTAATAAGAATTTTAACTGACACCCAGGACCCAATTGACTGTAATCTTCAATGGTAAATCCGAAATGAGGTTTGCTGCCCAAGGCCTCCTAGATGCCCGAGTCGACCCTTCATCTTGTTCAGTGCTGGACGCATGCATGCATGACCTCCTATACTAAGTTTACTCCGTGCAGATTTTAGAATTTTGACTTGTTTTTGTGTTAATATTTACAGTGGGCAATGACCTATTTCATCTTATGACAGCTAATCGTATCTGACCTTCCAACCTTGATGCCCTTCCAAAATCGATCCCTAATGCCACGCAGATCGTACCCGCGTTTGATACCCATGTAGAAAGGCGGTGCTTCTTCCACCAGGTTGGGCGAAGGGAAATACGGAGGTGGTGGCTTCAGCGTCTTTGGGAATAGTTCACCGGGATCCTGGTGATCTGCAGGAGAGGTAGGAGTGGGGAGAGGGCTCGTGATAGGAAATTGATAATGAGGATCAAAGCTAATGAGGATAAGAGCTTGTTGATTAGGAGGAAGACCGGGGGCGTCAATTGAATAGATGATAGAACGTTCGTCTGCAATACTCTTCACAGATCCAGTACGCGGGCCTGGACAGAGCAATTGTTGTAATGCAGGCGGGGCGTCTTCTGGAGGCCACATCCGGACGCCACGACACTCGAAGCGTTCCTCGGAACCTTCAACGGGACAGCCATCCTGGTCTACCTGGGTAGGCTGGAACAGTCGGGTTGCGAGGTCCCTCAATTCCCTCCTCGTCAATGGGACACTTGCGCTTGCGCGACACCGTACGCAACCGGATCCGGTCTCGAGACCGCAAGTTATCACCGGCAGGGTCGTTGACAAGGTCGACGAAGGTGGATGCACCGAGATGGTAACTCCTATGCTTGGTGCGAGCCGCGATGAACTCCTGCCGCCGGGTAGAGCCAGACTCGTACTCGGCATGGTAATGCCGCCGCAACCTCTTTGCAGGTCGCTCATCGTAGGGCTCGTCGTTCTCAACGTCATCATCCATAGATACCCAGGATGGAATTTCGATGGTGCCTCCGGAAAGAGGCGCTAGAGCTTCTTCTGGTGTTGGAAGTCGCTGTGTGTAGTATGTACGGTGGTTTTCACTCTTACCATCGCGCCACTCACGGCGGCATTCAAGTATGACTGGCCGGCCAGTCGTCTCATCCTTACGGATTGAAAGATCAGTCCACATCTCATTGATGGGGCCTTCTTGATGCTCTCGGCGCCACAAGCGACCGTTCCATTTGCGGCCTTCTTCGCGAGGGGCGTGACAGAACCAATGGTAGAAAGAGGAGTGTACTTCATCATCATCTGCGGCGACCTGCGTCGAAACAGCATAGAGATGTTCATCATGCATCTCAAAACACAGTGTTTGGCCAAGATCGCCATCGACCACTCGGTCGAGCGGGAACTCGATACATTCATACGATTGGAGATCCACACCAGTGATAGACCACACACCATCCGAACCATCGGCGGCGGTAAATGTGCCATACCAAATGTAGGTTCCACAGTGGCGCACAAAGATTGGTGCGGATGCTGGGATTTCCTCATGAAGTAGGAAACGTCTCCCTCCCTGGTGGGTTTCCCGCCACGCCATGTTGACTACGAGCAACGCGTCCTCGGTCGCGCTCACTTCGGCCACTCGGAACACGAGAATATCATCGCTGTAACTCAAGAGCGTAACCCGATCTCCTGCATCCGGCTCCACGACATCGGTTTCCAGCAGTCGAGGGATCGCATCGCGGAGGTCCATGACACGCTCCCGGAAGGCAGGACCATGCACATACAGCAAACGAATCCAATGGTCGGATCGGTAACATAAGTAACCTTGGTTGTAGAGAAATTCTGCCCCGTAGCCTACACAGGCCACTGAGTATGGATCTGCCGTGGCGACAGCCTCGTGTATAGCAAGCCGATGCCCGACGGCCTTGCGAAAACCAGACTGGGTTGCTAGGGCCGCCTGACCTTCCTTGCTGTGGCGTAAAGCATTCTATAAACTGGGATCAGCCTGGTAACTCAAGCGAGGGTTGACTTGGCCTACCTCGACGGTTTTGCGGGCAATCTGCTCGCTTTGCGACAGAGAATAGAGAGCACGACTGGTGTGACTGAGGTTCACAAAATCACGGTCGTCCAGCGAGGTCGCGATCTGGTAAAACACATCAAAAGGGAGAGTATTCAGACTCTGTATAGTCATGGCTATAAAAGTGGCCTGAATAGAATAGTCCGTCAAGTGGAGTCAAGGGAGTGTCTCAGACAAAAGGGCAACTGCCACGGGAAAAGAACAAGACCAATTCCATATTTCAAATTCATAAAGAAAGGAAAGAACGAGATTTAAGTTCCTGAAAAGAAGGAAGATAGGAGGAAAAGAGAGTTGAGGCTCAAGTGGACTCCAGGGCCATTGCAAATGTTGCAAAAGAGGAATAGTCCCACCTGAAAACCATGGAACCCCCTTCGTCGCAAAAGCCAAAAGAGCCTCACTAAACCGGAAATGGATGTACTAACTGAAAAAAAAAAATAACTACATGTAGTTATCGCCTCCAGAACTATTACGAGTAAGAAAAGTATATTGTAAGAGCAGATCTCCCCGGATCGCAAATCACGCAATTCGACAGGGGATCAGATCCTGCTGAGCGATTCTGTTTCGGATTACGACCAACATCTCCGACACAATGCGGCTCATCCGTCTCGATTAGGACTAACCCATGTGCACGATCTCTCGTGACACGGATTAGGTGGGGTCCACCTGGGCATCCAAGATCCTTCCAGTCCTGGAGGTCCTATCGGATCTTCAGTGCATGTGCGGAAGTCATTTCTAGCCTGAATAAAAACATGGAAGCTACCATTACTACCTATCTAGGTAGGTACAATATAGGTACTAGTATACTACAGTACTGACAATAATATGGATATTCTAAGTGTTTACTGTGACTTTACTCCATTAAACATCATAAGAACAAGTCTAACTAGGTATGTTATTGGACAGAGCCGCATTGAGGTGTCTCTTCCAAGCCACTCGGAGGCAAAACTAGTCTCACGTACGCACTCTTATGCAAGTTGCCCAGGCCTATTCTTGGTTCTCTAGTATTTTTCAGCAGAGTACGGAGTACCCTTCCAAGCTTACTTTCTTGACTAATGTCCTTTTCAGGTAAATAATCAGGTGACGCGTCTAGTCACATGATTACTGAAAAGATGCTGCCTAACTTGGCTTCCAAGGTTTTGTCCTTTGTTTCATCGTTACATGTTAGATTACAACACGGTGGATATAGTACGGAGGAGCATTATTGGACTTATTATTCAGACGAATTACCAGAATTAAAGTGATTTTACCTGCAGCCCTACCGGTGGATCCCAATGCCAATCTCCAGAAGTGTACGGAGTACTTTGTATACTAGTAATGTAGTGAAGTACGTATACCTACGTACTCGGTGGAATTGCCCAGGCACTAACAATCCCAGAGGGAAAGTGTAAAGGTCCCATTTGCGCGACCCACCTCCCTAGTCAGCCGAATTACTTTTTAACTTGTTCATCTTCTGCTTCACCTTCTTTTCTCTCTTCCATCAGGTCCACGGGTATAGGTCACATCTTTGACTAAGATGTATTATCCACCTCATGGTCCTCCAGGACAAGGGCCACCATGGGGAGGATATCAACAAACTCCGCGTCAGCCCCTACCCTCCTCCTCAGCCTTATCCTCCTCAGCCCTACGCTTATCCTCCGGGTCCTAGCCATTCCCCCCTACCCGCCTTCGCCTTATCCTCAGCCTCAATATCCTCAGTATCCTCCTCCTCACTCTCCTACCCCGCCATACGGCCACACTCCACCTCCTCGTCCTCCCTCCCACCAGCATCATCTGAGTGCCCCTCAAAATGGTAAAGTTCTACATGCCAAGAAACTTTGCAAACGAGATCATTAACCATCGAAACAGGATATCCTCGTGCAAATTCTCCGAATCTGCCCCCAACCCCACCCCAGAATTTTCAGCAATTCGGTGGAGGTGCTCCCTCAAACTACAGGTTCCAGTACTCGGCTTGTACCGGTCGCCGCAGGGCTTTGTTGATCGGAATCAACTATGCAGGACAGCCCAATGCATTAAAAGGCTGTATCAACGATGTCACTAACATGTCCAACTTCCTGACCCAAAGATTTGGATACAAGCGGGAGGACATGGTCATTCTCACCGACGACCAACAGAACCCGATGAGCATCCCCACGAAGGCTAACATTCTACGTGCCATGCACTGGCTTGTTAAGGATGCCCAACCTAATGATTCCTTGTTCATCCACTTCTCTGGCCACGGAGGTCGTACTCCCGATCTGGATGGAGACGAAGACGATGGATTCGACGATGTCATCTACCCATTGGACTACCGTGAGGCTGGTCACATTGTCGACGATGATATGCATGCCATCATGGTGCGTCCCCTGCGGCCTGGCGTGCGATTGACGGCGATCTACGATTCGTGCCACTCTGGCACTGCATTGGACCTCCCGTACGTCTACTCGACGCAGGGTATTCTCAAGGAGCCCAACCTGGCCAAGGAGGCAGCTCAGGACTTGTTCAGTGCATTCACCTCGTATGGACAGGGCGATCTCGCTAGCGTCGCCTCAACGGCCATCGGGTTCTTCAAAAAGGCAGTCAACGGTGATTCGGCCCGTGAGCGCACAATCAGGACCAAGACCTCTCCGGCCGACGTTGTGATGTTTTCAGGATCCAAGGACACACAGACCTCGTGAGTGGCGCAGCTTTAACAATCTAAAGCAATAAAATAAGAATCCAGACTAACCCGGAAACAGGGCCGACACATTCCAGGACGGACAGGCGCGTGGTGCGTTGAGTTGGGCGTTTATCAAATCACAGCAACAGTGGCCACACCAGAGTTACCTACAACTGCTGAACACGATCCGAAACGAGCTCGAGGGCAAATACTCGCAGAAGCCACAATTGAGCTGCAGCCATCCCCTTGGTAAGTAATATTCTTTTTTGTTTTCTTTTTTGTTTTCTTTTTTGTTTTTGTTTTTTTCCAGCGGTGTGAACCCCCCAGCTGACTCGGGATCGACAGATGTCAACCTCCGCTTTGTGATGTAATCAGACAGTTTTCGCCCGGGCACCTGGGCACTTATGACAGGCATGATCGAAATGTAGCAAATGAATGACCATGACTTCCGACTCCCGAGCCGGTGCGGGAAGAGCTCCAATATGTAGGATTGTACGGAGTACGGAGTAGATACCGTAATATTGCTAACATACTAGTAATATGTATATGATACCATAGAAAATAGTAGAATAATAAAATCACGTACAACATTATAATAATATTATAATAATCTTATAATATAGTTCAATAATGGTACGGAATACGATGCGCCCCCATCTCCCAAACCTGTGGGCTCGTCTGTGGCTGTGGTTCTCTGCTGTGCTTCAGTGGATCTCTCGGCAAAACTCAATGGAAAAGTGGTTCTCTCTTCTACTCAGAGAGAACTGAATACATATGTACTCCGTACAACAGATGAAATAATTATTCTTTTCAAGACCTTTACTATATTTCTAGTAAATGTCTCTGATCTGTTTCATACCTGCAAGTGTTCCAAGTGTTTCTATAAAAAGGTATAGAACCATGGCGCCATTCCCCCCCTGAGCGGGAATCGGACCAATCAGGAAATGAGAACTCCACAGTTCCCGGTGGGAACCGTGGCACTGTCTTCGCCCCCGTTTGGAAATGTCGCAACACGGGTTTTTTTTCTATTTTTCTATTTTTCTATTTTGTTTAAGACGTTGGAACTGGAATGGTTCTACGTGAGGAATGTACGGAGTAGCATTACGGAAGATCGTGGCTTTGTTCTGCCGCGTCATTGGATATACACAATGTCAGATCTTTGAGACATCCATGGATCTGATCACAGTTGCTTTCCTTTTCCACATGGACTTGCCAACTTCCATTGTCTTTATACAGCAGATCATACTGTATATGTAAATAGTAAGAGTCATGACTCAAGCTTATATTTTTACTAGGAGTTACAGGAAACCAAAAACAAAAATTACAAGTCATCTAAGTGTTACGGGACTAAAATGTTGATGTCTCTCTGATCCACTTTTGGTCTTTTTCCGAATTCCATCAGAGTACCCTTGGGTGTTTTCTTTTTCCCTCTTTTCTTTTCTCTCTTTCAGAAAGATCACAGTTTTTGGAAGCCATGTTGATTTCATCTGCATCGAACAGTTCCTATTCCTCCAGTGTCTCATCCGAGCACCTTTCTCCATACCAACATCCCCCCCACATCCACACTTTCACTGAACACCCGCCGTACCCCAATGACTGTCAAGTACCCTCGGTTTTACTCCTCCCCCGTGGATCAGGAAACAGACTCAACCCCTCTACAACTCTATGGCCTAGAGCAGCGAGAACCCTCCATCTACGGCAAACCTCCCAAACTACTCCGCCGAGTCTCGCATGTCCTGGGCGATATTCGCGAAGACCTGTCGATGGACGCTCGCCAAACCACCGAAAAGCTCAAGCGTCGCTCAACCATGCTCTACGATGGGCCTTTTACTGCTCCACCATCTCGCTCAGAGGCTCCGATGACATCCCACGGACCCCCGCGGTCGCGGCCGATGTCCATCATCTCCTTCGATAACTGGTCTTCTCCGACACGAGGAATGAGCCAGCGACTCTCCCGCCGGTTGTCAGTCTTCTCTTCGCGAAGCAAGCCTGCCAGCTCCAAGGGAGCCAGCATATCTTCGCCGAATTTGATCGGTTCATCGACCCAATACGGCAACAGGAGTCAAGCTTCGTTCATTTAATGACCGGAAACATCAGATGAGACGATCGAAAAAGAAGGCATTGCCACCATCATCTATGATCATGGGATCGACGCTCGAATCGTCGTGCAATGCACGGCTATTCATATATACATGCGCAAGGGGTGTTCCTGTATAACCATTCTCATTTTTGCAACTTTTCTTTTCTGCGACTGCTATATCCATCAAATTTCTGGGTGGACAGCGATCATTTTCATTATATTAATCGCTCGTTCATGTTTTGGTGTTTTGTTACTATTTCTCTCTGCTTGACTTGCGCATAGCTCGGTGTTCTGGGATTATGGTTTTTTTTTTGGTTGGATTCTTCGATTTATTTTGAATATTTTCTTTTTCCCCTTGACATATCAGGATAATTTTATCATATACAGAACCCCTTGAAGACTACATTACTCTCGAGTCCAAAAAAAAATAGAACGCTAATTGCGCCACCATGCAGTCGGCATTTCACTCCAAGCTAAGCAATTGCCGGTAGGCTAACGGTAGTCCGTTAGCCAATGCCTAAAAATAAAGACTGAAAACGTCCGAGATGATTTTAAATGCGACCGTTTAATATATATGAAACGGGATAAATTGCCTCGAACTCTCATCAAGTATGTACCCGCGTCCACAAAGGAGATGCCAAGATGGGAAGAATGATCGATACGGTAATTGGCTTGTTTGGAATGGCCCTTTCGTTTGTCGAGAAGAACGACAGGGGTCTTACAGGAACAGACTATGATCGAAAGGAGTAATTGGTTTACTTAGCACCGTATCTGGTGTCTTTTCTTTACTTGGACTTACACTCATTTTCTTTACTATGGTTGATGTTATTCCGTATATCCTTTTGCGAGGTATACTGTAGACGGAATAGTTGGGATCAAACCCATGACTCAATAGCTAACAGCTATTCTTGCATGTATTTGCATGTTTGCATATCTCAAGTCCTTCCTCCACTATATACTATTCTTATAGCTTCCCAAAGTCTATATCAACGACAGTCTATATTCACCTCTGCCTCTCTGCCTCGGTCCATTCTACATGCTCTGCTGCCTCAACAGGCATAACTCCCTTGCCAACAGCCGTTCTCTCGAACTCTTCATCTTCACGCTCAATGTACTTCTGCGGGCGTTTTCGGCAGATGGCGTCCGGGTCTCCAGTCACAATCAAGGATGGGTTGGTACGGTAATAGGCGTCAAGATCCTCGAGACTCCGGTTGGCTACAATGACAGTGAGTAGAGGAAATCAACAAGGGACAGTATCTAAGCGTACCTGTCTCCGGGTAGAAGAAGTATAGGATAGGTAGGAAAACAGCATTGGACACCGTCCAGACAATCCAAAACTTCCAGCCAATACTTTGAATTCCGATCGGGGTGATCTCCACGACGATGAAGTTCGTGATCCTATAATTTTTGTTAAAACCAACAGCCACTAAGTATACCCACACTCGGATACATACCAGTTAGTAGCAGTTGCGGCTGCAGCACCCTTTGTCCGCATGGGCAGGGAGCTGATCTCAGTGGGATACAACCAAGGCACCCCGAGCATGCCAATACCGAAAGCCCCATAATAAAGGAAGAAAAACGCAACCGAGGCATTACCGTATACACTACCATTGTCACTAGTCGCGGAATACCGAAGCAGAACAGTAATAACGAGGAAGCACACGAACTGCCCAAACGTCGAGAGAAGCATTAAACCACGGCGACCCATACGCTCAATGAAAAGCACGGCAATACCCGAGAAAAACAGGTACGAGACGGCGTTGCAAGCCGACAGTAATCGAGCCATTTTCTCCGGCAAACCAACCGATTTGGTCAGTACAGTAGGCATGTAATAAGACATGATGTTGATACCGCCGAACTGCTGCATAAACTGACTGCCCACACCCAGGAAGATTCTGCGCAGTGTTTTGGTATCATTTTTCTTGTCTTTCTTGAGGAGGTCGCGCCAGCGCACGGCGTTCTGGCGCTCGTATTGAATACTGAATGCGATTTCGTTGCGCTGGGTTATGACCACGGGGTCGTCGATCGGCTTTGCTTCGAGGCAGCTGAGGACTTCGACTGCCTCTTCTTCTTTGCCATGGGCGAGGAGCCAACTATGGGTATATCGTTAGGTGAGATCATCATGAATGAAGGGATTGGCGTGTATACTTACCGAGGAGACTCCGGCAGCCAGGGTGTTGTACTCCACAGAATGAAGAAGAAGAAGAATTGGAACGCCAGTGGGAATCGCCAGGCTACGGAGCCACCTGCAAATGATAGTCCATAGTTGATCCAGTTGACAAGACAGAAACCGGCAATGTTCATCATCATATCCAGGATTACCAGCTTCCCGCGCCATTTCGTTTGGGATGTTTCAGTCTGCCAGATTGGGGCTGTGGCAGTGTTGATACCTATTGTCCGTTAGACTACTGCGTTTTGGTTGGGTATAATGATCTTATTTACCGTTTCCAACACTACACAACATAATGTTAGAAGATGATAAAGTGTTCTGAAGAGAAGGCCACTTACCCTAACACGATACGACCAACGAACATCTGCGCCAAACTAAACGAACTCGTCTGAAGAATAGCCCCTACTGCCATGATCGTAGTTCCCAGCAGAATAGCTTTCTTTCGGCCCAGACGCTCACCGATGGTGAAGGCGACAAGGGCCCCAAAGAAACAACCAATATCATATATCGCAGTCACCGTGGATAGGGCCGTTGTCTTCGTAGGTCCGACGAGATCGTGGCTGACAAGGAAATCTTGTGTAATCACGACGCCGCCTAGATTGAATTAGATGTTAATGTGGGCACTTCCTAGAGTACATGTACTCACTGAACACTCCTTGATCGTAACCAAATAAGGTCATATCGGTTGCGCATGCCACCTAATACCAATCATGTCAATCTATTTCAACCAAGGGCTATATACTTCTAGTCATACCGTAATCCAGAATGTTAGCCATCCCCCTGTTAACCCGAAGTAGGGCTTTCTCTTCTGCGCGACAGTAGTCATATCGGAAAGTAAACCAAAGAGACAAAATCCCCGCACCGTACCTACTTATTAGTGGGACTCCATTACTTATATACCGGGCTGTAAATAGCCTAAATACCCAAGTCCATGAATATGTATGCAAGGGATTTGCCGATTCAAACGGGGAATGATCTCCCGAGGTCGGCTCCGCTCCGAAGTCCGGGGATGTGGGGGAAAGTTCGAGGAATAAAGCGATTAACCCAAAAAGAGTATCCCCGAGGACCTGATCGTCTTCTTTTGAGACCGCATCTAGTATATTGGACTCAGATTCAATAGCCGTTCTTGCGTCACTGGTCGACTGAGGGGCTGAAAGAAAGAGTAAATCATTTATCATTGCCTTTTATCCACTCCAATAGGGATCATATTCCAGCGTGATTACCAATAATATAGAATTTGTAGACCGTCAAAGGAGTCTTTGTTATTGAAATATCCATATTCAGGGCTAAGACTGGGGTTAGTTAGCCGTAAAGGCATCTGACATTTTCCATCTTTGTGGCAGTAATGAACCAAATGTTAAGATTGCCGTTAAAAAGAGATATATGCAGGCCAAGCACGGAGTAGGTCTGAAAGAGATACAGTTATGGTATAAGCGGAACTGCTGTTTTACGCAGAGCCTCTATGTTTCATATTTCTAGCGCCTAATCCTTGCCTATGTATTGCACTGATTCTTTTAAACAGATGATATTGCATGTCTCATGAGTAGATGGTATAGGGCTATAAGCCACAAGGAAAATTTAACCAGAGAAACACCGTCTGAAAACACCAGAATCAACCCGCAAGGCATCTGAGATGGAATGCAAGTTCAAACGCAGCAACCTTCTGATAGCAAGAAGGTACGTCTGCCAAAATCCAAAATAAATCCAAAATCCAATTCCCACGTATAATACGCCATAGTAATCCCCCACCCCGAGTCTAGAACATGGAAACCAGTCCATGCAGCCCGGAGATGCATGTGCAACCGGCATCGCATCTCCATCCCCGGGTCCTGCCCTATCTAGCCGTAAACCTCAGATCAAAGAGTCACGCTCTCGAGATCACGCATGACAATACCCATTTGAGCCCGCTTGGCCGCCTCGGCAACAAGATTGAAATCCTGCAGAAAGGGCGCGGTGGCAGTTGGACCCCCGAGACCATTTATCTGGTGGGGATAGGTATCGGATGTGGCCGCCGGAGCGGGAGCTGCATTCGTAGGTAATAATGCATGGGTGTTGGCTGCGGGGGCGATGGCAAGGGTACTCGGGTTGGATGTGTTGCCGATTGCTTGTGACAAGGGTTGCATGGGAGGGGCGGAGGTCTGCGGGGAACAGGCAGATTGTAGCGAGGGCGAAGAGAAGACCTGCCTGGTTGCATTCGATGTGACTTCTAGGGTACTTTGAGCCTGGGCTGCCATATTGGACTGGCCGGTTGAAGGGTCGAGGGTTGAGGAGGAGGGCTGGGCGAGAGGTGCTTGAGGGTTGTATGTTGTTCTCAGGGTCGAGTCCATGACGTGACTAAAGCGGTCCGATCTTCCCAAGATGCAAAAAGAATAGGTCGCAACGAACGCGGACTTGGGTAGATAGGGTAGGACGGGGGAGGGGGAGGTTGTTTCTATGGACAGATATGCGAAGGGGGATGTGAAGTGGAAAAGAAAGCAGAGTGGCAAGGAAATCGAAGCCGCTCGAGGATGCAAATTGGGCTAAGACGAATTTAGCCGGGGGAATTTCCACAAGAGACCAAAATTGCCGAAGAGACGAAAAGAGAAAGACTGAACAGAGTAGAGTCTGATGGAAGTCAGAGATCAAGTCAGAGATTTCAACTTCATCTCTCAGATAACATTTCAAGCCAAACTGCCAGTCCTTTTTTTCCATGATCCCGAGGTTTGTCCGGGTATTGTATGGATTGTATGGTATTGAGACTGTATCTCCACGCTTATCTCCACAATCTTCCATACAAATGTATGTACCTGTATGTACCATGGGTAATATAATACACGTGACTCTATGTAACGTAGCAGTCACAGTACTTACCTAGGTAGATATATACTACTTCTAATAGTACTAGTAGTAGTTCTCTCTGTTGTAGAATATCTTAACATTTGAAAATATCAGGCAATCCGTTGTCTGACTGTGAAAATGCCCGCTCCAATCGAGAAGCCGAAATATCCGATAATCAGCCCACTAGAGTGCCCATATACAGTGGGACCTCCGAAATATTGGGCTAAACCTTTGTACCTACATATTACCGCCAACTATACCGCCTCCCTTTTAAATATACTGTTATGAGAATATATAGTCGGCCGCCTATCCGGCCGTGGTCATGGTTTCTTAGGTAGTCTTCTTTGGCAGTCTTCATAATGTCTTTTTAGTGGTCTTTTTTAGTAGTCTCCTTAGGGTATATACCTTTGGCTGCTAACCGTTAGTGCTGAATCACGTGCCCATACGCTAACTATATTAGGAGCTTTAGACTGGCAGAACCGGCAGAATTTGGAGGGCGGTATATCTGGGTACAAAGGTTTAGCCCAATATTTTGGAGGTCTCACTGTACATATATTAGAGTGCCTGAGGCAACAATGAGGGGAGATCATCCCGATAAGAAATTGATAACTGATATCGATATTTTTTTTCCTCCAAAAGCATTGAAGCCATATACTACCATGGACGACGAATTTGATGCGGGGAATATGTTCCAGGACCCGGAAGGGTACTATCCTGAAGATGAGCCGCCCACATTTGCCGAGCACACTATGCTATCAGGCCAGAAAGTGCGCGTCCGTCTTGTGGGCAGCCACCCCCTCTATGTATGATATCAATGGACATGACCAGCTGTGCTACCTACTTACCAACCTTGACAGGGAAATTTGCTATGGAACGCCGGCCGAACCAGCTCTCATTACATTGAGGAGCACACCGAGGATCTCATCCGAAACAAGGATGTCCTCGAGATTGGTGCCGCAGCAGGCGTTCCTAGCATCGTGAGCGCCATTCAGGGCGCCCGGACAGTGGTATTGACCGATTATCCGGATCCAGATCTAGTTGGAAACATGAAGTACAATGCAGAATTGTCGGCCAGTGCCATTCCCGCGAGGGGAAGACGGAAAGCCCCGCCTCCACGTCGATGGATACAAATGGGGCAGCGATGTGAGCCCGCTACGGGCGTATCTTCCCCCGGCTGCCGATGGTTCACCGTCCTTGTTTGATGTCTTGATTATGGCGGATGTGGTATACAGCCACCGCGAGCACCCGAATCTGATCAAAACCATGCAGCAGACTATGAAGAAGGACCCGAACTCTGTTGCTCTGGTTATCTTCACTCCTACCAGCCTTGGCTGTTACCCAAGACTGAGCAATTCTTCCCGTTGGCCGAGGCGAGTGGTTTCAATGTCACCAAGATTTTTGAGAAGGTGGTGGATGCGGTGCTGTTCGAGAATGACCCTGGCGTAAGTCTATATTTTGATGATTCTCCTTTGGATTTATGGCCCTGGGGCTGACCCTTTACAGGACGAAAGACTTCGAAGAACCGTGTTCGGATATGAAATCCGATGGGCGCAGGATCAATTGGAGGATTCATCCAAAACTGTTTGAGCCGTTGATTTGATACCCCCGGCCTACTTGGAACGATGACATGATTACATGACAAAAGTTCGATAGAATTTATATACATTGAGATTGAGATCTGTTCTAGAAGATAGAAATACATTTACTATCTCTGTATAGGGCACCTGAACTAAATATCTCTGCCTCATACTTGAGGCCTTATTTTCACCAACTATAACTAACTAACCAGTTAGCAGCCTTCCACTTTTGTTTTTCGCTCTCTCATCTTGTGTCCATATTAGTAAATACATATGTAGTAACCAGGTAACTAGGTACAATTATCAGATCAACTAAGAAAATAACACAAATTTCAATGACAGACTATGTACTCTGTAGATGGTTTGGATGTAACTAGATGCGGGTCACATGCCACACCCCGCAAAGAAAAAAAAAGTCCGCCAGAACAAACAACGCAACAACACAACGATGCCGGTATGTCGAGAAACCTCTTACATTATGCCATCGGATCTAACAGATATAAATTTAGCTCGTCGTTTTAACGGGATACCCATGCTCCGGTCTTACCCACCGCGCTAACCAACTCGCATCTCTGTTTGAGAAACACCAAGATGAAGTATTCGCAGCAGCAAAAGCAGGCGCGCAGGTCTCTTTGAAGTCTCGATACAAGGTACATGTGGTCGCTTCACACGATTCCTCCCATCCACGGATTGTCTATGACCATGCCCGCACCGAGAAGGAGGCGCGTGGCGTCGCCTATGCGAGAGCCAAGCGTGTGCTCAAGAGGGACAGCATCGTCATTCTTGACGGGATGAACTATATTAAAGGATGGAGGTACCAGCTGTGGTGCGAGGCGAAAGCTGCGCAAACAACATGCTGTGTGGTATGAGACCGGAACCTACAAAATGAAATGCGACACCCAAGGGCTGACAAGTCTGCTATAGGTTCACGTCGGGACACCCGTCGACCAGTGCGTCGCCAACAATAATGCCCGACTGCGCCGAGACGCCCGTAAGGAAACGGATCCAAAGACAACGGATTCACAGACCTCCAAGCCCCAAGATACCCCCGCATCCGACTCCGCAGAGACTACCGAGGACACCGAGGAGGCCTACCCACCTGAACTGCTCAACAACCTTATCTTCCGCTACGAGGAACCAAGCACCCACAGCCGCTGGGATAAGCCCCTGTTCACAGTTCCCTGGGACGACCCAGAACCCCCGGTAGCAAACATCTTCGCAGCCTTGACAGGCGTAGTCCTCCCATCAACCGAAGCTCCCACCGAAACAGCGGTCCCAAGCCTAACTGACTCCCTCGCATCCACCACCATCTCAGACGTCGCCAGCACAGCAACAGGCACTCGAGGTGGCGGCCGCAGCGGGCTCTCAGCACGCGCCCGAATCGTCCCGCACCAAGCCACCGTGCAAGCAGCGGCAACAGACTCGAACGCAATGTACGCAATGGAAAAGCGGACGTCGGCAGTTGTGACTGCAATCCGCAATTTTACGCAGACCTACCCGTCCGCGGAAGTAGCACTCGCGCAGAGCAATCGCGCCGATGCAATCGCCATTGACGTGCCGGAGACGACTGTTCCCATCCTTGTTCCGTCCCATGTCGCCCTAGGTGGAACGACAGAAGAACTCGCCGCTGCTGGTGGGGTTCTGGCTCTGCCGCGACTGCAGAGGCTGCGTAGACAGTGGATTAGCTTGAACAGATCGTATATTGGTCGGGGTCATGGTGGTGGAGGCGGTACACTGGCGGCTGATCAGATTGGAGATGCATTTGTGCGATTCCTCAATGCCGAGTTATCGGGTGAGGTTGCGGAGACTGCAGAAGAATAGAGGCTTTGCATTTGATTATGATCAGATAGATTAGATGTCTTTTTTTCATTACTAGAAAAAGTCGCTTGGTAGTTATGAGATAACGAGGTTATGACTTCTACATGTCTTTTGTTTTTCACAGGCTGTACGTTCAAGGATTCAAATGTTGCAAAGTGAAAAAGTCATTCGAAAACAAAATACAAGAACGCAACACTATCTATCAACATTGAATATCAACAAATCAAAGTCCAACCAATTGCTGGACAGTACATGACTATCTCTCTTCACTGTCATTCTTCCTTTTTTGAGACACTCCCGTTTTGCTGTTTCCTCCGCATAAGTTTCGGGTCTTTTGTGTCATTTGGGGTGGTTTTATCCATGGATCTGAAGTGCAGTCCAAGGAGCTCAGAAGCCCTTGGTACTGAATCCAGACCCCCATGTGGTGAGCAGCTTGCGATCCGTGATCAACAAGCTCTCGATCGTGGGCTGGGGTTCCACGCTGGTCCTATCCAGTTCCTGGCCGTAATATCCACTTCTTGGGATCGGGATGTCCTTGTCCGATGATGGGATCAGGCTGAGACAATCCTTTGGCCGACGTCCACTTGTATACTCGCGAGCAATCGCACTGGGTTTCTCCATGTATTGAAAGTGCCTGGCCAGCAAGCAGCACGGTCTAGCCGCGGAGTCAAAAGGAAATCAAGAAAAAGTCCTCCGGTGATCTCTATCCGTATCGTTTAAAAGAAAACTGCTGTTCTCCTCGGGACGGAGGCCTACAGCTCCTTAACCCTTCAGGGCAATCCATTGGGCATGTGGGAAACAGCCTGGCTGGCCTCAATCTGGCGGTAGTTCAGGCCCAAGGTGAACAGTTCCTGGAAACTGGCGTTGACCTTCTCGTGCATGGTAGTATCCCGAGGGGAAATGTTACCCAGCTCCTCGAGCAGACGCGAGCGGCACTTGATGAAGTTCTGCTCGGCGTTCTGGAGGCGCTGTCCAAGACTAGCGGAAGTCTGGGTGGCCTTGATGGAGCTAGCCTGGGAGTGGACGGAGCGGGTGCGCTTCATGGTGGGAGCCGCGGTGGCACCGGTAACTCTCCTCTTGCGGCCAGTGGGTTCCTTCTTTTTGATCTGGCCAGCGCCCGGCGAGGTCTCGGGCGAGCTGTGGCGCTCAGAAGTGGCATAGTCATGCACGCGACGCATGTGGTCGTAAAGGTTCCATCTCCTTGGGAATCCATTTCCGGGAACGGCACGTTCACAGCCCTCCCACAGGCAGAGGTGGGGGTTATCTCCATGGCCATGTAATCCGTGGGCTTCACGCTCGTGGCGGAACAGACAGGCGTTGGAAGAGAAGCGCAGCTGGGCATCAATGCAGGCGGGGACCTTGCAGCGGTATGGCTTCAGATGGGAATCCAGGTACTTGCTATTAGTTGATATCGGTTAGCTGGGTTTAGATTACACCAAATATTTCATCGCGGGAGGACTTGCTGGTAAGCGCATTTTTGCGTGGTTGGTGGGTGGTTGCAGGGTTTCTCTCCAGTGGCAAATGGGCAGTAATATTTTCCGTCGCTGTGGGTGGACATGGAATAATACTGGTGCTCTCGCGGGTTGCGACTCTCAACACCTTCCTTGGATCTCTGGCGGGTTGGCTCCCTCACTGGGAGGGTTGGGAAGAAATCGGGATCAGTCTTTCCTTGGTGCTGGGAAACAGCTGGCAACGCTGAACGGCGGGATTGCTTTGAGGGTCTGATGGTCCTGTGATATTGTGGTTAGGTTTCTGACCAATTGTTTCTGTCTTCTGGTGTATCAGTCGCTCTGACACTCACCTGTTGAGATCCCTGTCGTTAAGAGATGAGCTAGGGAACAAGGGCTCCGCTGGGTTGAGTCCATGGGTCGTTGCAATGGGCGATGTGGTAAAGTCTCCGAGGAGCGCATCATCAGGGGCCATGAATGAAGTGTATCCCGCGTGTGAGCAAGAAGAAGTAACAGACATATCATTGCTAGCGTCGGTCAGTGGTGGAGAGACCGGGGCGGTCTGGAAAAGACCCGACGAGAATTGCTCCATGGTGGTTCCTGGGTAATGGGCATCATGCATCATGGGGGTCCATGACTCTGGGCCTGTGATATAGTGGCCGTCCTCGGTACTGTGAGAGCTGTGTCCGATAGAAAGAGCATCATCTGGCGTGCCATTCCCGACACAGACATCATTTTCAACAGAAGAGAAATCCAGGAAGGAGTTATAAAGATCCCGGGACATTTCATGCTCATTCATGTCAGGGACTGCTGGGAAGTCCATGCCTTGGTACATAACATCATTTGGTCCGACCGTGGGGGTCATCAGCTGCTGAGACAGCGAGAAAGAAAGCATGTGCACCTCGGATGAGTCTTGTTTTGTGATGGCCTGGTCAATAGATTCTTGGTGGTTCATTGTCCAGTCTTTCATGTCCTGTGGATTTCCATGGGCTGTATGGCTCGAAATTTCATCATCCTGGATTGATCTTGAGGCCATATTTGAGATTCCTGAAACCATGGAGGTATGCATGGGTTGTGAGATAGAGACTCGTTCAGAGTCGCTAGTAGTCCTTGGAGACATTGTGTGTGTAGTTGTGTGAAAAAAAGAAAACACTGTAAACCAAGAGTTAGTATCTACTACTCGTCATCGAACAATGAAATAAACAAAGCAGAAAAGGAAAAAAGTGACAAGAAAAGAAAAAGGGAGCTCCATGGTCCAGAAGTGCTTGAAAGACCTAGTGAGAGTCAGTAATGAGACCAGAGGTCGTGTTACGATTAGTTATACGCACCAAGGTCGCTTTAGTGGGATTGAAAATTCCTTGGCCGATCAGGGATTATCGCAAGGTCCTGGTCAAAATCTGTCGCGTCTATGTTCGGGTCCAGGTCTGTTGTCAATCCAAGGGAGTGCTAAGTGGTGCCGAGGCGAGGAGAAACAGTTTCATCATGGCCAGTTACTATTTGGTTCAATGTTGAAGCAGCAGCATCATCATCACCCAGGTGAGTCCAGGTAAGTAGAAGAAAGTCGTTCATTTTTGTGGCCGGGTCAGGTAGGTACACAACGGCCAGGGTCCATAATGGCCAAAGCACGAGTTTAATAGCGGATGCTTCAACAGGCCGTATTTCACAGGGAGCAAGCACATTAGCTTGAAAGATTCCTCGGTTGATTCCTTGGGGTCAAACGGATCCATTATTGTTGATAGAAAGTGGCCATAGTAGCATCAGATTTCCAGGCAAAGAGTCATAATTTCAAGTCCTTAAGTGGTCCAAGTGGTTCATTCCAGGGGCGTTGTTCCAGAGATAGGGTCCAAGGGTATATCATAATCCGCACTCAAAACTCCGGTCTTAGAGTAGAGGCAATGTGAAAAGAAACATCCGTGGCAGTAGTCCAGTGGCAATGGAAGTCAGGCGATTTGAGTGTGCAACATTAAACACATCTCAAAGAGATTCACTCAGCAAATGCTGAAGGCAAGTATCCTCGGCAGTGGTTCCTTATTCATGGTCGCCAAACAAAAAAATTGGCCAAAAGTCCGGGAGTGGGAGAAGGTCTAAGGTCCGTGGGTCCTGGGCAATAGGTTGTCGAGATCCTTGGCAAGCACAGTTGATAATGGTACAGGTCCGGAAGACAAAGGAAAGAAAAAGCAACGCATAGGAGAACCAATTGTAAAGAAAATGTGGCGGGAGCTACCTATTGTGTTTGTCGAGATGGGCAGACTAAAAAAAAGCCTGGGAGATAACAAGAAAACAAATCCTGTCCGGGAAGTATGTGGCAGAGAGAAATCCTTGTGGCAGTGATTGTATCAAAAACCAGGGAGTCTTGGGTTAAGAAAGAAGTTGTCCTTGGTCCAGGGACTGAGTTGTTGTGTATGTGTTGAAGAGGGGTATATATAAAAGCGATACACAAGGTATTGATTGCAGTAAAAGGGGTATCCAGAGTTAAGGAGGAAAGAAAAAGAAGAATCAGAATGAAAGAGGGGGATCAGCGGCCTTTTAGCACACAAAAAATTCGAAAGCTCGGACTTTGGAGGGTCTGTGGGCCATCAAACATGGCGTGTGCCACTCTCGCATCGTGCAGGAGACGAGTGCGCTGTTGGCATCCTGAGAAGCCAGTGCTGCAGACTGGCGGTGATGGCATCTGCAGATTAGGGGGGGGGTGTTCGCTTGACTGAGTGGAGGGATATCTACTAGCGGTGAGACGGGCTCGGCGTCTTGAGTGCTTGGCGAGAAGTATGATTGGTGATAGGAGACAGGCTGACGCTGTGGGATGATGTCCGAATTGGACGATCGGCAGATTCGCTCGCGTGTTCGATGAGATGTACAACTTGGTTGCACCTGGACGTATCGTATGGACCAGAGGATCCCACGTCGGAGTGGCCCGGGAAGCAGACCTGCAGCATGAGGTCACCTTGCACAGCATCAAGACTCGAACATGTAGTACTAAGTATAGTGAAGCAATGATAAATAAAATAGATGATAAATGTGATTGTAAATGTAGATTATCCCAAGAAATAAATATATAACTAAGATTACTGGACAACGGGACGGGGCGAGCCAGAGAGCCAGACCCACGTTGGGCAGCAATGCAGGCAGTTTTCCTATTTCGGGTCTTCTTTTTTTTTTCAGTTAGCCAAGTTCAAAAGAAGTGGTATATGAAAAAAAGAATATCAAGGTTGACAGGATCAGAAAATGAAAGATGGAATATGTTTTCGTTCAACAATCCGAAGATCTCAGGTGAACTATGCTTTAAATATTGTTTGTTCATCACAAAAGGCGGAATCAAATGCCTTTGGGAAAGGAATAAGAAGAAAAGGAAATAATAGGCTTACCTGTTAGCGGGAATTATCGGAGATGAGTTGTCATGAAACACAAGTCATATTTGAGGTGATGGCAGTCTGGCAGTCGGGAATATGATTGACGGAGAAAAGGAAGAAGCCCTGGAGGAAAGAAAATATTTTTTGTAGGTGATATCACGTGTCCTTGGATAAGTTTGTATTGTTTACACTGTTTGTTACTATCTTGAGCAAACACCCATAGTATCACATATCCTCCACTGGCGTGGGCTTATCCACTCTCCACTCTTCATTCCTTGGCATGATGAATTGGACAGGCGGCCAGCTCAACGTCATCACAATCGCTCAGGCCTGTTGACCAGAAATCAGAGGCAGAATTTCGCCAAGTCGAGACTCCAAAAGGGCACGGTCATCACCCCGCCTTCGCCATTCCGAGACTTCCCTGATATTGGATTCAAGGGCTCGAGCACTAGGGTCAAGGATGAGGAGGCAGAGACAAATGGAAATCAGTCAGTCCAGTACTGTTGATTGCTTTGACTTTGCTTCCGCCAATCCATGTCGGCGTCCTTGTACTAATCCGTGATCGCGCTGATTCTAGAGTTACGGAAGAGCCGGCCTCACATTTGACTGGTGGTCAGTCCTCTCATAGTGACAATGACTTGACCGAGGTCAAGCGCCAACTGCTGAAGGAACCCGATTGGGCCGCCGTGTCTGTTGCACGTCCACTCGAGCTTTCATTTACCTCCGTGGAGGAAGTCGAGCGGTTTGGCAAGCGACGAAAGCTAAACGAGGAGGACAGAAAACGGCTAGTAGCAGCTAACGACAACGGGTCTGCTTTCTTTGAGCGGCCCAGGTCTCAACGAAGAGGCAGAAATTCATCCTCGGTGATCGATACCATTGAAGAAGACATCCATTTTGAGATCAACGGACGACCAGTGGCGCCATCCAATGACAGCTCCGGGGTAGTTATGAGCAGCATGTCATCACAGTCAATGCTACTTGACCATGAAGGATCTCCTATTATGGAACAGGACCTGGGGAAAAAGAATCAGACAGCTACCTGGATTACCAATCTCTTTCCCCGTTCGCAATGACCTTAAGGCTGAGTTATCCCGAGCAGTGTATAATATTGAACGCTCATTTTCAGAAAGATGAAGTCAGATGAATGGCATTTGTTCTCGGAGTCGACATATCAGATGGGTGTCTAGGGGAAGCATTTGCCTCTCTCGCTCCCTAGGGAGCATGCTAGCTACATAGACAAACATTATCATGGCAGTGCCGTTAGATCTTCCGAGAAGGCGTGAAAATCACCTTTATAGGCAGTGGGCGGTTAGGGGACTGAACGTCTAAAGTCATAATAAGACGGCATTTTCTGACCGTTAAGATGGTCATTTTTGTCAGTTCTACAGGTCCTCCGATCCTAGTAATTGTTCATGCTCTCTGTGTATTGTATATTTACCTCATTTCTTGTTCCTATATATCTAAATTACCGCAGTCGGTCATCACATGATTGGTACCTTCCGAAACAACGTCATTTCCGTATCCACAATCATCTCCGCCTGGGCAGATCCAACCTTGTAAGGTTATCAACGACATCTTGAAGATCCCCCTATCAGTCCCATCGTTCAATAATGCGTTCTATGACACTATTGGCCACATTGGCCACGAACGCTCTCGCAGTCGCGCTCCCGTGGCAATACGCCACAGATGCAGCCAGCGGAACCCAGCTTCCCCTCGTGATCTGGCATGGTCTGGGCGACGACTTCGAACGCGAAGGGCTCACTGAAGTTGCCAAGCTAGCTGAATCCACGAACCCAGGCACATACGTGCACCTTATCCGACTAGCCAACGACGGCAGCGGAGACCGCTCCGCAACCTTCTTCGGCAACGTAACGGAGCAAATCGCCCAAGTCTGCGAACAGCTTGCCGCGGACCCAATCCTCAGCACAGCACCCGCCATCAACGCGCTAGGCTTTTCACAGGGTGGCCAATTCCTACGCGGGTACATCGAGCGCTGCAATAACCCGCCCGTCCACAACTTCGTCACATTCGGCAGCCAGCACAACGGCATCTCGGCGTTTGAGTCATGCGCCATCGACAACTGGTTCTGCAGAGGGGCTGAGGAATTACTACGATCGGGACGGTGGACGAGCTTTGCACAGTCGCGCGTCGTGCCGGCGCAGTACTTCCGTGACCCGGAAGAGCTGGATGCGTACCTCGAGCACAGCAATTTCCTAGCGGATATCAACAACGAGCGCGCGGTTAAGAACGAAAAGTACAAGAAGAATCTGGCGTCGCTGAATCGGTTTGCGATGTTCATGTTCGAGGATGATACTGTTGCCGTTCCCAAGCAGAGCGCTTTCTTCTCCGAGGTTAATTCCACTACTGGCGAAGTAACACCTCTGCATGAGAGGCCGATCTACAAGGAAGATTGGCTGGGGCTGAAGCAGCTTGACGAGCAAGGGAAGCTGGACTTCAATACTGCCCCTGGACAGCATATGCATCTGTCTGCGAAGACCTTGCGCAAGGCTTTTACTCAGTATTTTGCTCCGCTGGAAGAGTCGCGTCCTTTAAGACCGGGTCTCGTTGTGCAGCGTGGGCTATGATCGTTCTCTCTTTCTCTTGGCTGTTTTCTTTCATTGTATGATATCCCAACTATGTCTGCTTCATCTTTTACATACTAGCATCGAACTCGAAGTCCAATCCTATGCCGCATATGGCTGGTTGGTTATACATTTGTCAAACTACGATGCCTTGCCATGTTCGTTTTAGCACCGTCTATTTTTTTTGTCTACCGACAATGTAGCTAGATACACACGCTGCGACTCCCCATCGCAAGCTAATAAATGGAAGAAATGCGAGTGCCGACAGACAAAACAAGAGCCTGGGCGTTCGAAATAAAATATGTAAGTGGAAAAGAAAAAGATAACAAGGATAGACACCGAACCGAAGCAAAATAACCGACAAAGCAGAAAGGACATACGTATCTCGAACACGTTGTGGCTTTACCAGCCAGCAATTCGGCATTCGACATGAGCGAAGACAAGATCAATGCAAGCAAGGGAAGGCAGGCGAAAAAAAAAGGGGAGGAAGAACCTATGACAGAAAGAATTATATAAACATAGGAAGAGCCAGGGAATAGAAATGGCTGCAAAGATGTCTGGAGAATGATGCAAAGGTGCAAGTCGAACACAGAAATCAATAGGGTGGCCGACCGAGTCCTCCGCTGACCTGACGTCTGCTGCTAGACCCGTTCAGCGGAGCCTTGGAAGCAGGTTTAGCCGTTGCCGGGCGCTTTCCATTCGTCAGCGTGGTCTGGTCGGGCGAGAGGAACCCATCCAAGAGCTTCCTCAATTGGTCTTGGTGGTTGCCATCCAGGGCATTGGACTCATAGTCACTTAAGAGTTCGGGGATTCCAGTCGTGGCAAGGCTGTGGTTGGACCGGGTCTTGTTACGGTTTAGAGGCTTGTGGTTTAAGGCGCTGGCTTCAGCCTTGTCTCTTACCAGAGACGATCCAGAGGGACCTGGGGCGGTGGATGGGCGATCATATGAGGTCAGCGAGCGCTGTGAGTCGTTCGGGAAACCACCTGGGATTGACAAGCCGACTGGGATCGGTGGGACGGGGGGGATTTCTGCGTTTGAATCAACGCGATTCTCGGATGGTGCATTCGGAGATTCGTAGGTTGGGGCTTTGTCGCCTGATAGGACAAACGCCGCGGCCGAAGCGCGGGGTGTTTCCGTTCCATCTTCATTGGGTGCTTGTTGGCTCTCTGGTCGGATTGACGTAGCATCTCCATCTATCTCGGAAACAGAGAAGTTGCCACTCATCATGCTTTCGCTCCCAGAAGAACTGACACTGGCATTCGATGCGTCAAGTCGTCCACGCAATGGACTGAGACGTCGAGCATGGGAGTCGTTAGTAACTGAAAGCACGCGTCGAAGTTCATTGACACGAACAGGCGAGCCTCTGCTCGAGCCATCCGGTGACGAGCCTGATATCTCCGGAATGCTCATGCGGCGGTGATATTGGGAGCCGGCGGGCGAGCCATTTGTAACCGCGTTGGGTTGGTTGTTGCGAGCATTTAGAGTAGCACGAGAGCCATTTATCGATGACGTCCCAGTGCTTTCCTTATCGACAGCTGCCAAACATGCCTCGCGAGACCACGGAGACAACATCTGTTCTTTCACGACGGCTGGAAGGCCGCCCTCGGCCTGGGATTTCACTGCTGTCGTGGAGTGCCCAAGGACTGGGAATTTGAATCCTCCTGCTGGAGCAGAAGTCGAAGGACTTTGTGGAGGAGACGAGGTTGATTTGCGATAGTGCTCTTCGATCATATTGACGAGTCCGTCGACATTACAGAATGGTGTCAATGGAGGTGGGGAGGTGGAGTCATTGTCAGACCTCTTCACGCTGTCAAAAACAATGGAATAAAGATCAACTGGGGGCAGGCGGATTTTGGAAAGCCAATATCCCTTACCCTGCCGCTGTTGAATCTCATTACTTATCTCAAGACCCACGGGGGAGGACTGCATGTCGAAATGCTCAGTCAGCGCAAGAAGGTATCCATGTATCAAGCTTCCAACGTTAACGCGAGCTGCGAAGGAACTCAGATCTGTAGATGTAAACAAGTCGTCTTGCAATTTAAGGACCATAGGAAGACCGAATTGAGCAGCGTTCACCCCAAGGTTCTCCACAAGATTTGCAAGAAGTAGGTGCAACAGGAGAATCTCAGCGTCCTCGGTTGCTGCCTCCAGTGCAGCATCGTAGATAGCCAGGTGCAGAAGGCGAAGGAAGTTCGAGTGTGCCACCAGCGCCACTTTGTCCCGCTGGTTCCCGGGAGCCGAGGTACCTCGTCGAGTCGACCTATCCACCTGCTCGGAGTCTCTTTTGGGAGTCGTCTTGATGTACTTCGGTGAATCTAATCGCACCTTGAGATCGCTCCCATTGGTCTCGGTCTGCAGCCATAATAGAAATGCGTCGGTATAGGCATAGCGAACATCACGATCCACATCACGAAGAAGCACCTGAGTACCTTCCCACACATGGATTGCGACTGGATTTCTAGATTCTGCGCCAGACATGGTTGCTGGCGTTTTCGAATTAGCCACAACCAAGATAGCCTTGACGGCTCGGAGCGCGGTCAGTTTAGCGGGGGCATGCGAGAAGGTTTCTGTGCTTGCTTTCTCTCCGTTTGTCTCAGATCCGGAATTTGTTGAGCCCTCATGTGCCACCCCTGATTCGTGAACGGTTGCCAATGTGGATGGCGCGGAACTATCATGGTGGATATTAGGCTTGAAACGCCTTAGAATGGCCTGCATCATGTCTGCGACTTGGTCTCCGTAGTATATGTGCGTCGCAAGATCTCCAATACACTGTTCCAGTAGCGTAAGAAGATCCTGTCGTCGGGGAGAGATTTGAACGACTTCAGCTTGATGGTTTGGTTTCTTCTCTGATTCTGCAGACCCAGTACGCTCTGGGGGTGAAAGTATATCAGAAGCATAGTGCATGAGTCCAAAGAGGATGTCCATGACGCTGAGCCCAATCATGTTCACAGAAGATCTGAGAAGCCAATCCACCACAGAGAGAATAGTGAATGACGACTCTAAAGCATCCTCCTTGGGGCTTGTATTGTGGAGAATCTCCATAGCTGTAATCAAGATGATAAAACGAACTTGCACCGGACACCAGTTCGTGATGAGTTCGATCAGAGATGTTGCCCAGTTTCCAGTTTTTCCTTCGATGATCTGGACATGCTTTTCGCTCTGTGGGAAGCCCTTGCTTGAGATGAATTGTAGAATGACCGTTACTGCAGTACGGATCTGGCCCCGATTGCTCCCCGAGACGATGGTTTGCTCGAGGCAACGCAGGGCCAAGAGCCGAGCGCCCATTTCCGCCTTTCGATCCGCATCAGCGGCTGGCTGCGCTGCCAGCTCCGGGTCACCCTCTACTGTGTCCACTGTGTGCACCGTGTTGACACTCATTCGGCGGGGTTTGTGTCCCTCACGCTCGTTCGGGTCAGGTTCGGTTAGCTTGGCCTTCAGTGTCGTAAGAAGATCCTCATCTTCAGAGTAAAGGTTCTGGAGAATAACAGGCAAACAGAGCTTCAGCGAGATTCCACCATCAGCAGCCAAGGTCTCCGAGCTGACCACAGCTTTAATAGCTCGCAGTCCCGCATTTTTCCATCGGATGGCCACCTGTGGGCTGAGATTTGTATTCGGGTTGGATGTAAATGCCGGGTCGGCAAAGCTGGTGTAAGTTTTGACGACTTCTCGGTATTGATGTGCGAGGCCCTGGTCAGCCGCGATGGCTGCAACGTCCTGATGCTGGCAGAACACTTCGAATGTCACGATCGATTCCTCCACCATATTTATGTCATTGGATCGCAGAACGGTATCGATTACTGTCATGACGGATCGGGCGTAGATAGGAAGGTCGCGAGGAACTTTTTCGATGAGCGCAGCCAGGATATGCAGCGCCACCTGAACATTCCTGTGCAGTGAGATCGGTCAGCCATTCGTCTTGCCGAGTCCAATTATCCGGGCGATCCGGGTCTGCGCTCACCCTATTCTGCGTCTCCAGACATCTCGGGCAACTCTCTTCTCCAGGAAACCGCCGACCTTGGTCAGCTTGCTGCGGCGCGTGCTCGTATAGTACAGCAGATAGGAGAGTTCACTGGGATTCGGCCGGACCTCCGACACCCCCTTCTGGTATTTAGGATAACATTTTAAGGTCAAGACCTGGTGCTTTGGCCGACAAGACTGGCGAACGGACTCCATTGGAAATGTATGTTGTAGTGCCACACGCACTTCCGGGCGGGGGGGGTTCTACGAAATAGCGCGACGGACTTCGTAGTAAGTGAGGCGGAAGATAAATTGGAGACAAGCCGTGCTTGAGGAAGGGCTAGTGGAAGGCCATGGGAGAGACGTTGGGATGTCCGAAACGGCGCAACGTGGATGACAACGGTTTGATGAGGTACGGAGGACCCGTGGACGGAGTAGTTCAGGGCCGATCACCAGGGGGTGGGGCTCCGTTGTAGAAAAGGCACAGCCCTGGATCCTCTAAGCATTTGAATGTACTAATTCAAAAGGAATAAGAATAGAAAATGGGAGGTGATAGAAGAAGAGAAAAGAATAAAACAAGATTGGGCTGAATCTTCGGGTGTTATTCTATATCCTCTACTTGGGGATCATCTTTCCTGGCCTTAGGTACATACGTATACATATAGGTATTTTAGGGCTTATCCTTTCATATATCTTTTTTATAATCTACAGAGTCTACTCGAAACTGAGATAATATTGCTAATTGCAATTGCCTTGGTCACCTTCATTGTATAGAGGAGTGTGGCGATACCCTCTTCAAGAGGTTTATTGTATACAGCAGAACAGGAGAGAACTTCCCCAGCATCGCTCGGTCCTTTCCCCGCAATCCTCTGCGACTGTCAGTCAGGGCCAATGAGGGACCTTTGAAAAGTCGGGGGATCGTTGGGGGGTTCAACAATTCCGGAGCCTCGGGAGCATGGGAATCCTCGGTCGCACATGAAGCACATTCACGCAGCTTCCATGCTCAACTTTGCCATGAGCCGAGTTTCCAATGAACCCACCAGAGTATAAATTTGATGTACAATGTAGATCTGCATGGCCGCGGTGTGTCTGTTCGTATCTTCGTATCTTCGTATTTTTTGCACCCAGGAAAGAAGCACACCTTGGTCGCGTCGAGCATATGTTCGGGATTTAAGACCGTCACGTCTTTTGATTTTGACCATCTTCCTTCTTTTCACCTGCCGTATCGGTCTCGGTCTGAGCTGGTTCAGGGACACTGACCCCTGCCAGACCTTCAATGACCTGGGGTAGAATAATGTCACGGCGGAAGGTGTCCTCCTGGAGCAGTCGAAGCGCTCGCAGTGTGGGGCCAGGGTGGGTGAGGAACTGAGAGTACTCCGGTGTCTTCCAGTAGGAGTAGAGGTAGGCTAGGTAGGCCGCAAATGCCTGGGCGTCTGGCGAGGAAGAATCATCGTCATCGTCGGCACGAGAGATACCCAGGAGATTGGGATAAGTGACTGCCAGGTGTGACAGATAGTAGGGGTTGGCGAGAGATGAGACAAATTCAAGTTCGAGAGTAAAGCGCGGGTTGGTAAGGGTTGGTGGATTCTCCATGGTGTAGAGGAGCCTGGGAGTGAAATGGCAGAAGCTGGTGAGAGCCCTGGAGCTTCAAAGGTGAGGTTGTACGGAGGCCGCTAGCGTCCATGAATGTTAAAAGTACACCAACATCGAAGTATACCAATATTTCAACTTCAGCTCTCATAGAATTGCGACTATCCACTGGACTACTTCTCATCCTCTCCGCTTATCCATATCCTCACACTACACCCCACCTTCTCCTCCTCAATCTCCTCCTCAATCTCCTCCCCAATTTCCTTCGACTTCATTTTCTCCAAAGCCCAGCCCTCTCCAATGCCGGCCTAGCGCACTCCTGAGTCCAGCGAGAGACCTTCCGCCTCGCCCCAGCTTGAGTGGAGCCCGGCAAAGCCAAAGAAGTTGTCTCAAACTGCAGATTCCCCTCGACTGCCCTCAGCGCCTCGTCCCAACCACCAGGGTAGTTCTGGGTAAGGGTAGTGCCTATGAGCACTGGGCCTTCTCCTTCTTTCTTGACCTCATGAGCCCCGATTTCCGTACGAGTGTAGCACAAGGAGCGTTGGCATCTTTAGAGGCAATGATGTGAATATCGCCGCTGCGTGCTTCGGTTTTAACGTAAATGGCCCAGTCGCGTTCTGGGCGAGAGCGGTCGAAGTTGTATTTGACAATGTAGACTCCGTGTCTTTTCTCCGTCACTTTGACGTTAGCCATGGCGTCGCTGGTGTTCGTCATGATATTGCTGGTGCTGTTCATGATATAAAAAATTCGCTTTCAAGGTTTTCCTTCGTATAACTTGAGGAGAGAGAGCTCAAGTAGACTTGGAGATGACATGGAGACAGATATATACGGTGTATGTCCACTCTTAAATATCTTTGTTTCTTGTCCTGTTTCTATTTCTGTTTCTCTTTTCGAAAGAAATCACAACAGCGCCTTCCCATTGTTTGAGGTCTGTTTCAGTCTCCCAAGCCTATACTACAACTTCAATATTGCTCTATCTATAGAAGCTAGCCTATAAGCCCACAAATACCAATAGATTCTATAAACAAAATGTACACATAGTAAGAAAACGGAATCACCGAATCAGTCTCACCTCTTCAAACACTTAAGTCACTCTGGCATTTAATTTATTGGTGGAGCGGCGAGCTGGATGAACCGGTGTGATATGTGAGGTCGTTAAGCACCCATGGAGCATCGATCACTCTACACGTGGCTGGAAGGGTAGCCTGGAGGTCTGATGACATCTGCATCTACCTACTCAGCCTGAGCCTAACCGCCCTTGTAGACAGTTGTATACATAATTGCGTACATATGCAGATATACTAGGTATAGGGACAGACTGACACGGGAAAGGCCCACTCTTAAGTACCCTTGCCTCTTTTCTATTCTTATTTCCATTTCTCTTTCTCTTTCTCTTTTTGAAAGGAAATCACAAAAGCGTCTTTGTTTCAGTCCCCCAAGCTAATACTAAGGCCTCAATATATTCCTCTATCTATAGAAGCCAACCTGTAAACCTATAAAAACCAGTAGATTCAATAACACAGACTATATACACCACAAAACAACAGAACCAAGAGACCAGTCTCACTAGTTCAACCCATCCAAGCCACTATACCGTTCCAAGTTTAAGATACAGTCTCTTTCCAACCTGGTCATGACCTTCTTAATATAAGACTCCCCCAAAATTTTGATTGATGGAATGGGCCGGCGCAGTTCGGGCAGATATTGCAGCGAACACTCCCATTTTTCAGGATAACCCTCGGAAGGGGTTGTTCCAACAAGTTTCAGTTCGCAAGCTTTGTAGCGTTCTTTTGAACACCGGCGAAGCACGCCCGATGAGGTGTTATTGTCGGTGTAAAAGCAGTGGAGGTTGCCCTTGGAAGATCCCACCTTAGCAACGAAGAGACCCGGGCGGAGCGTGTGCCTTGGCTGGGTATATAGAGTGTCTATAGTGTATACGTTGAAGTGTTTCGACGAAGATTGGCCCATGGTGATAATGTATGCCAGCGGGTTTGGGAGAATAGAGAGTTCAATGATGGGTAGACTTGGAGATGATAGAAACAGACTTGCACGGCAAATGTTACTTCTTAAATATCTTGAGGATCCTCACTGACCTAAAATAATATGTGCATTTGCATATACAAACGGCAACATTATCATCAGTTTCAATTAGCAGTCCAAATGCTCGTGAGCCCCAGTTAGAGAGCTAGAAAGCGAGACCTCGTTTGAGATGGCATCCACGGAGAACAATGCATTGTCGTCTAATGGAGGATCGAGGGAAGAGAAGGCAACATTTATATCGCATGAAACTTATATGCACGGCGCTTAGCTTGACGGTCAGTGCGCACAAGGAAACTCCACATTTGAATAGTTCATTGCTATGAAACATACGGAGTAGGAGTATAAAATCCCACAATGACGAATGGTCATCGACTCCCGTATCTAAGCCATAGGCTGTAACAGTGCTCATTCGCCGGCAGGGTGATATCACGCATGGCTCCCATGAAACTTATAGAATCTCACAAGCGCGTGGCGTAGTCAAATGCCATGTCTGAGATACGCTCTTACCAACAGATAGAGGTCAGGGATGAACCCCCGGGGCCGTGTTGGCAACCAACTAGTTCAATTATTCATAGCCTAATCAAAGATACTGATATGGGAACAGCAATCGGTAAAAAATACATGTTTCTGAAAGCAAGGCTGAAATTGAGATACAAGAAGAGAAACCCTTGGAAAACTCCGTCGTAGCCATGGTCTTGAGGTGGCATTGTGTTTCATGGCGGTCTGGAATCAGAAGCAGTTTGAAGCATTCTATTCCGAAATATGAACGCCATGGTTGAGCACCGTGTGTTCGGGGGTGCTCGATGCTGGGTATTAACGCGTGGAATCATCCCTCCTCATTGAGGATTTAGATGGTGAGATGGTGAGGTGGTGAAAGAATCATGGGATTGAGACATCCCGGAGGTGCACCCGAGTGAGAAAGGCCCGCTTGCTACATCGATATATTTCCAGGACAAGCTCAACGTGTGATTGGTAGGGTGACTCAGTCACTGGTCCGTCTTTCCGGCTTGGGTTTGCGCAGACTCTTCATCCGGTTCAAGAACCCACCACCGCCACCACCAGGGTTAAGCTTCGACTCTTCGTAAGGTCGGTCGTTGGTGGTCTTGCGCTCCATTTGCTTGGGACTGCTAGACGATCGAACTCGGCCGCCCGCTTCGATACTCGATCCCTTCTTGTCCCACTCTTCGTCATATTCGTCTTCCTGGAAGTAGGGGTTTCTTTCATTGGCCCGAGCGGATCCAGAATGACTGGAGCTCACCTGTGGCGCAACGGGGGGAAGGTTGTCGGTTGGAGAAGTAATGCGGCCAGGTCCAGCAGCTCGTCCACGAAGTCGCTGAGCCAAACTCTTCTTTCGTGCAAGACCACCACCATTCGGTGCCAGACTGTTTTCATTCTCGCTCTGACGGCGGGCCATGGCAGATCGACTAGCGGGAGCTCCATCGAGGAAGGTGCTGGTTCCCAGTCCCATACTCTGGGGTCCATGAATCGGGTCCACTCGGGCAGTGGGATCAATGACGCCCGTCTCAGCATTGCGAGCAGCCGTGGAGAAGTCGTTATGGCCTTCCTCCATCCTGCCATGGAAAAGATTGAGATCGATGTTAGAATTGTTGGGGCCTGCGCCTCCCAGAGCCATGTTTGTGGAACCTTTGGGGAATGCTTGCATTGGCGCGGTGCGCACGCCGCGGCGATTACGATGGGGATTGCAGGCATCGAACGGACCATCGTGATGGAACACTATTATGGTTAGCATGAGTCGTATACTTGCAAAAGAAAAGAAAAAACAAGCCGAGACACTTACTTCCAGTACCGTAGATACTCGTCACATCCAACTTATCAATGATATCAAGTCGTCGGTCCTTGCGGCTGGAGCGCGATTTGCCATCTTTGCTACGACCTTCGCGCTCGCGATGACGCCGTTCACGTCGGCGTCTCTCATCGTCATCAACATCCAACAACTTCGAGCCTCGGTCCATTACGGAAGACTCAGAGTTCCGCCGGGGACGACGAGGCCTGTCCTTGGCTTGGGATGAAGTAGGGGGATCGGCGAATATGTCAAGCGGATCTTTCTCTTTCGACGTAGCCGAACGACCCGGTGGACGCTGCGGGCGCTCCATTGGGGGTCTGTTGCGATTCGAGGGAGTGCGTCGGGTGGCATCAGGTGCGGGCCAAGGACGTGTTTGCTGGGGGGCAGGCTTGAGAGAGAGGGACTCCTACTGAGAGGTTAGATCCGATTTGAATACGTGCATTCAATATTCGCAAACATACAAAGAGTTCCCGAGTGTTGCTTGACATATCATCCTTCTCGATCGGAGAGATCATAGTGACGCCGGTCGACATGCCAGGGGCTGACTGCGGAGACATCGCCTCTGTGTCATCTAAGAAGGGGTTTGTAGAGCGTGGGCGTTCCGGACGGTTGTTTGATGAAACAGATCCAGCAACTGAGGGCGAAAGAGCGCGGTTTCGGAAGGGGTTATTGGAGCCAAAACTAGCCGCTGTTGGAGAGGGTTGGTGGTCTGTTGCTCGCAGAGATGCTTTAGATCAGCCACTGGTCTGAAAGAAAAGGTAGATTTTTGGGCCAGAAGGTCAAGGGAATGTGTCATTTTAAGTGAACAGGAGGATTCAAACTATCCCCAGCGGTCCACGGGTAACGTATAAGATCCCGTCATCAGGGGAGGTGCTTCAGGTTACGTACCTTGCGGGGTCAGCGAAATGCCAGGCGCATATCCAAGCGCCGGAGTGGCATTCATTGTGATGGATATTTCACCTCTGAAACACGGTGTGGGTGGAGAGGCTGTTTGCGTTCAATGAGATGCCGCGTTAGGTGTCGCACGAATGCGGAAGAAAGTGGCAGGAGGTATTGCTGAAACAGTGATAATCAGGGGTAAAACAATATAGACGATCACAGTTCAAGATCAATAATCAAAGGTATAACAAGCAAAAAATTCAAGATAGAAAGAAAAGAAAGAAGTTGAGGAAGAAAGGAGGGGGGGAGGGGAGGGAACACGGGAGAGGCGAGCATACGTAAAATGCCCAGTGATCGTCTCCTTGAGGGGGGGGAATACATATTCCTTTTACTGTCCCTGCCGATCTTCCTATTTCTTGTCTTTTGAATTTTACATGTGCTGTTTATCCTATGCTGTTATGGCTGATCGAACTTTTTTTTTCCCTGAAGAATCCCCAGACTAGCTTTAATATCTAGCCTCACCTGGGCAGGGGGAGGGGGCCAATGTCAAATCATCGATCCACTTTTGACATGTCGTGATAGTCCGAAGGTATTAACTGCTACCTACATGTAGGTATGTATGACCTACAACATGCGAATGGGCATCTAGGATCTACGTCTAGAGAAATCTAGAGACATCCCAGATAATCAGACACATAAAGGGAGTTTCCTCGGTTACCAAAAATAGCCCGGAATGACGTTGGCATTCTCTACCTAGGTATTGATGTCATTCTTCTATTGGAATGTGTACACAACATACAATATCTTTTATTTCTCGGCATCTCCAGATCTTACACGATCCAGAGACCCCAGGAGTGGCCCATCTGCCAAGGGAGAAGGACACAACTTGAGCTCCAGTGGATATCCACACAATGTTGGAATACAAGTGATCAAGTGGATATGGTTAATTCAAATGATAGTTGGCTCTATTTGAATATATTTGCATATAAAA